AGTGTGTTGTTCTTCAACAGGTGAGCGATAGGTAGAGTGGACTACCCAGTAATATTAGTGTAAAAGTGGCGCATGATATATTGCGCTAAGGATGAGAAGTAATTAAGGACACGGCCGGTGACAGCAAGAAATGAACTGGCGTGGTGGAGTGTTGACTGTAAGTGTGCTGTTATAGCAGGGTGATTACGAGGATAATGGACCTACAGGAGGGCGCAGATAGGCGGCCAGTATTTCAGGACTGTGTTCAGAGCTGTATTGTAGCGTTAAGATGTGTTGTTCTAGTCTAGGGTAATCTTGTGTAAAAAAAAAAAAAAAAAAAAAAAATTAAAAATAAAAATAATGAACTAAAATAAAATGAAAATAAATATAATTGGTAGTGTAGTGAATAGGGAAATGCAAACAAACGGATAAGTAAATGGATTGTCATATGAGTAGAACTATTTGATGTGTGTGATTTTTGGTAGTAATTGTTTTAGGTATTATTTTATAGGTGTTTATATAGTATATTTGATGTGTGACCAAATGATGTGTTGTGTTGGGTCTAGCGTAGTATATGGTAGGGGTGCGCTGCGACGCACCTTGTGTGGTTGGCGGCAATGTCGGTTTACGGCTAGGCTGCGAGTGGCTTTGCTGTGGTTGTGGGCGTCGCCTTGCGCCACGAGGCTCAAGGCGTGTCTGTGCGGGGGCGGAATGTGTGGTTTGGCTGATAGCCGATTAACGAATTATGATTGAACCTGGCACAGAGGGATAAATCACCGTGCGCGGTCAGGGAATAGAATACGATTAAACTCTTTTCACGTAAAAATTAGATTTAAATTGGAATTAATTACATCAGATAACGCAAACCTAGGACTAACTTAATTAGCGCCATACGGACTTACGTTTTTCTGGCTTTAATGCCGGATGACCACCCTCGTCACCTTCTTGGTGGCCAAGGTCACAGTGGACACTTCAGTGCGTTCAGCATAGACCGCATTCACCACTATGGAGGTCCCGGTATAGGTGACACGGTAGATATCAGCATCGGCTGGTATAAGAGGTCTTCTCCTTTTGAGGCAACAAAACAAGTCCCTCCAAGTCCAAGTCATAACTAAACTATCACAATCAAAGAAGGGAGCTTATCATAAACGACTTTTAGCGGTAGAGATAAGCTTCCGGTAACCACAGCGCTAGCCGTTGCCGCCACCTAACAAATGGTTGGGAAAATTACCCAACAGTAGTAATACAGTAGTCACATATTTTACTCAATATATATTTTACTATGTTAAAGGGATTTTATTCGATGTATCTGTAATAATAGGATTGTTTAGATACCCTGGATTTATAGTTTTGTCTAATTATATAGGGCCTTATGTGAATTGTATATCTTAATTATTTGACTATTGTAATTGTATTCTATGCCACGAGGGAGAGAGAAATTGCAACCCTAAAGTTTGGCCATTGAAAATGGGCCAAACTTTCATTAATGAGGGGCGAGTGTTGGCATTGAAATCCCAACAAATGTTAATCACTAGAAGCCGTTAGAACATCTGCTTCACAGATGCTACGATAATCACAATATCTATTCACTAACGTAAATTCCTAAATAAAGATTATTGTAACCGTGACGACAGAGGGAAGGGTGCACGCGACCTAGGGCATTCACTAGTAGGCTGACATCTGCCTACCCTAGTTGGGGTAGGTCACGACAACCCTAATATGGACCCCAGTCCATTCATAACCTCCCGTTGGGGTTCACCCTTCGGGCACAATTGTAAAGCACCTCCCCCTTGTCATTGTAGTCCCTACGCCATTCACTAAGCCTCCCCCATTCAGACTAGGGTAACTACCCTTACTACAATAGTCTAACGGTCCGGTATGAAACATTGTATTATTCTCTATAACTTTCCTTTGAATCATCGTGGTTTCCAATTGATCTATTCATAGGCCCAATGTGGCTTGCGGTTGGGGGATGGCCACTGACGCTACTCGCGGTTTATATAAAAGGGGCTCCTAGCCCGGTGGTTGTCATTCCACTCGTACATCGCATCGGTGACATGCTGCCGTCCTAGGTGAGTCTCTCATTATCTCGTGGTAGCTCTCTCTCTCTCTCATTATAACATCTCCGTTTCAGTATTGACTATGTTAGAGTCCCCTAGTCATTCATTGTAATTATCTATCTATATTATACTCTATCTTGTTTGTAATGTCATAAACTACTGCTGTCATAAATAAATAATGTTCTTAGCATACTCCTCCAGTGTAGTTATTGTTCCAAGCTCCCAGTTGCTTGTAGCCCTTCTGGCTAACTAAGCGACATCCAACAAGCAAATTTCCCATATAGGGAATAATAGCGAATTTTCCATATAGGGAATAAGCTATTACCGTAGTACTTATGGGAAGACCTGAACCTGAGACCGACTTACTTTTTCGTTTTGAGGTCCCTAGAGGCCAAAAACACCATCCATTCAAATTCATATATATATATATATATATATATATATATATATATTTATATTGTTATTACATACACCAATGAGGACATGTTAAAGCATTATTATGCGCCTAATGGTTACGGAGAAAATTCAAAAAAATTGTGAGTTTAAAATTCCCATGTTATTCTTATGGAGAATAAGTAAACTGTTGTAGTTTGCTTATTTATGAACAGATTTTGATCAAATTTGGAAAATGAATTTATTTACTACTAATACTAAACTATTAACATTTTACAAAAAAAAAAAAAAAAAAAAAAACACTTATATCCTCCTAGCAGTGAACCTAAGTACTCGTTAAACTAATTCTATATAAATAGGGAATAAATGTGATACAGTATTTTTAAGGAGGCATTTTAGTGTAAATCAGGCAAACAGAAATTCGCTTAGTCTGCAGGTTTGCTGCAGCGGGGGTATTTTTATAGTTTACATAATTTAGACAGTTGTATTCAGGAAAATTTCCATCATAATAAGTTAAAATAACACTGAAACTTAAATAATAAACACCAGTTAGTTGTACATAAAGTGTGAGTTTCCTTTATATTGCTTTTACAATCAAAATAAACTATAACGAGCCATGGCTCAATCCCCTGGTGCTAATATTTATTTGAATCATCCTGTGTTCACATTGATTCCACAAATAAATAATTTTTACAACTAAGCTAACTACGTTAGTTAACTCATCTAATAAATGTTTTCTTCAATCCGAGCAAAACTAAATCTCCTGGTACTACTTAAAAATAAACTGTATGTAATTCATATGAATAAAATGTACATGTATATAAACAATATTTCGGTTTAGTTTTGGATACAGACATGTAGTAATAAAGTCAGATGGGCTGTATATTTTATTTGATCTATTGGGTGCTTTAAACAAATAAAACCTTGTCTTAGCAAATCTGTAAACGAAGCTTATTTCCAATCATTGAGTTTATTGAAACAATAGGGTCATAATGGAATGCAAAATAAGAGTTCCAAGTAAAAACATTCTGAATCCAAAACCATCCAATTAAAAATTTTAAAATCATATTGTATCCAAACTTAGCTTAAAATTCTATAAGAATCAAAACAGAGCCAATTTTCCACAATCTGCACACCTCTAATAAATTAAATTCACATATTTCATTATAGTTTTTTGAGTATAACTAATAACATAACAGTCTGCATGAAATAAAAAACAATTAACATGTTCTGCGGCTTCGTAATAAATCGTAATAATAATTCGTAATAATAATCTGCCGGCCACTGCCAGGAGCGCGGATAGTTAAGGTGCTGCGTGGATGAGTGCACGAAAATGTTTGAATTTAGTTTCATCCAACAGGAGAGACGTATTATTATAGCATGTACTGCGTCCCAGTCGTTGTGAATGTAGTTTTACAAGAACTCAATAGATATCAACAATACAAAATTTCTAGCCAGCCCTCAGTATTGCCAAATGGAGGGAAATGCAGGGGAACTTCCAATAAAAAAAAACTCAAAAAAAGGGTCAAGCACAATTTTGAGGTTAGGTTCCTTCCACAACGCTACAGTATATTCATTATCGTTATTCTATTTCATGTCATTAAATCCAAACCTAAACCTTACATTATAATAACTTTGTAACAGTCCCTACCACTGATAAAATAGTCGGATCTGAAAACAAATAATACCAGATTGAAGTGTAAAACTGGCACAATAAGCAGCAAGCAAAACAATGTCTCACGGCAGTACCTAACCTCACAATGGAACAATATGATTGTAAACGGTGCTTTGACGAGTACTCGTTGCGCGTCACTGGAAAGTGCTAGCAATGACAAGATTACTGGTCATGCACAGTGAACGTGTTAAAGTATTAATTATTAATTATATTACATATATGCTCGTGCTGACAATGTGTCTAGTAATAATAAATTATTATTAAGGGGTTTTATATTATTAATATTGCACTTTTTTACTACAACTAGTGTGGTATGGCTCTAAAACAATAAACAAAATGTACAACTTAATAAATAACAAACATAGAATAAAACATTGTTACAATCAATGTTACAAGTAGAATAGAGAGATAAAGAAAGGTATTTATAACATGGATAAAAATGCTGCTGATGAAAGTGAATATTCTAATTTATATGTGTAGTGTTAAGTTATTGTCTTGTTTGTGCCAGGGAGGGTATTTATTCTTTTTCCTTTATAGATAAGCCTGAGCCAACAAAAGACCTTACAACTTAACATATGAGATTTAAATTTTTTCTATTGAAAGTGTATTGTTTAGTTTAGTCTATGTAATACAAATTTGTACAGTTTACTATTATGTAAATATATCTACAAAAATGTAAACTATCATATATTTTCTAAGCAGACTAATTTCAAAACACTATTTAGCTATACAATACTATCTTAATTTAATCACAGAAATGTCGCTTGAGTATTCAAATGGCAGCTAAAATGTAGTAGGCCTAATTATACAATTTCTTACTGAACACATCGTATCATTGCAGACTTAAGATAATTGTGAACATTTTTTATGTAGATGTATCATATTAAGGTTACCTAAAAGGCTCCTTAGCTAGATAAAGATGCAAGTTTTTGGTGAAGATGTTGCGTACTTTTCCACAATTTGTGTGGCTAGTTGCATCTAACCTGTTTTCTAGAGGCAGCAGAAGGTTCTGGTAGGCATCCGTACCCAGCTGGTACTGAAAAATAACAAATTATATCACTAAACCTGATAGAAAATAATTTTAGGATTGGAATGCCTCATAGCCACCTCTATTACAAGGCCGCAGCGAGACAAAAGTGGCAACACTGCAGTATGTCATTCTGAAACAGCTGTTGCACTAATTTATAATGAAGCATGAGCAATGTTTATGTTCACACGTTTCTTATTCCTGTTAAGGTAAACGCACCAGTAGCTGACAGTATAAGAAACTATACGCACTTAATAATCCGTGGTTTTGAATAAATAGGAACTAAAGAGATATTACGGATTTCATGTGATTCTAAATTTAGTGTAGTTTTCAAATTTGTCATACAAAAAGGGGTTTTTAAATATATTTTATAAAATTTTTAAACTTAATTCAACCTTTGTACGTGTTCCAGTGGCTGACAGTGAAAAAAGTGCTTGTACCAGTAGCTGACTGTCAATTGTCCCAGTAGCTGACACTGGCACTATAAATGTGCTAGCTGCTAAACCTAAGGGTATTATAATTTATAAGACGAATACAATCTAACTTAATAATTAAATTATAAAATAATGTAAAACGTTATTAAAAAAATTTATTTTACATATTTTAAAATAAAAAATATTTACATTAAAAAATATATACCTATATATTTTATATATATTTAAAAAAATATACATTTTTTAAGATAATTTGGCTTATAAATTAAAAAAGTAAAATCATTTTATAAAAATGTGAGATCACATAAATTATAAATAACATGCAAATGTCGATGGGTAAAACCAATTTAATATTGTGCAAGTAGCAAATATCCCCTGTCAGCTAGTGGAACTTGTATGGCTTTTGTGTACCAAAGCCTGACATTGATATAATTTTAAATCCAAAACCCCTAACACCCCAATTTTTCATGAAATTGTCAACAAAGGTATAATTGATCAAAATAATGAGCCTAATCATTAATACGATTTAGGGATGGACGGGTCCCGAAATTTCGGGAAATTTTCGGGAAAAAAATATTCCCGATTATCGGGACGGGATTACATTTGACTCGGGAATTTTTCGGGACGGGATTTGGTCCGATCGTCGGCGATTTTTCCGCTTCGCGAATGCCGATAACGCCGTTATTGCGAGCGATAGGTCCGCGAACGCAAGAGACGAAGTCGTTTCGACGATTACGCCCTGACCGCGGAGTCATAACGACGATCGCCCCGTGGCCGCGAGTCATACCGACGATCGCGCCGTGACCGCGGAGTCCTACCGACAATCGCGCCGTGACCGCGGAGTCCTACCGACGATCGCGCCGTGACCGCGGAGTCCTACCGACGATCGCGCCGTTACCGTGGAGTCATACTGACGATCATGCCGTGATCGCGAGTCATACCGAAGATCATGGCGTGACCGCGAGTCATACCGACGATAACCCCGTGACCGCGGAGTCATAACGACGATCGCCCCGTGGCCGCGAGTCATACCGACGATCGCGCCGTGACCGCGAGTCATGACGACGATCGCGCCGTGACCGCGAGTCATGACGACGATCGCGCCGTGACCGCGAGTCATGACGACGATCGCGCCGTTACCGTGGAGTCATACTGACTATCAGGCCGTGATCGCGAGTCATGCCGACGATCGCGCCGTTACCGTGGAGTCATACTGACTATCAGGCCGTGATCGCGAGTCATACCGACGATCATGCCGTGACCGCGAGTCATAACGACGATCGCCCCGTGGCCGCGAGTCATAACGACGATCGCCCCGTGGCCGCGAGTCATACCGACGATCGCGCCGTGACCGCGGAGTCCTACCGACGATCGCGCCGTGACCGCGGAGTCCTACCGACGATCGCGCCGTTACCGTGGAGTCATACTGACTATCAGGCCGTGATCGCGAGTCATACCGACGATCATGCCGTGACCGCGAGTCATAACGACGATCGCCCCGTGGCCGCGAGTCATAACGACGATCGCCCCGTGGCCGCGAGTCATACCGACGATCGCGCCGTGACCGCGGAGTCCTACCGACGATCGCGCCGTGACCGCGGAGTCCTACCGACGATCGCGCCGTGACCGCGGAGTCCTACCGACGATCGCGCCGTTACCGTGGAGTCATACTGACGATCAGGCCGTGATCGCGAGTCATACCGACGATCATGCCGTGACCGCGAGTCATGACGACGATCGCGCCGTGACCGCGGAGTCATGCTGACGATCGCGCCGTGACCGCGGAGTCATGCTGACGATCGAGCCATGATTGCGAGTCATACCGACGATCATGCCGTGACCGCGAGTCATACCGACGATAACCCCGTGACCGCGGAGTCATACCGACGATCGCGCCGTGACCGCGAGTCATACCGACGATCGCGCCGTGACCGCGAGTCATACCGACGATCGCGCCGTGACCGCGAGTCATGACGACGATCGCGCCGTGACCGCGAGTCATGACGACGATCGCGCCGTGACCGCGAGTCATGACGACGATCGCGCCGTGACCGCGAGTCATGACGACGATCGCGCCGTGACCGTGAGTCATACAGACGATCACCCCGTGACCCGCGAGTCACAAGTTTCTATAGGTACCTGTAAATTGTTACCCAATATTTTGGTTTTTATAGATCAGTGCCACAAATGGTAAAAATTGATTTCGTATGTCTTTTTTTGGTAACTGCAATACAGTACTTTCTTTTTATGCACAGAAAAAAATCCCGTCCCGTCCCGTCCCGAAAATCGGGAAGGAAATAAAAATCCCGTCCCGTCCCGTCCCGAACTAAAAATTCAATCCCGTCCATCCCTAATACTATTTAAGAAATTTAGCGAAATGACAAAAAACCAAACTTACTTTCTTAACAATTTCATTAAGGGAATCAACTAAATGTGATGTGTACAGACAGGGTCGCTTTCAAACCACCACCATTCCGCGAGTATGGGCTAAATTTCACTGATTTTTTTGTAAACAAATCAAGGATAAACATATGTTCTTCTAACAATGCAATCATGTGTAAATATTTTTAAGAGACCACATTATAATGTTAAGAAACTCAAACTGTCAGCTTCTGGAGCACTGTCAGCTACTGGTGCATTTACCTTATTACCTTGACAATATCCATCCCGGTGCGACGTTGCTACACACAAACACCACAGCCTTGTATTAGAGGCTATATTATTACGTACAGTAGAGCCTCACAACCATTTTTAATTCTATTTATTCACTGCTAAAAACAGAATAAAATATTTCACTGACATAATTACATAAAAAAAATAATTAAATAGAGTAATAATTACAAAATGGAAAAGCACCAGTAGTTGTTTTTAAATCAAACAGTCTTGGCATTCTTAACATTCCACAATTATAATTATTGAAAATCTACTTGCAATATATGTAGCCTATATATAAAACTACGTACTTACAAGCATTCATATAAAAGTATGTAGATATTTGACAAATTTGATCAATGTGGTTCCACTTAAGCTCTAGCTAGATGTGTAATTAGAAGCGTTTTCACACAATTCCATTAGCTAATTATTGATTAATATGGGAGCCTTTATACGAGAGTTTTCATGACTTTAGTCACACATATAAAAAACTGGTATTATTGGCTTCTGGGGACTTAATATGAAAAACTTACACTAGAAAAAATCCCGAACTTGGTTTTTACCATGAAGATTACGTTATACGGTAATGGCACTTGTCAATATACAAATTTCCTTACAGTAAACGTACATTGCAATGTAAAACAACAAATTGTTGGCCAACATTCAAACTCAAACTTTGAGTAACAGATAACTCACAAAGATAGGTTGCTAATAAAAATATTAGGCCTAGTAATGAAATAATCCACCTCTTCCAAAGCAGAGAAGATGGCCTTAAATGTGGTTTGCCTGTCTGAGTGGAAGGTTCCCCGTGAGCCATGTACTACAGCGACCCCGTGAGCGTGAGCATCTTGACACACACTCATGTACATACAGTGGTCGGAGCGGTAGTTGTAGCGGCACGAGTACACGTACAAAGATTCTGCCAAAACATAAAATGACAATAAAATTATTCTTTATTGGGACAAACTTAGAACCTCATGGTCCTTTGTCACAGTTAACCTCTAAATAATAGTAATAATAACATGTTAGGAACGAAAATGAATCAACTACAAAGTTTGTTGTATAAAAAGTAATAAAAACTTCTTTTGTTTCCCTAACGTGAAGTCACACACATACACTCCCTGCTGCAATGCACACCATCCGGTGCGGTCCTATCCAACCCGGTACTGCACGGGTATTTATTTTATACTAAGCTATTTATATTCACTAAAAAACACACTTTATTATACCCTCCCTGTAGCAGTAAACCTAGGTACTTGAAAAACTTAACGTCATTTAAATAAATTTGTGAAAATTAAATCAGCCAAGTGGAAATTTGCTTAGTCTGCAGGTTTGCTGAGGCAGGGGTATTTTTAATCTATCCGTTTCCCGTGGACCACCCTGTAGAATGACTGGGCATTGACAGTAATATACCTGGATGATAGTGGAAAATGATGTTTATGATGTCTTGATCACCCCACGTGATTTTCAACCGGAAAGCCTTGTATATTGGTGAGAGGTATTGGTCCCACCCAAACTGGCGCATGCGGGTCAAGTTCATCAACATCACACCTGAGTTGACACCTGGAAAACAGATTTTTAGTTTGCCATAACAATTATACATAATCAATTCACTTGATTTACTATGATTAAAACAGATAATTTTTTTCTTGCAGAACTAAATAGTATTTATTTATCTATCTGATGTTGTTATAACATTTTAGTTTTACATAAACTGTCTCTAATACATTTTTTTTTTTCTGAGATGTCAAAAGTGAGGTTTTGTTGCGACACAAGTAGGGTAGGCCTACCAAAGTTTATGTTTTTATCTTTTATGTTGTGTAAAATGTGTTGTAAAAAGTTGACAAGAACCAGAATGTTCGCATATTTATAATGAATTGACCTCTAGAAGAATGTGCTGAAGATGGCTTTATGAAGCCAAAACAGCTGTACACTGAGTACAAAAACTGGATTGCTTCCAAGACGGTAAGTCTTATATATTATATTATTTAAAAAGCAAATCCTGGTCAGCCAACCACAAAGTATGGTTAATTTCTTTAGAATCTGAATCTTCCGTAAATATACATTCACTATACATTTTTTTTTGGATAAATTGGCTCAAAATTGTTAGAAGTATAAAATTCCTTGTAAATAAACTAACATAATGATAATAGTTGAAATTCACGGAAAATCCCCGAACAATACTATTTTCACGCACATTTCCTATTTTTTTCACGGCGGTTAAAATTCACGCATAATTCCTGATTTTCCTAGAATTTCCAATCGCTGACAACCCTGTATTACCATTAACATATACAAATATAAATACATTTTCCAACCTATTTGACACATGTAAATTCACACTGCAAACATATTCAAGTCAGAAAATAGCTATTTACATTACAAGTGTAGTAAGAGCGCGTTTACATCACGCGTGAATGTTGTGCAACGAGCGGAAGCGAGTTGCATAATTCTCCTAAGTGATGTAAACAAGCTCTTGCGTAACATGTAACGTACAAGATTTTACCTGACCCAACAATATACAGGAGGTTACGAACAATATTTTGCATTATCCATTTCACTCATCTTCTAACAGTAACGTTCATTTACAAACAAAAGCTAGGTTAGGAAAATTCTTCAAAGCATTACAATAAAATTCAAGAGCACAGCTGATTTCTAGCGTTAAACGTCGTTAGCTCCATAGAGGTGTATTTTTTAAGTTAAGCGCTCAATGTTATTTAAATGGGTTTCATTACCTCACCGAGTGAGTTTTTTCAACTTTACATCACTCGAGAAGTAAAGAAGTTGTATACATCATGCTTGGGATAGGGAAGTTTAACATGGCGGGTTAAGTAAAATAAATAATAGATGTTAAAATGTCAATTGATTTTGACCAGTCACACCCATCATAATTGCTCATGAGATGAATCAGTATTATCCGCCATTTAACATCTAAATGTATATTTTACTGACTTGAAAATTTTAGTCTAAATTTTCAAAAGGTTTGGAAGACAGACATACTTTTATTACTCATACTTTTTCCATATAAAATGAAGACAAAAGCACAAAAGGCCTAGACTTACCCAGCTTGCCATAGTAAGGGTGCCTGGCGAAGCGGTTGTACCAGCCGGTGTTGGGGTCCTCGTGTTCCGGAGCGAGTGCTGCCATCTGAGAGCTGTTCATGCGGTGGAAATGCTGCCAAATATCCTCCAGTTGTGTGAGGAACAGAGTGTCTGTGTCTACATAGAGCACAGAGTCGTACTGCTTCAGCAAACTCTGCACAGAGAGGAAAGTCGAGCCATGGTTTATTAAGCTAGAAAAACTCACAGTAGTAAATTTGAATAAAAGGGACTCAACATATAATAATCTGCTATAAAGAGACTACAACTATTCATTAATCTTTCACTTATAGCCGCTTAGGCCTTACTCATGCATTGCAACAGGGCATGAACCCTACAAAGCTGCTACCAAAACTAATATTTGGCCTATTACAATTTATTCTAAAAATGTACCTATACATCTTCTTAACCCTTCGAGTGCTATGCGACGATATATCGGCGTTTACTAAAATCTCTAAGGGATATAGAGAGGAAGGTAATTTTAACAAAAAGTAGCAAAACAGCCATTGGTGACCTGCATGTTCATAGGATAGACTAACCACTTAGCTAAAATTCAAGAGCACAGCTGATTTCTAGCGTTAAACGTCGTTAGCTCCATAGAGGTATATTTTTTTATAGAGGTATGTTGAGGAGCGAGCTGGCGTAGTGGTTAGAGCGCGGGACTTCAGTCCCTGAGGTCACGGGTTCGATCCCCGCCAAGTCACCAATGGATTTTATCTAAGTGATAATGCCGCAACTCCTAGGTCTAGCCTGAAGTAATGTGAAAAACAATCCCAGGCTCGTGCCTAGAGTCCTTAGGGGAAAAAAAAAACCACTTAGCTAAAAGATTTGCCCAATCCGATGATTCGAGGCCCAGTGCCCCAGTGGTTGTAGTATATCACTACAAACACACAGGTCACTAATTATTTGCCACACAAGACGGGATTCGATCCCGAGCAGACGAATACCACTGGCCTAGTGACACACGCCCTAGCCACCTCGGCTATCTGTGCTTGAAGACTGAGGTGTCAAAAACCGGTATTCAAGCTGACGCCAACGGTTGCGAACAGATAGCGCTACAGCAAGTTGTTCAATGCGTTACTAGGTAGGTAGCAGCACTAAATTGGTCACAGACTATTTAGATGATATTTTTCAGTTGAACCACAACAATGATCATAGATTGTGTTACTGACGCTTTGCTGCAAAAAAGTATTTTTCCTAAAATGGCTATATTATAATAACCTTATCAAACTAAATCAAGGTTAAATTCAATCTTAAATTGTGAACTAGACGTCTTTTGATTTTATGAGATTCTGGTTACAAATAATGCTATCAGAACATAACAATTTATAAGAAAACTTGGAAATTTAGAACAAAAACAAAGTTTTATTTAATGTTTACTACAAATACCCGGACTTTTCTTTGTTATATATTTGTTATTGTCTTATTATTCCAAATTAGCCTAATTAATAAAATAGTGACAACAATACAGTTACAATTCAACAGCAAGTAATGGAATTAAAGGCTAAAAAAAGTCTTACGAAATACGAATTATTGGCCTAGCACTGAAAGTGTTAAACTAATGATACTAGTTAAAACTCATGACCTAATCTCACAAAATATCCATTAGGCAAAGCATTTTTTCCAATCAGGTGTGCAACAGTTTAAAAGTACAGTAAAACTTCCCTAACTCGGCAGTTTGTGGACCCAGAGAATGTCAAGCTATCCAGAACATTGAAAATTTTGATGGGGTTTAAGTAACTAATACCATAGATAAAACATACTCCCTTAGTAGATTTCCCATCCTTATAGAACAGCTGAAGCCAATTTATGTTAGTTCTGTCCGGTGTACTGTAGAGTCGTGTTTTGTTAACAATTTGTTTCTTGCTTTCAGTAATTTAAAACCTTGTTTAACCAAATAAAACTATCTAATCATAAACAATAACTTGTCCACTAGCTATATACCAAACGGTGAGGCACAAATCACGAGAAACAATAGAAAATAATATCATGTTCTAAAATAATAGAAACAAATTGAAAACAAAACACGACATCTACAGTACACCGGACAGAACTAACAATAAAATTGGCTTCAGCTTTTCCATAAGGATGGGTAATCTACTAGGGCCCGGTTTCCCCAACTCACTTAAACTTAGTTTTAAGTTAAACGGCGATTTAAACTTAAGTTAACTTTGATTTGTGTTTCCCCAAATTTAAACTAGGTATTAATCCAAGTTCAAACTAAACCACCTCTCGACTAGGTTTAACTACTGGGGATAAAATAAACTGAGTTCAAATTAGTAAATTACAACAGTAACATAACCTCAAATCAAAACAAAAAGTAGGTGTTAAAACAATAATAATTGAAGCAACTACAAATTCATTTGGACGAAAATAGGCTTGGTTTAGGGCTAGCTTATAATTTAAGTTTTATTTACATTTATTATGGTGATTATTATTTCTTTTTTTGTACATTTGATTTTATTTCAAATTAGGCTACTATTGCAGTATTTGTCCCTTAACTCAAATGGAAGAGTTAATAGACATTTTCGAAGAAGTAGAAGATGGAAGATTATGACACTTTAGTACCTAGAACCAACTAGAACAAGAGGGCCCACTAAAATAAGGGACAGAATTGAGTGAATTGACCATTTCAATAAATGGAATGAATCTGAATTTGATAACAACTTATAATAACTTGTTAACATAACCTTAAACAGAGATGTTATTCTAAAATTCTAGCTGCATTCGCACTTTGCTGTCTGCTCTACTGAGTTGTAGCGCAGCGTTGTGGTGGTTGTAGGAAACAAAACACTAGCCCTAAGCCCACCGAAGATTCCTTACAAAAACACATTCAGGATTGCCAACCGCTCGAATGGCCGTTTATCTTAAACGAAGCCAGTAAAATGTTGGAGAAACCGAACACACATTTTAAACGGAGTTTAAAAATAAACTAGTTTATTATAAACGTAGTTTACACCATTTTGGGGAAACCGGGCCTAAGGAGTATATTTTATCTATACTAATAACATAACAGACTAATTTTTACATATAAATAAATTTATTGCTTAGGCTACATGAGTAAAGAAAACATATTGTTTACACTTATGGAGTAAACAATCTTCAAATAAATTTAAAATGTTCAGCAATTAAAATTAATGTTCTGGAAAAATTGCTTTTTTGCAGCCCTATCAGCTGTTACTTAACTGTTGAGTTAGTGATGTTTTACTGTAATACTGTTCATGGACAAGTGTGGATAGTAGCAATCGTTGTAAACAGTTTAAAGAAATGTTGTTTAGTATGGGTTATCATAGTCTTTATGTGGGCTGGGATCACAGTAATTGGAGCCCAAAGATTAAACTGAACAAAGTAAATAATAGGCTTTAGACTTTTCATCTGAGCAAAATAATGATCACTAAATTAAGAAAATCACTGAATATTCAAAACCTCAACTCTTAATTTTTTAGAAGAGCACCTTCAATTATTTAAGATGAGGACGCCACTATATTCGTATTATAACCCCGTGGCGCGATCTCATAGTCCGAAATGTTCCTTAGACACAGCTGTTAATTAATAGCCCATACAGCCAATGACAACTAAGGGACCTACAGTTTATAGTGGAATCCGAACCACATTTTTCCTTGTAATTAACAAATTGGTCTAATTATTAGGATAGTACTACGGACAGTCATAGTACTCACTAGTGTGGACGTTAATCCACACCAGGGAGTGGATTTTATAATCCACCTTATAAAACTGCCACTACAATACTTACCGGAAGGAATAACCGCTGAGCAGCACAAGGTTTAAACAGTTTACGCCATTCTTCTTTTCCGTTTTCTGGGAATGCTACATGATGTATTTCATAGGTGTATGTCTTGTTAACAAGAATTTTCCATTCATCAAGCTGAAAATAACAAATAAATAGGCTTATGTTCTTTTTTATATGTAACTCTCCATGCCAGGTATTTTTTATACTTGGCACCCAATTAAATTTCAGGATGGAAATACAGATAGGTTACTTTATCAATGTTCTTAAGTATTTCTGTATTCTAATTGTATCAAGAGCATAATTTTGTATACTTCTCTTTTTTTTTAAAGAGGTTGGCGGCCTCTTTTCACCTTGCATTTGCCCGTCCACATAGACTAAGCGCCCGTGCGTGGAACGTTTACAGCAAAGCAAGGAGTGAGCCGGTACAGTACAAAGGTGAACTGTACTGATAAATTATAGTGGCAGTGACCTTTTAAGAAGATCATTGATATGACAGCGCACACTAATTTGATTGTAGCAGAATTACCATACAAGTATCATGCAGCCCAACTAAATAATAGAGTTACTTGCTTGAATATGGAGATAGAGCAGTTGGTAAATAATGCTAAGCATGCAGTTCTGTTACCACTAGGTGACCTCTCCCGTACGCTGTACACAAAATACGGCCTTCACTTCAACAGATTGGGCAAAAATAAAATTGCTTGCATGTTGCGAGATATTTTTTATCCACAACCCCAAGACCCATCTTACAATGAGTTAACATTTGAAGAAAACATGGTTGATGTTAGGGACGAAAATATGAGACAAACTTTTGAAAAGTATAAAGCTGACTCCACAGTTGCGTTTGCTCATACTATTTCTGCCGACATAAACTGTAATAGAAACATGAGCGCCGGAGTGGCAGTTACATTTAGACAAACATTCGGAAGGCCAAAAAAAGAAGATTTCATTGATACTAAATTAACTTGTCAGGTGATAAATGAGGGTGCCAGTATTTTTAGTTTGGTGACAAAGCCTGAATATTTTCAAAAGCCAAAATATGATGATTACAAGGAATCTTTTTCACAGCTCACAAAACATTTTAAAATCCGAAAACTAAAAACCTTGATTTGTTCGCCGATGGGCTGCGTGCGAGATCATATTAAGCTTCACCAGTTTGTCTCAAATGCCCTATATTTTCATGTACAGACCGGAGCTAGGATCATCATCATCTCCCATGACCAGGACTCTGATCGAGTATTGAGAAATGGACTGTCTCATTCAGCTTTTCTGTCAAGACTTAGAAAGGAAATACAGAGGCATACAAAGTTGTCAGCTACTGAGCAGGATGCTGCTATGTCTGAAGCTGTGGCGACTCCAGGTCCATCACCCCACCATGACCATCCAACATCTCAGAGGCCAGACGATGATGTGCCTACCCTGGCCAGCCTCAACACCTTCCCTCCACTCACCCCATCACACTACCAGTTACAGCATAGTGAAAATATCAAGTGCAAAAGTGGTAGTGAAAAGCAGAGTACAAGTGATACCCAGGGTAATATTGATCTGCCAAAGACTCCCATTTCTGGCAGCAATGAGAATGATTTTTTATAGATAGGAAATTATTATTGTCAAAAAAGATACATTCAATTGATAATGAAATACACATAAATAATAGTCAAAATAACATGGATGATGTTCATTTAACTAACAAAAAACGACTGGAAAGTGAAACTTTTATGAATTTGGATTTTGAAAACCCACTAGACATCTCTGAAAATGTATCTTTTTTGCCAAATGGTTGTTTGAGGTGTAAAGATACTACTGTAAATAATGTAAAAATGTTCAAAAATAACACCTCCTCTCCTATTGTAACAAACAAACATTCCTCTAACGTATTAATTCTCCATCAAAATATCCAGCATTTTTCATCTCGTACTTTATCCCTTGAAATTATTTTAGACGAACTAAAGCCCCATTTTGTTATTCTTAGTGAACACAAGCTCAATAATGATGAAATTAGTTTTGCACACATTTCTAACTATAATATTGTAAGCTATTACTGTAGGAAAACCTACTTAGGTGGAGGTGTTATGATTCTTTCTCGTGACTGTAACCATATTAAAGTAAAAAAAATTATAATTCCTGCAGTTGAAAATTTGGTTAAGGATAAGTATTTTGAATGTTGTATGATTGAGGCGAGAGTTAATGATTTCATATTTTTATTGGTTGGTTTGTATAGAACTCCAGGATCTGTATACGAAAATATTTTTCTTGAAAAATTAGATAGTTTGTTAGGCCTTATTTTTGAAAAATATGAAAGAGTAATTGTGGCTGGAGACATTAATATTAACGTTCTTAAGTTTTCCAAGGGCTATCAGATATTCAATAATATTTTAAATGAATATAATATGCATTATTTGGTAGACTTTCCTACTAGAATAACATTAGAGGGTGAAAGTGGTATTGATAATATATTTACTACAATTCCTAAAAACAATCTTTTAGTATCAGGCCTAATCACTGAGCTCTCTGATCATGACGCTCAACTCTTAGAAATTCGGGACATCTCTTCTAAACAAAAGTTTAACAAACCTACTATTAAATCTAGTAGAAAATTCCTTCCTGAAAATTTAACCAAATTCAAAAATTATCTTGCACAGGAAACGTGGACTGATTTATATTTAGCGACTGTAGAGGAAAAATATGATGTATTTTTTAATATCCTTATGTTTTATTTTGATAGTTGCTTTCCTAAGTTAAAGTCTCGTGCCTGTTCAAAATCAAAAAATTGGATTACTCCGGAACTTAAGTTAGCTAAAGATGAAATAATACTATTAAGCCGAGAAATTAGGGTAAATAAGGATAAGTTTTTAATAAAAAAGCTAAAAGACCTGAAAAGAAGCTACGCAGCCCAATTAAATAGTACTAAACGACATTATATCGAAAGCAATATAAGAAATGCCAGTAATGTCTCAAAAACTACTTGGAATATTATTAATAGGGAACTAAACAGAAACCGAGTTCGTAAAAATGAAATCCAATTAAAAATTGGTAACTTTGAATACACTGAACCTGATGATATATGTGAAATATTTAATGATCATTTTGTAAGTTTGGTAGATAGGATTGGGGACTTGTCTTCGGGAGCTCTTGGTGCAATCTCAAATCCTGTAAATTCAGTAAAATTTTATTTAAAGCCTGTTGATGAAGCTGAAGTAGACAAGATTCTTTCTTCTTTTGAAAACAAGTTTACCTGTGGTTTTGATGATATTCCTATGCCTGTTTTAAAAAGTGCTAAAGATGTTTTAGCTAAACCATTGGCTCATTTAATCAACTCTTCTTTCATTTCAGGAATATTTCCAAGTAAATTAAAAATCTCTAAAATTAAAACATTACATAAATCTGGTAGCAATAAGGACCCTTCTAATTACAGACCATTATCTATTTTGCCATGCTTATCAAAAATCTATGAGCGTGCCATGCATTCACGATTAATGAATTTCTTAGAAAATAATAGCTTATTTGATACTGAGCAGCATGGATTCAGGCCCGGTAAATCGCAACAATTGATTTGATAGAAACTATAATTGATGCTATTGATAAGGGTGAGAGCACTGTCGGGGTGTTTATGGATATTAGTAAAGCCTTTGATAGTGTCTGCCATTCAACATTAATTTCAATTTTAAAAAATTTTGGTTTTGCTAACAATGCTTTAAATTGGTTTCAATCTTACCTTGAAAACAGATTACAATATGTGGAAATTAATCATATAAATAACTTCAACCAATTAAGAAATGTAAAATCCTCATTGAGGTGTATCAAATATGGTGTACCTCAAGGTTCGATTCTTGGTCCCATTTTATTTCTTTGTTATATTAAAGGTCTGCCAACAGCATTAACAGATAATATGGCAAAATTGTGTCTATATGCTGATGATGCAAATTTGTTGGTTTCTGGTAAATGTTTTAATAAAATACAAGAGTCGGCCCAAAACAATCTGTTATCTATAAAAAACTACTTAAACTTCAATAAATTATTTCTCAATTTTAATAAAACCAATTTTATGTCATTCAGTACAGCACAAAAGAAAAATCCAGAATTCTGTATTAAAGTAAATGATCTCCAAATTACTCAGGTAAAGGTAACAAGATTTTTGGGTTTATTGCTTGATGAAAATTTATCATGGTCACTCCATACGGATAAATTGTTACATAAAATTTCCTCGGGTTTATTTGCCTTAAGAAATCTGTCAAAATTTTGTTCCCTTGAGATATTGCTTAAGGTTTACCATGCACATATCAACTCACACATTACATTTGGTATTGAGTTATATGGAGCTACAAGTAATCAAAATTTACAAAGTATTCTAATCCTTCAAAAAAGGGCAATAAGAATCATGTTAAATCTGGATGATGAAGAATCGGCCAAAAAATATTTTCCTAAATTAAAAATTCTAACCGTTTACAGCTCATATATATTGCACACTATTATGCATGTGAGGGCTTCTGAAGACAAGGTGCCACTGCTGGGGGATAATCATAGATATAATACTAGGCATAAAAATTATCCATCCGTAACACAACACAAACTGGAGTTTTATAACAAGAAACCAACAGCTGCAGGTATTAGGTTTTTGTACCATCTACCAAAAGAAATATTTGATATAAAAAACATTAGGTCTTTTAAAAAAAAACTTAAATTGTTACTAATTGATAGAGCATTTTACTCATTTGAAGAGTTTTACAACATGTAATTACATTAATTAAATTTTCCTGTTTTATTTAGTTTAACAAAGTATTTTTAATTAGTAATAAGCTGTTTTGACGCCATTCTGTATTTATGCATATATTTCATGTAGGTATATAATGTATAAATCTTGAATAAAGCTTTTCTGATTCTGATTCTGATTCTGATTCTGATCCGAACCCACGACATCGCTGCCTTGGGCCCGAAGTCCGCGATGCTACCGACTGAGCCACCGACTCACATAAAACAGAAACTCCACAGAAACATTGTTAGTCGTCTCTCTCTATGATATTTTATTTAGTTTCCAGCAATGTTTCTTTTCGAGAACCGCACAGCTGGAAGTTTTTTGTGAATCAACTCATACACATGATCTTTATTCACACTTTTTTTAGCATTCTCGCTGTTTTTTTTTTAATAGGAGATTTTTAATATCTTCAAATTCAAGACGGGTCATTTTTGTAGTTTCTGGAACCTTTGTGTACTTCTAACTTTGGTTCTGATAAAAGTTTTGACCATAATGGAAAATTTCTTCAAGAAACTTGCAGGTAAGTCCATCTTCGCTTCTTTCTCAGTAAACTTACCTCATAATTCAGAAAGATAACACATACACATACACTACATCTCCTTCAGTCACCCTTTTGACAGACACTTGTTGGATAATGCAGACATAAACAAAATCAGAAACTGAATCATCGGACGGCAGATAGGATACAATGTTATTATATCCCTTACATTACTCCCTCTCATTATATCTCCTACAATTGGAAGACTATGTCACACAGAAATTATGTGCAGGTATAAATTCAGAAGAGTAACTTACGAGTTGCAAACAGTGTAGGCAAACATTCACTAAGAAATGAGGAAAGATATGTCGCAACAAAGATAAGACCTAACTATTTTTCCAGCTTAAATTTATGAATTGCTGACTAACAACAGTTTTTAACCCTTCCCGGACGGGTGACGGATATATCCGCCTAAGTCTTTGGCATTAAAGGGCGGGTGGCGGATATATCCGCTTATGGTTTTTGATGTTTGATGAATGTGGGCAGTTCTCTGATTTTTATGTCTTTTTAATTTGGATTTTCTTAACATGTTGTCTATTAATTTTGTAGTGTATCCATTAAAAGTCGCTCATTTTTTATATATTTCAGTTCTTTGTTAAATCTTTCTTCTGTTAAAGGTGTTTTGAGTACTGTAATCTATGAATTAATGAATGAAAAACAGCCCTTTTCTGAAATGGAGGATGGTTTGAGTCATTGGTTATATGTGTATTCTTTCTGTATATGTACAACTATTTCTTAACTATTACTATTTATCAAACTATTACTCAGCTGATAGTTCACAACCACACGCCTCCGTGGTGTCAACACCACGCCGACACACAGTAAATTTTAAGGCAAAGATGAGTGTTGAATGAATGAGATGACAGATTTCTGTTTTTAAGATCAGCTGATTCGTTGGCCATGATCATTTATTAAAAGCGCAGTTTATTTATTTATTACATACGGTGTACATCATTTTTACAAATATCATCATGCAATCCAAGATGCCCTAGTTTAGAACACAATAACACTAACTTAATTCAATTAAATAATAAATACAACATGGTACTTGACAATGGCAATGATCATAGTAGTGATTAATAACAGATATATTATCAGATTTTTTTTCATTATCACTTACCTTTTCTTCAAATCCTTTTATCAGTGGGGTGTCTGCAAAGATTACCACTCGCAGACTAACGTTGTTACTAAAGAGGATGGCAGACTTAATCATAACTAACGTTTCATGAAGCCTATCCCCACAAGCAACAGCAGCCAGAACCACCTCAAGTTTGTTTCTGAAACAGTACAACAAATAACACTATGAAAGTTATAAGGTGGGTGCACCCCATGAATGACCGTTTTGTATATAAATACCCCTGCTGCAGCAAACCTGCAGACTAAGCGAATTTCCATTTGCCTGAATTGAATTTAAATTAATATCTATTTAAATAACATTAGGTTTAACGAGTACCTAGGTTTGCTGCTACAGAGAGGCTAATTAAGTGTGTTTTTTTAGTAAAATATTAGTAGCTTAGTATAATGACCCTGTTCCCATGGTCTGATCACGCTGGTTTGCAAACTCATGTAAGACTTTCCCGCCTTACACCTTCAATTTCACAAAAAACCTTACACCAAATTTCGTCAAAATCGGGCATAAATTACCTACTCAAGTTATCGCGCTCACGGAAGTATATATATATTGTATAGATATATATATACAAATTTGAACGAATTGTGTTTTTATCCTCTAGGGACATCAAAATGAATAGGTAAGTATATCAGTCCCGGCTCCAGGTCTTAGTGGTCTTACCGTGCCACCTACGGTAATAGCTACCCTACCTAGATATTACCTATACTTAAGTAAGAAAAGTTGGGTATAGTTAGGTAAAATAATATAGTTAGTACCTAAGCTATCTTTCCCTATAGGGAAATTCGCTAAAAACATCATAACTAGCTTTATGTTTTGACTAGCAACTTTGGGGCCTGGTTTGAATCTATCCTTTCACTGATAAAGTTTAGTTAGGTACTTACACTTACTAGGCCTATTTATATAAATTAACTTATTTCTAACTTACCGTAGCCTACTCAACTTTGTGGTGGGGTTAGGTTAATTTTAACTTAAAATGTAGCCTACCTTTTGAAAATAGTAATCATAAATAACCATTACCATTGCCAATACCTACTCCTATGTCGTTGTCCAACACTTGTTGGATAGACTGCATCAAATAAAATTTTAAAGTGGTAAAACTAATAAAAAAATAACAAATTAACCAATATTTACAAATAGAAAAACTAGTGATGGCGGTGCATATTATATGTTTGAGAAGTACTCGCCACACACTTCCCCAAAAGAGTACAGCGGCTCATTTGTGAGCTTGTTAAAAAGCTGCATGGAGAAAGCTTTCATGTCTTCAATGTGGGCCCGAGGCGGTAACATGTTGTAGAATCGCATGGCTGGAATGGGATGGGCTGCCAAGGATCTTGATAACCTGCATCGAGGAATGTCAAGTTTCTGTGCATTCCTGGTGTCATAATTATGGAGATCACCCCTCTGTTGATATTCCCCATTGTTATTCTTGAGATTAATCAGGCCGTAGTAGACATATTGGCTGAAGATGGTCATAACCTTAAGGTTAGCAAATAGGGGCTTACAGTGGTCTCTATAACCAGCGGCTGACAGCACTCTGACTGCCTTCTTCTGCAGACGTAGCACTTTTATACAGCCAGGAGCATGTCCCCAGGGCAGGATTCCATATCTGATATGGTTTTGAAATAGGGCGTGATATACATTTATTAAGTATTTATCGGTGACAACCCCCCTAAGTTTCCAAAGAAGAAAAACCACACGGGAGAGTTTAACACATACTGTACATGACTGATATGTTGTTCCCAGGTAAACTTAGGGTCTAGGCTGAAGCCCAGCAATTTCACGCTGCTTTGGTGATCAAAATTCTTTGTTTTGCTTAAAGTGCATATCATCCTCTGGGTCTTGTCTCCATTCAACTGCAGCCGATTTCTGACGAACCAGATTTTAGCAGCAACCAGTGCAGCTTCTGCCTCTATCAAAACTTGGTTTATAACTTTCCCTCTAGTTAGTATTGGTGTCATCAGCATACAGGAGTGCTCTGCCCTGGAGATGGAGGTCATTTACAACAATCAGAAACAAAAGAGGGCCCAGGACCGAGCCCTTTGAAGGAGATAAAATAACTTATGAAGGAGTTGGATATCAAGGGTAGACTTCCACAGGAACCTACGATATAAAGTCGGATGAATAACGATAAATATCGAAATCGATTATTCCATTGTTTCATTCAATATATCAATCGATTTTTTCATTCGGTTGTTTGTGATAACAGATATGGAAGTCTAACCCCTTGTTTTCATTTAAATAGGCATAGGCCTATTTTTAATATTAAAAATGGAAGAAACTGTAAATTTTAAATGGTTTGTAGTTTTTTGGTTTATATTTCTTAATAGGCTACCTATTTTTATTGTTAGTTTAAGTTATGTGTTATAACTTACTTATTGTTTTTGTTCTTTTTTTGTTAGGCTACATCTGTCATACACTCTTTCGAAAGGATATATAGAGCTATATATTGATTATTTCATTAAATATATAAAGTTTGGTTAGTTAGTTTAACCTAACCTAACTAACCGAATAAAAAAAGTTAAGGTACCGTAATCGATTTATTGAAAAATCTATATACGGTATCGATATTTTTCATTCGAATGAGTGTAGGACAGATACTAAAGTGCAGCCAAATACCTATTACTAAAAATGTAGGCCTAGACCTAAAATAAGTTAAATAACCCAATTTTGAAATCGATGTTTAGACTACAATTAAAAAAAGTTAAGCTCTTAAGTTAATCGATATATTGAACCGGACAAGTTTAGATAGGGGCCTATATATCATTATTCATCCGATAATATATATCATAGGTTCTCTGGGGAAGTGTACCCGATATCAAAGTTTTGCCATCATTTGACAACCCAGACTTTTACGAAGTTAATCATAAGCTAAGAACTAATACCTACTAACTTAGATAGACCTAGTTCTAGGCCTATCTTAAGATACTGTAGTACATGAGATTAGAAAACTTACCCAATAACCTGTCCAAAATTTTCATTATCCAACGATTTATTCTGATGCGTTGCTATGGCTATAGGCTGTTTATGAAACCCTCCGTCCACATCACCAGGTCTATGCCTGTGGAGCGTACTTGAATTTTGCTGGCGTAATATAAGCTTCTCTTTGTTATGAACTTGGACGGATGTAGTAAGTTTTCGAGCATTATTCTTTGAGGAATATGGTATTGAACTGTATTGAAATGACTGTATAAGATATATCACTAAAATTCCCATAAGTATCCATACTATAATGGTGATTTTATTTCTGCGCCTCATGCCTTTCTTTCAACTAAAATGAAATTAACGCTTCCATTATTTAAGAAAAAATCAAATGCAATAGGCTATTTAAGTATGGTAAATTTTGTCATGGCATTTTAACCTCTTCAAGGTGGAAAAGGTAAGGAATTGTGTATTTTCCCACTGTTATAGATAGTAATACAGTATTAGACAAGGCAATTTGGAGAACAAGGACACCAAGGGATTTAAGGTGAACAGCAATCGCAAGTTCCTATATAAAAAATTGAATTTAGCTTAAGGTTATTTTAAAAGTGAATAATTAAAATCACATCACTGTCACACCAACCTAATGACAACCACTGAGCTATAAGAGACAACTACACAAACAAAACAATATAGAATATACAAACAACGTAAACACAGAAAAAACGTGTAATTGAATTAAGTGTAAACAGAACAGATGTTTTTTGGTTTTCTGGCCTTGGCCAGGCTAACATGCTTTTCCACGAAACTTCAAGTTTTATAACCATCCCCTACCAAAAAGTCATTTTGCAGGATTTCAATTGCTTTTCCAAGCAATTGATTTCACAAAACTGATTGGTAATGTCATAGATATCCCCGTGTGGTACCGGGTAAGAATAGGACCACATTCTTCCCGGGATTGTGACGTAAGAGGCGACTAAAAAGAGACAAGGGTAACCGACGTTCTCACTGAGAGCACAGAAAACATACTAGTACTATAACCCAGAATGCCAACCGCATGGTAAAAAAGCGTTAAGTACTTTGAGAGAGCTTTGCCTGTCAATTCGTAGATAGCGCCACCAGTGTTGCTATGCTGAGTGCCAACTCCTTGAGGAGTATGTTTTATCTATATGTGTGCTCTGCACTGCCGATGGGTATTCTCAGTGGATCGTGAGAAGCCAGCCACATCGGTCCTTAGTCAGGGAGTGCAGCTTGGATGTAGAGGTCGGGCTCTGCATTAATTGCAACGGGCAACCCCCGGCACGCCAGGTATCCGGTGCTGGGAAAACGGCCCCGGGGAATTAGGGTAAGGGTTTTTGTCCACAAAGGTATACCCGTTCCTGATTGATTCCGGCCGTTCTATCCATGAAGAACAATAAGGCTCCTGGACCCAATGGGATAGGGATACCCAGCATAGTCCTCAAGAAGGTTTTGACTACTAACCCCTTGATCCTTTTGAGCATGTACAACGCCTGCCTAGTCAAAGGTGCTTTCCCATCGTGCTGGAAAACAGCTAGGCTTGTGCTAGTTGGGAAGGGGAAGGGAGACCCAGACCTGCCTTACTCTTACAGACCTCTGTGCATGTTGGATACGGCTGGCAAAGTCCTCAAGAAGTTGATCCGTTCCCGGCTGAATTCAGCCGTGGTCGCTGCGGGGGACCTGTCCCCTCGTCTGCATGGATTCAGGATGGGGCGACCTACGGTTGAAGCTATTGAGGAGGTGAAGCAAGCCGTGATGAGAGCTGAGGATTTTAACCACTATTCTCGTAGGGTCGTGCTGCTCGTAACACTCGATGTGCGAAACGCATTTAATTCCGCGAGGTGGTGCGATATGCTGTATGCTCTGGAGAACACCTTCCAAGTTCCGGCATACCTCAGGCTCATCATAGAGGATTATCTCCGGTTGCGCCTTCTCATGTATGGCTCTACGGAAGGCCCACGGACGATTAGTGTCATTCCGGTGCTGTCCAAGGTTCCACACTCGGTCCAGACCTCTGGAATGTCGCTCATGACAGCCTTCTTAGGTCTGAAATTCCTGAGAAAACTATTTTGGTTGGGTACGCAGATGACTTTGAAAGCTGCACGTAGCGTTGAGCTGGCTCAGCTAAAGCTGAACCAAGTTATAGACTGAGATCGTGGTATTAACAAAAAACGGATTGACACCATCGGGCTGTCAAAGAACAGACCGTTCGTACTGCCAAGTACCTGGGGTTATGGTGGACAGCAAGCTAAGCTGGCGGGATCAGATTTTCCGTATGGTGGACAGGGTCGCCAGGGTGGTTTCCTCTCTTAGCCGTTTGATGGCCAATGTCGGAGGGCCTCGGTCCAGTCGTAGAAGGCTGTTAATGTCTTATGTCCAGTCCGTACTCTTGCACGGTGCGGAGGTGTGGGCAGACGCTCTCAATAACGAGGTATATAGGATGCGGCTCGCCCGAGTGCAGCGTCAGGCAGCACTAAGAGTAGCATCCGCCTATCGAACAGTGTGAGGACAATTGGACCTGTCTGTCACACTACATCCAGGTTATTCTCTGTGCCAAGAAGCTCGACCTTGACTGGGATGCGGTGTAGGTCATAAAGAATCTAAATGCCAGAAACGGTGAGAGCCCTGAGGGCTTTATGGTCACATGTTGGCCTGACTTGAAGTAATGTGACAAACAATTCCAGGTCTGTGTCCAACATAGTAGAGGGGTTTTTTTTAGTGAGAAGTCTGTGATAAATTCAGGAGTCTCACACTACTGGTATTCGTAAAAGAATTTTCCCTCCTCTCCCAAAAAAATGTCATAGGTAAAACATACTCCATTAGTTTTGAATGGGTAAGGGTAATGATGAACCTTGGAAACTTATGTATACATTATTTACAACAAAGGCACATAAAGGACGCTGGGTTAAAAAAAACACTCCTCAAACTCCAACTTAAAGTAACTCTTTTATCAAAAGTATGTAATCACTATCAAACTATCGAAGCATTCATAATTCGATATAAATAAATGAGAATACATTTATCATAACTTTAGATTGTGCTATAACCACTGCCACTTAAAGGTGGCCGTACTATAACCAATGGTAAGGACAAATATATATCGTTGTTTGCACTCCTCACTCAATCTTCAAAATACTTGTCTGCTTTGAGCTAAAACTAAAAGTGATGTCATCCTTCCAACATTGTCATTGTCATGTCAATTGTCAAATGCGAATCTAGAGAGCGAAAGGAAAGTGATTAGTGAACAGTGAAGTAAGTTGTTATAATTTTATGATCATCTATGAACTAAGATCAATAACATATGGTCTTTGTTGTTTTTAATCTCAATGGATTCTAATAATCAGTATGGTGAGGATCATGTATTTAAACTCATATGCCAATATTGCTTAATATTTACAGTGGGTTTCAGCTATTGTAAACAATGTATACACCAATAATTAGCCTAGGAAAAGTTACGTTTAAGCATGTTGACAATTAGAAAGCCTAGGCTTAGTATACCCTCACCTTCTTTTGACTGGGAATGTTGGTTGCCCTTGTAAATTCATGTGCAGTTTTTACAATTTCACTTGTTCAAATTTAAGAATGAGTGTTGTACAGGGACAACAAGACACACACAAACACTTCACCCCACCCTTTTTTTGTTGCATCAGCATCACTCAGTGTTGTAGACCTATAAAAGAATGAATTTTCTCTCTACGCTTTTGACCTCTCTTTTCACCACTCGGCCTCTCATATTTTCATATAGCCTATTCTAGCAGACTCTTCAATACGTTTCTCAGGATATCCTAAATCTTTGAATCCAGTCGACCAGCATAATGCTAATTATGCAAGCATTAATATTGGGTACAGTTCGGCAGAGAACCTATGATGGCTGCACTTTACTTTAGGTCCTACACTCATTCGAATAAAATATCGATCGATATATCGTTTGGTTAGTTAGGTAAGGTTAACCTAACCTAACTAACCAAACGATATACGGAATGAAACAATCAATATTTTCATTCGGTTGTTTGTGTAGGACCTAAAATAAAGTGCAGCCCCTATGATATATTACCAGATGAATAACGGCAAATATAAATATTTATCTGATTCAATGTATCGATTACAATAGCCTATATTGTTAATTTTTTCCCCAATGTAAACATTGAATTGCTTTAAGTTATGATTTGTTTAAGTTTTTATTCATATAAAATAATTTAAATAAAACTATTGATATTTAACCAAAAACTGTTTTCAATTTTCTATAGCCCACTGATGATATGGTAATCAAATAGAGAAAATTCATGGTTTCTTTCATTTTTATTTTTAAGTACGGTACCCTAGGTAACTTACCTTATCTTGGGAAAAACTAAGAACCAAGAAAACCTCTGCAAACTGACACCTCGTCACTGAATTACAACTGACAACAAAATTTGGAATAGAAAAAGCTCAAGGGCTACTGACAAAAACTACAAGTGCGGAGGAAAACTCCACAAGTGCCCGCTCGAGGGTTAATTTTTGTTTGATATAAAATGAACCGTAGGCTGATATGTTCACCATTATCCTGAAATGAGAACTAAAATTTAAGCTATTTTATCTTTTAAGGAGGAAGTTTATGAAAAATTCAAAATCTTTAATTATTAGCCAAATATATTGAAACTTTTTCTAAATACCTATAACCATACAAACAAAAAATACCCCCGCCGCAGCAAACATGCAGACTAAGCGAATTTCCATTTGCCTGAATTGATTTTCAATAAATGTACCGGTATTTAATTAACATTAGGTTTTATGAGTACCTAGGCTTGCTGCTACAGGGAGGGTAAAAATGTGTTTTTTAGTAAAATATTAATAACTTAGTATAAAATAAATAAATTTACCAAGTTTGATCAAAATATATCTATAAACAAGCAAACTAGGCCTACAACATTATTTACAACATTCTCCATAAGAATAACATGGGAAAAAAAAAGATTTTTTTAATTTTTCTCCGTAACCAATAATTGTACAAAAATACTTTGATATACTATTTGTTATATAAATTATTTGTTTTTTAAGCTCTTTAAAAAGGTCTGAAGATAAATTGGGAAATTTTGTGTTTAGAGGTCAAAAATTAGAAAAACCAATTTTTACCCCATAAAAACCCTCGTAAAACCCCGTTCCCATGGTCCGATCATGCTGGTTCGCAAACTCATTCAAGTTTATCCTGCCTTACACCTTCAAACCAAATTTCATCAAAATCGGACATAAATTATTCAAGTTATCGTGTTCACGGACACAAATATATAAAAATCTATATATATATATATATATATATATATATGTAAATTTGAACGAATGGTGTTTTTGGCCTTTGGGGACATCAAAATTAAAAAGTAAAAAGCAAAACAAGCCTAAAAACAAGTAAAAATAGGCTAGCCTATACTTATACATGCTTACATATAAAAAAAAGAATGTGGAAATGTGAGGACATTAAAAGTTAACCTCGTCAACCTTAAAATATTCTTCTATGTCATCAAAAGGATTTAAAAGTAACCGTAAAAAAGAGCGTTCTTAGTGCAATATTTTTGTAATTATATAGTTGTATCCTATTTCGCTGATTTTAGTCACTTACTCATCTTCTGATCACTTTTTCTTCTATCTTCTTTGATTGTTCTGTTCAAATGCCGAATTTGGATGATTGTTCTTGGTTTTGAAAAGAGCCTAATAACTTTGGCCATACACTGTGGAATTTGTGTTTTAAAATGTTTTCAAATCGTGTGACAACACAAAATTTGTCTATCAAAGGAGTCACCGTGAAGAATGGGGAACTACCTGTCAAACTTTTGGATCAGTAGCTCCATTTTGTCAGGCGGCATTGTTAGGCCTGGAAAATGTTTATGTACTTTGTTCATTTAACTGCTATAGCTATACAAGTATCTAATCATTCAAATATTGTACTGGGGTGTTAACAAATGCTGTTTAATTTCATGTTCTGATCATTATGTACATGTAAAATAACTATATAGGTACGATAAAGTAGATCTACAATAAATATTATTAAAATCTTGACTTCAGTATAATTTTTTTTTTGTAATTTGTGTTGAAAATACCTGAGCCAGCTCCTGTATTCTATAGCCCCGGTGTATATCTATGAAAATGGAAAATAATTAATCCTATAACCACTTATTGTACATTATATTATTTTACCCAGGCAATGCCGGGTTTTGCTGCTAGTATATGTTTAAACTAGCTGTACCCGCGGGCTTTGCCCCATTTAACTTCATATCGTTCGCTACGCTCACTCACCTTTGGGTTGGAGCTCGTTCGCTGCGCTCACTTGCCTTCAGGTTAGCTCGTTCGCTACGCTAACTCGCCTCCAGGTAGAAGTTTGTTCGCTACGCTCACTCACCTTTTGGTTGCAAATTAGCTGTTGTCATAAATTTAAAAAAATAATAGTGCTGCACCCTGTTGGTAATCCTTGTAACTTTAATGCTATTGAACATCATAGAACAGAACCAACTTGTTTAATTGAAACAGCTGTTAAGATTCAATATTTCCTTTTAAATATGAAAAATCATAAGGTTGACATGGGAAACTCCAGAGCCACTGGGGCTGAGCCCGAGAGTCCGATCAGAATAAAAACAGCTTAGTTTTCCTATTTAACGCCTAAAGAATCAGTGTACCAAATTTCAGCCTCCTAGGTAAATGGGAAGTAAGAGAATTAGTGATGAGTGAGTGAGTCAGTCAGTGAGGGCTTTGCCTTTTATATATATAGACTAGCTGTACCCGCGGGCTTTGCCCCGTTTAACTTCATATGTGAGCTCGTTCGCATGGCTCAATCACGTCCTGGTTGAAGTTCGTTCGCTACGCTCACTCACCTTAAGGTTGAAGCTCGTTCGCTGCGCTCACACGTCCTGGTTGAAGTTCGTTCGCTACGCTCACTCACCTTTACGGTTGGAGCTCGTTCGCTACGCTACCTCGCCTCCGGGTTGAAGTTCGTTCGCTACGCTCACTCACCTTTTGGTTTCAAGTTAGCTGTTGTCAAATATAAACAAAAAAAATAATAGTGCTGCACTCTGTTGGTAATCCTTGTAACTTTAATGCTATTGAACATCATAGAACAGAACCAACTTGTTTAATTGAAACAGCCGTTAAGATTCATTAATTCCATTTAAATATGAGTACTCATAAGGTTAACATGGGAAACTCCAGAGCCGCTGGGGCGGAGCCCGAAAGTCTGATCAGAATAAAAACAACTTAGTTTTCCTATGTAATGCCTAAAGAATCAGTGTACCAAATTTCAGCCTCCTAGGTAAGTGGAAAGTGGGTGAATTAGTGATGAGTGAGTGAGTCAGTCAGTCAGTCAGTGAGGGCTTTGCCTTTTATATATATAGATTCTATGTAATTATAAATATTAGAATAACTATTATATGCTACACAATGTAAAAATTGTCAAGAGCAATAAATAAATAAAGGTAGGGAAGCGTGTAAAAGAGTGAGATTTTTGCTAGCCGCGTAATGGAAGCAGGTCCGACTTTCAGCCCGGTAACGTCACAGGAGATGGGGGAGCGGGACCATGTCGGAAAGTGCTACATCAAAGACATGAGCCAGCCCTTGTTTTCTATAGCCCCGGTGTATATCTATGAAAATAGAAAATAATTAATCCTACAACCACTTATTGTACATTATATTATTTTACCCGGGCAATGCCGGGTTTTGCTGCTAGTATATGTTTAAATATAGTTTTTCTGTATGAACTAACTAGGTTTTAGTCAAATTGTATTACTAAAATACTCAAAACAAAACAATCCAAGGTTGAAAATATTGCCATACAAATAACTCTAACTACGGTATTTTATTCAAGGTAAATAAAAACCGTTTGGTCTTATTTTATGTTTTTTAGATACAGAATTTAATGGAGAACCAAAATATGTCAAAAAACATTTTCACAAAAATTCTGTTTTTTTCATGAACTCCTCCTGTAATGCATCATCATAATTTGTTTTGTAGACCTATAGAGGTTCATTATGAAATGGTCAATTTGTTGGGTTCACAATAGTTTTTTTAGGCTATATTGAAATATTTTATATGAAATCATATTTTGGATCAACATCTGAATGACAAATCTGCACTGTATCCAAGATCTAAACGTCGAGTTTTAAGACTTTCTTTACATTTAACTGTTACATCACTCTACTACCATGTAAAAAAATGTGTTGGGCAATAAGGTTTTTTTTGTGTAGTAACAATGCCATCAAACAAGGAGAATAGTGGGCGAGGAAGAAAGCGATCACAGCTGACTCAGTACGAGGGGGAGAAAGATGAGGACTACAGGCTGCGAAGGGAACGAAATAACGAGGTGAATAACGACTGTAGAACGATAAGTAATAGCAAATTAATAACAACTGTAGAAATGGTAGCATTGATAGTTATCACAGTATTACATGAAATGTGCAGGACATATAGACCTACAAGCTTGAAGAATAAGTCTTTGTAAAGAAGTAAAGATATATGCCAAAAACTTATCTGTGATTATTATTATTATTATTATTATTATTATCATTATGAGATGGGAACGCCACCTAGGTGTGTATTTTAACCTAAATACGAGTGAAGGATGAGTGTAGAATGTTGTGAGATGATCTGTGTAGCTTTGTTATGTCATGGCTATAAGTTATGTTTCACTTAGGCCTGTGTACGGTACACCGACTTATTCATATTTTTACTTAATATATCGAGTTATTTTTTGAGTTGTAGATCATATAAATTCGAAGATATAAATGGCATAATTGAATATCTGTTTAAGGCTGTTCGTAAAAGTCGTGACAAGTCAAAGAAGAAAACTGAACAGACACTGAAGCGAGTTGATGATTTGAAGATGGAAAACTGCATACTTGAGGCACAAATACGAGCATACCGGGATCAACTCACCAGTTTAAAAGCAATTTTCCTTGAACATGCAGGTAACCCAACAAAATATCTCATCAGATTCTGTGATACTTTCATACTCGTAACTATAGTACATATTTTATTACGAGTCTGTTCTCATCATTCAAATATTAGAACTTCCCATATAAAAAGTGTTAATACCTTAATATTTTTGTGCTTTTCAGTTAAAAACATAGGCTACCATATCTAGTAATAAAATTATAGGTGGTTCTTCAACCAAAAACTTTTATTCAAAGCACTATAATTAAGGACAGCTGGGTCTAGTTTCAAACTATTGAAAATCAAAGTACTTTTCTTAGGATCAAACCAGCAATCTTCTGATAACTAAGCGAGCATCACATCCACACAGCTACCTAGCTAAATCTTTTGATTACAAGGCGAGCACCACATCCACCCAGCTACCTAGCTAAATCTTTTGATTACTAGGCGAGCACCACATCCACACAGCTATCTAGCTAAATCTTTTGATTACTAGGCGAGCACCACATCCACACAGCTATCTAGCTAAATCTTTTAATTACTAGGCGAGCACCACATCCACACAGCTATCTAGCTAAATCTTCTAATTACTAGGCGAGCATCACATCCACACAGCTACCTAGCTAAATCTTTTGATTACAAGGCGAGCACCACATCCACCCAGCTACCTAGCTAAATCTTTTGATTACTAGGCGAGCACCACATCCACACAGCTATCTAGCTAAATCTTTTGATTACTAGGCGAGCACCACATCCACACAGCTATCTAGCTAAATCTTTTAATTACTAGGCGAGCACCACATCCACACAGCTATCTAGCTAAATCTTCTAATTACTAGGCGAGCACCACATCCACCTCAGCTACCTAGCTAAATCTTCTGATTACTAGGCGAGCACCACATCCACACAGCTATCTAGCTAAATCTTCTAATTACTAGGCTAGCACCACATCCACCTCAGCTACCTAGCTAAATCTTCTGATTACTAGGCAAGCACCACATCCACCCAGCTATCTAGCTAAATCTTCTGATTACTAGGCGAGCACCACATTAATTCAGCTACCTAGCTAAATCTTATGATTACCATACTAGGCGAGCACCACATCCACCCAGCTAAATCTTCTGATTACTAGGCGAGCACCACATTAATTCAGCTACCTAGCTAAATCTTATGATTACCATACTAGGCGAGCACCACATCCACCCAGCTAAATCTTATGATTACCATACTAGGCGAGCACCACATCCACACAGCTATCTAGCTAAATCTTCTAATTACTAGGCGAGCATCACATCCACCTCAGCTACCTAGCTAAATCTTCTGATTACTAGGCAAGCACCACATCCACCCAGCTACCTAGCTAAATCCTCTGATTACTAGGCGAGCACCACATCCATTCAGCTACCTAGCTAAATCTTCTGATTACTAGGCAAGCATCACATCCACCTCAGCTACCTAGCTAAATCTTCTGATTACTAGGCAAGCACCACATCCACCCAGCTACCTAGCTAAATCCTCTGATTACTAGGCGAGCACCACATCCATTCAGCTACCTAGCTAAATCGTCTGATTACTAGGCAAGCACCTCATTCACCCAGCTACCTAGCTAAATCTTCTGTGTTTATTTTTGGATTTTCATCTATTTTGATCATTCAGGTATGTCTGCTGTTAAACCTATCCATCCACTACAAAAATCTTTAAAATTTATATTTTTATGTATGTCAATGTTTAATCATGACCTAGCAACATGATCCAAAATTGTCCTAATCTTTCCAAGCCAAACTCTAAAACAGATAAAAGAATTATTTGTTTTATTGCAGCAAGTGGGAAGGTGAGCTCAGACATCGACATTGACACAATCCTGAGAGATACGGACATTGACGAAGAGTCCTCCGTCATGACTACCCTCAAATGAATCGCCAAAAAAACTCTTGGATGCATATATATTTTTTAAATTATATTTATAATTATTGTTTTAAAAACACAATAACAATAGCATATACCTTCAGCAAAGGTATACTTTAAAAGAATACCAATTGTGCTAGCTCAGAAAGTAAAAAGTTTTGCAATAGTAAGAGTTTCGCATACCCCTCACCCTTCTTAACTTATTTTCTTAGAAATCCAATGCCAAAGTATCTTGAAAATGTTTTGCCTCAAAGAATGAGTTAGATGTCAAAGACTTTATATTATTTTAATGTTTGATCATTACAAATTGTGTACTTGGCCTATGAGCGTCATAATATTGACTAATAATTAAGTTAGCATTGGATCATTTAATAATTTGTAATATGGACATGGTTCAATTACCTGTTCTTAATTGTGCACGTGAGTTTGAAATTGTTTATGAAGAAAAACAATGTACTATGTGAACCTGGTATTTGTGAAATAAATTGGATTTGATTGTGATGTAAACTTTCATTTAATGAACAATAAATGTATATAATGTTCTTCTAGTGCAGTTTGATTATTTCCCTGAACAATCAAAATTAACATGTTCTGTTTACTGCAACACTAATTTCATACATATTAAAAATGTATAACAGCGAATGAAACAAAAGCTCCAACCATGGAAACAAGACTTATTATCAACTCATGAGAAAAATTAATAGTTGCTGGTTTAGGTGGAAGTTGTGACAAAATAAGTGGATTAGATTATTTACTGTTACTGTGCTGTGCACAAAGAACTTCTTTTTTAAATCCAAATCACTTAATAATTCAGTGAGTTCTAAGGGGTTATAATAAATGACAACACAAGTTTAAGTTATAACATGTTTAATCTTATATTTTATTTATACAAAGAACTATGGGATATTCATCTATCCTACGGTGGATGTGATCAGATCCGCGACCTGAGGTTCAGTGGATCTGACAGTGAGTTGCATAGTGACTCCGTCTCCTAGTGCCAACTTGGCTCTCACTAATACTTGATAGCCTCCTCGGAAAACACCTGTTAGATGCAAACACACATTCTTGTTACGGTTTTATTCTATAATATAGACTCAGGATTCAGCGAGTTCATATTAATGATGGTTTATGATTACGATGATCACGATGGTTTGCTTCACCATTGCAAACAATGGTCCTCTCAATTATAATTGCAAGTTAGGTGACACAGCTGAAATCCAAATATTCTTTATGCATTCTTTTTGAATGAAAAGAATTCTGTATGAGTAAAATTCTGAATAAAAGCCTTTATTTTTAAAGAATGTTCAACTACTTTCAAAGGAGGAAATATAACTGGTGCTTATTATGAATTGAGGCCAAAAAAAAACTATAAATGGAATGTCCAAAATATGAAAAAAATGTCTAACTTCACGGTATGAGCAGAAGGCAGTACTGCCCAGTACCTTCACTTTGATAGATCAACTTCTTCAAATACCGAGGTTTTCTGGAATGAAAAACCTTGTGAACCAAGTGAGGTTTGTATCTTGAACATTAAATAGTTGTACTTTTTAGGTTAAACCATTTTGGGTGATCTGTTTTAGAGCTTTGTTTGGAGAAAGCTGATTCCACATGCACATGAGAGACGATTTTTGAATACTGGAATGGCATAGTTCTTTGAAAGACACACAGTAAAACCCCAACAAGGACCGGGACGAGGTCGTTTTGTATAACCAATTATTTTGTGCTAAACAATAGTTGGAATCTTAAGGCTATTTCGGTTCAAAAAGATCCTCAACAGTCATATTTTACGTTTTTAACAATTTTTAATTACATTTTATTAATAATTTACATTGTGTCATCTTAAACTAAAACTGAACACACACAATCTTAATTAGCTTAATCCACAGTTGACTATTCTTTTGTGAACTTATAATGCTATGAGATGTAATTGACTGCTCAATTACATTCTGTTCGCCAAGCTCGGCTAACTATCCCCACCATGGCAGACAATTCTTAAGACCTAGCTAATTTTACAAATGAATCAAACTTTTTAATGTAGTATTGGTTAACCTGTATTTTAGTTTACAGGGTGTGGTAAAATGGGTTTTACTGCATCGTTGGAATGAATCAGTATATAGTGTTATGACAAATAACTGACCTGCAAGGAACAGTGTGTGTGAAGACTTGCCCGGTGGGACTCGATCGCTGCGCTCGGCAGGCTGCAGTCCCAGAAAGCTGACAACGTTGCTCACCGCCTGTTCGATGCTACTCATGCTGGTGAGTGCAAACATGTCCTCCATCTCTGTGTAGCCACTGGCTGGGTCACCAGCCTCCTCCCACGCGGCCGCCCAGTTGGCCTTGGACACCTTCTGTATCTGGTCTGCCAGCGTCACTTCCACGTCCTCCAACTGTCCTCACAAACCAAACGTAAATTCTCAAAGGATTTCAAACATTGGGGTAACAAAATATAACTAACATTTTAAAAATAATTCTGGCAAATTTTGGGTCATGTGTTAATTTTGGGCAAAATCCAATGGTTAAACACAAGTGAAATTTTAATTAAAATATAATATATAGGCCTATTATGAATTTGTTTGTACGTACCATGTATTCATCGTCATAGCCTTCTTCACAATCAGGTAAACCTGTAGCTGGATCACAGTCTTTTACAATGAACTTGAGAGTAGCACCAAAAGTTCCTACAATGTAAAAAATAAAAACAAATAAAAACTTTATATACATGCCATTATTAAAGTCGCTGACGTATCTCCTTTAACCTATAAATAAATATTTAGTGCTCTAGTTATTCCTTTAATAAATTGCAGAATGAATTACTGTAAATATTACTTCCAAAGGGTTGATTAGCCTCTGGATTACTTAATTATACATTTGATTAACAAAATATATTTCGCCTCTTCAGGCTTCTTCAGAAGTAGGTGGCAGTTACAAAGACAACACTTTAATATAAGATGTCACAGTTTAAGGTGACAGAATATATAATATATATATATATATTTTAAGAGGTTGGCGGCCTCTTTTAATCTTGCAACCCCCACACATAGAACCCCCCCTGTCCACATAGACTACAGATCTGTGCGTGGAACCTATCCAGCAAAGCAATGAGTGAGCTGGTACAGTACGAAGGTGAACTGTACTGATAAAACGTTTTCGGCCGTAAGTCCGTGACGCTACCAACTGAGCCACCGACTCACCATTTGACTCATTTGTTCTGTGACTCGTCTGCAACCTTTCATCTGGTGAGTTAGCTGTGTCCTCTGCATCCTATATTTTTATTCATATGTATTTCTTTAATCCAAGTTAAATACTTTTTCCTAAAATGATAACCTTAATTATACCTTTGACTATCTGATACAACTAGACATTCCATCCCCACTTTTAAGTTTTTGCCTGATCTTTTTATCAAAAATTGTCGTAGTTGAAGATAGCCACTGACAGATTGTGCTGATCTAAATTACTAAAATTCTGCTGAAGAAATAAACTTATTTACCAAGTCAAACTAATGGAATGCCTTATTGTGGAAACTGTTATGGCTCATAAACTTGGTCAGCAACAAAAAATAAGGTAGAAAATATAATTTTAGACACTAGTGCATTCTGTGACTGGCTCTTTTTTCATAACGCCAACAGCTGGTTCATATGGATGGGATGTGTACTTCAGTTTCCTTCAGTCAACAATTAGACCTTAAAATGGTTTACAATACTAGCATTTATTAAACCTTGGTTGCTGTAGTGACAACTAGTTGTGGTTCTTTAGTTGAACCATCATCAGGTCTACAAGGAGTCAAAAGTCGACAACAACCCACAAACACGATAGATAAAATTAACATACTTTTTTGTGTCTGGTTAGCTTAGATTCTGATCATGGTTACAGAGCCCACAACTGAATGTGGGGGAGCCATGGTGCTTTAACAAGTTTTTATGACTGTACACATTTTCAGCTTTTGCTATCAGTTTAGTAAATGTAAATTGTACTACTAAATTGTAAATGATCTTACCGATGGAAGCAGACAGCTGTGAAGGGAACTTCAGCACAACATAAACACTCTCTTTCTCCCCGTACGCCAGTTTCTGACAGGCCACTTCCTTGACTACCTGATAGCCTTCACTGGGCTCCAGCTGAACTCTTACTCTTTCTAGTAGCACTTCGTTCAGTGTGTTCAAACACTCAAACTGTCAACAAACAATTCATTACAAAATATACAAATGTGGTAGTTCAGTGCTGTAAAATAAACTAAATCCATATATTTCACTACTAGGGACTACGGTGAGTGACATTTTTAGACACAAGCTCAGAATAAGTTTTATCCTTTGGATAATGACAGCCAAAAGCTTTAGTTCCAATGTGAGTTCAGCAACATCTGTGTGCACCAATTTCTCTTAATTATGGAACAGCTCAATACAATTGTAAGGTTAGATTCGTCTGTTTTTGAGCAATTTGTTACTGCTTCTTTGTTGTTGTTCACTATTTTTTAACATTTAGTAAAATGATATATTTATAAACTGTTGCTTGTCCTGTAGTAGGCTATTATAAAAAAAAGGCACAAATTGCAAAATTCACCCTTAATTTGGTTGAAATTAGCTCACTCACAGGTCATCATAAGCCATGAAACACACATAAATACAGACTTCAGATTTTACACAATAATTGTCTAGTTGCAATATTTAAAGTCATTATAGATCTAACCTTCCTGAGTACAACTTGATTACAGTAAACCTTCGATAATTCGACACAGGCTGAGCTATTTTGTCAAGTGATATTTAACGGTTACTATTGTGATGTAAGCTGACTTGAACATTAATTTGTCATTCATAGTTTACTTGAGACTTAACTAATGAACAGTGAAATTGTTAAGCTTTTTAGTATTTAATAAATTTGGGTGATTTCTATATAAGACTTGTGTGTTTTTACTTTCCTGTATATTAAACTCCATTTACTCCCAATAGTCTGACATTTCAATAGTTCGACATCCCTTAAGTCCACAAAGTGTCGAACTATAGAGGTTCTACTGTATTAAGATATAAAGTAAATCATTCCATATCTTAAAGATGACAAGATTCAGAGCCTTATGGAACTAGACATGTACACTCAAAATGTTTTTAACTGAAAGATACAGAAACATAATGAGCAACATTAAATGCACCTGCAACACAAGATGGTGCGGGAAACTGTGTTTTATGCACTTGACAACATATTCTGTCTCAGACTCTGTGAGTTGTACAGCTTCAGAGGAGTGGAACAGAGGTCCTGGAATGGAAGCCAACTCAGGCACGGCCGCAAGCTTCTCAGCAAACGACTCCTCCCTCGGAACGGGCACTTTGGGGGCTGCAACAATAAGTTCACTGTTTATAGATGAGAGGAAATATTGAGGTTTATTTTCGTTTGAATTTTCCCTGATAGTTTGATAACTATTTTTAAACATGCCATTTATTTAGTTTTTGTGAGGAAATGGTCCATATCCTGGCATTTACTATAACACTGATATTTTGGTACCTTATGTTGGATAGTGGAACATTTAGGATGCACTAATTCAATTGAAATAAAAACACCATTATGGAATGAAATAAAGGGTCATTAATTAATGGACCACTGAAAAAATGGCATCTGAGTCAAGAATCAAAACCGAGTTCTGGAATTGGAATCGGTATCGAAATCAACCAATTCTGGAATCGGCCCATCACTACAGTTAAAACTTTAAATTATTTGAAATTGGTGAGAAATTCAAACAAATTCAACATCATTCATACCAGGTGTAACGATGCCCTCAGCGGGAGCCTTTTCTTCAACAGGGTTGACTGCTGCCGCTGGGACTGTAGATATGTCAAAGGGCTCTGGGTTCGGATGTAAAGTGTACTGGTGCAGACAACGTTCAAGGCTGGGCAGCGACACCTAAATACATAATCATAAATCTTTAATTGCCATAAGGATAAGGATACATTTGAGGGATCAATTCAAGTCATTACAAAATATCTGTGAAATATCGGTAATTTTCAACTGCGTGATCTTCCCAGACACTTCGACATCAATATTTAACAACCAATTCTCATTATTGATACCAATGTGCAAGTAATGGTGGTATAAAATATTTGTAAGCTTACAACTCACAACTATTTTACATGGTCTTAATTATTTAATCAACAGCATCAACATAAAAAAAATACAATCAAAATATTCTCTTAATAGAATGAACATTACCAAAACCTAATATCAAAAAATATCATGATAGCCTCCTCCAATACAAGGCTGCGGCGTTGGTGTTTGGCAACAACACAGTGGTCAACCTATTGACATGGTAATAACAATAATAAGAAATGTGTAAACATAAACATTGCACGGAAGCTCCATTATGATTTAATGGAACAGCTGTTTCGGTAGGCTGGGGCTGGGGCGTTCCCACCCACTTTTGTCTCACCATGGCATTAGAGGTGGCTATATTATGCATAGTTTTGTACACCATTTCGCACCTTGTATTCATGGACTGTTTTTTGTCTACCTGCAGAGGCTCCAGAATGTATTGGTTGATCAGTTGTTTGTCCCCTGTCTGCAGTATGCTGTGGTAGTATGTGGCTCTGTCTCTCACCTCGTCATCAGTGTCCATCTGACATCTGGCCAACAACACCTGTCAACCAACAACACCTAATAAAGTGACAATTAGCAGTAGCAATAGCCTAGTGATACAGTGTGGACTAGAAAGATGCTGACTAGCTCTCATATATAGATACAAAATTTACAACACAATCATATTGAAATACCTAAATAAAACTGGTTTAAGTAGAACATGATTTACTTTTTTCTCAAAATATTTATAAGCTTAGTGATTAAGCTGACTGACTAGCTAGCTATACGGTCCTCAGGTAAACGTAACATGAGTTCTGGTATCAATGTCTGCAAGTATTGCCAAGTCCAAATGGCAAAAGCAATAAAAGTAACCTCCGTAACAACTTCTTTAGGCTTGCCGACACACCAGGACTGCCAGGTTATCTGGAGCAAAGTTCGCGGGACTAGACTGTACTGTGAATTTAATACTCGATAAAATAATCTATCTAAGCCTGCCAAAATTATAAACAATAAGGTTTTTTCTTTTAAGACTTACCACCTATTACACAATAAAACATACATATAATTGTACAGATTTGAAACTATAGCTTTATGTTTTTGATTATGTCATGCTACGTAAAACAACGCTAAACGTATTCCCAACCCTCAACTACTTTGTCTTTTTCATTTAACTTATGACCTATGATGCTTCAACAACCATATTTAATTTACCTGAACATTATCCAATAGAGGAGGACAAGCAGCACCGAACTGAGCCATCGCAGACACAGCAGCCGCTCTGACTACTGCATTCTCCAGGATAACTCGATTGTAAATATACCTGATGTACCTGCAACCAACAATACCGTACTCGTAACATAGAGCACAAGGGCCTAGCTGTTTACTATGGCACAAGACAACTTTACACTATTCACAAATATTAGCATATGGATATAGATGCATATCTTTTCCAATCACTTCAGTTCAACATTATCCTTAGTTTGGCCACTAACCTAAGTTTGTTTCAGTATTTTATCAACATAAAAATTCATTAAAAAACTCAATTCAAATATAATAATGATGTTTGTGTAATCTATGACTATTTTCTACGAGTAAAAATCCTATTCCTGTGTTAAAATTGAACCAAGTTTTATAATAAAAATTGACATGGTTTCATTGATCCACTGACAGAGTGCACTCATGTCAAAAATTTACTGATTTTTGTTGAATATGTCAACTTTTTAAATACGCTAAACTAAAAGTTTAATTTATTTTAACTAAGCCTATTGCATTTTATATCATACAAATGATCAAAAGTACTGCATCCAAAACTGAGAGAGGCGATAAATTTAGACTGAATATTCACTCTGTGAGTGGCCCATACCTGGAAGGCTGTCTAGTGCGAGGGCCTTCCTTGCCTAGGAGATGTAATATCCGCACTGCCAGACTGGTGTGTTCACAGTCCTCGATAAACTCACACAAGTGTGCCAGGCCTGCAACATTGCAATAACATAGTAACAGATCGAAAATACAATATTGATAAAATTTTGGCACACATTTGGTAATGTTAGCTCTATCCAGAATTTTTTTTACAAAAGGTTAATGTTTAACATGTTCTGTTCCCTTCTGTTATTTTGGTAGGTTGAATTTTACTTGCAAATTACAACAGGTTCAAGTAGTAACCGAAGACTGATTATGATAAGGGATGTGTCGATTCTTGATACTGATTCTCGATACCACTGATACTTGGACCTAGGTATTGGTATCGAGAATCGATCATTAAAAGTCAATTCCGATACCGATACCCACATGCTGATCAGAAAGATACCACTATTGCCGCGGTCTTGCAAGACGATGATGAAGTTTCTGTGACCGCAGCAGACGAAAAGGACATCTACACGGCCGCGGAAGATGTTCACAATTTTGCCGCGATCGTGTACGACGACGATGACGATTCCGTGACTGCAGGAGTCAATGATGACGTCTCTACAGCGGCGGGAGATGTTCATGTTTTGCCACGATCAGAAAAGACGACGATAACGTTACCTTGACCGCGGCAGTCAATGATGATGTCTATATGCGCAGCAGTCAATGATGATGTCTATACGGCTGCGGAAGATGTTCATGATTTTGCCACATTTGCAGGCGGGGACGATGACGTTTCTGTGACCGTGGGAGACGATGATGAGGTCTACACGGCTGCGGAGATGTTCATGATTTTGCCGCGACCGCGAAAATGATGATGTTCGGTAATTGAGGAAGTTATTTTTTATTTTGCTGTGATCCCAGAATACGACAATATATCTCCACGACCACTGGAGAGGATCACGATATTACCTCGAGTTTGGCTTGACTGAAAATATAAGGCTGCCACATCTCTACATTTTCTTTTTTGATTTTTGTTGTTAGATCATCATCACCTTTATGAGATCCTTTGTAAATGGTGTATCCGTTGTAGGGGTGGGCGAGTACTCGACCTTCGAGTAATTACTCAAGTTTTTTCAAATACTCGACCTCGAGTCGAGTAGTATTTACCGTTGATATAAATAAATAAATAAATCACCTTTATGGTAGTTTTTTTAATGTGTTTAGAAGGATGTAAAATAAATTGGCTAGTTAGAATGTTTCATTGCTGCATAATTTTTTTATTTACTTGAAAAACACTCAATTGATCAAAAATACTAATTGATTGACATAAAGAGAGGTAGTATAAAAGTTCATTTACAAAATTTTAAATGGTATCGGTATTAAGGATAGATTTTTCAGGTATCTGTATCGAGAATCGATCAATTTTGGTATCGGCACATCACTAATTACGATCATAAATTCACATCTCCCATTGATATTACCTAAAGTAAAGCTTTCTGATTTTCATCAATATTATTAAAATGACCGAATAGTATATATTTTATGTTTTTATGCCAAAAGCATGATTTTTCCTGTAAATGAATAGTCCTAGCACTAGTTTAGATATAGTCAACTATTAATCTGTTGTTAATTAGCATCATTAAATAATAGCCCAAAGACATAGAATGGGAACTGGGTCCACAATAAATCCTCTATTAGATCAACTCTGAAGGTGATTTTTGATTAAATGTGATTAAAACTAAATATTATACTAGACTAGACAGTAGATTGCTACATTTTCAACTTAAAAGTGTTTACAATACTTTTTTTCTGTAAACTAGTGTTGGTCAAGTTATTTATTATTTTGTGTAGTGACTATGTGTCTACACTTTTTTCAACCATGATACAATTTTTTGTAATAAATTGGCGAAAGTTTTTCAATATTGACTTACGAAGACTAAATGAAAATATTTCCAAACCTCCACACCATTGAAATTGTAAGCTTGATGACTATTAAAAAATACTTCAATCATGATTACTTTACCAACTCACCAGTTTCCTTGGCATCAGGGTTCTCTTCTATGATAGTGATGACAGTGTCTGCTATGGAGGCTTTGTATTCCAAACCTCCCTCATCTCGCAACATGGCTGACAGAAAGTTCATCAAAACTGAGTGTTTGCGGGGAAACTTGAGACACAGCGCTCGTATTGCCTGTGTTAAAGTTAAAGCGAATACATCAGATAATTGTTTCGGCAATCAATTTCTTGGTGTTGAAGGATATATGATCTGTGAACTTGGCCACAAACAATTAAGCTGAAAAATTAATTTATTGGATATCATTTAAGACATGAAATCTTCAAGAATCACTCAGTACAGTATTCAAGTATCTGAACAAAAACGGCTGAAAGCTATCTTTGCGTTTACACCTAGGAATCAAGTTTAGAACTGTTCTGTTTGAAATTTTAAGCTGGACTATAAGGTCTGACCAATTGGTCTAATACATTGTCTTCCTGGAGAGAAGACACATTGAGAGATCAAATATCGTCTTGTCCAGGTAAAAGAGTAAGTAGGAAAAATCACAGAAAAACATTAGTCTGTCTCAACTCGAACCTTCCTAGATTAAAATTGTTGTTAGTATCAGTAAAGTATATTATTAAAGTTTTTATGTTTCTTGAGCCAGAGTAAATTCTTTCCTACTCAGGTAATTCTCCTATAAAAAAAATTCATTCTTATCCAATCCAGATCATTTTGCTCATTGTCACAATCCTTAGTTTCAAAACTAAATACAAAAACAATTTGTTTAATAATTTTGCTTCAACAAGATAGTACTGTTTTTAATCATAGTGTATAATGGCTTTGACAAAAATATTTTGCAATTGGATAAGGTCATACTTAGACTCAAGGCAAGTGACGCAATTAGAGAGTGAAACATCAAACCCGCTTGTCAAAACCCAAGGAATTCTTCAAGGCAGCTGTCTTGGGCCTGTTCTGTTCAATTTGTACACGGCAGACCTTCCTAACTGTGTGCAACATTGTACAGTTCATTTGTATGCCGATGACTCACAGCTGCACTTGTCCTATGAGCCATCCCAGATGAGAGCTTCACTCGATTTCATTAACTCTGACCTAAAAGAAATCCTTTTCTGGTCAGGGAGGCAAATGGGTTGAAACTCAATACTGGCAAGTGTACTGTGATGCATATGGCGCCATGTGACTTGGTGCAGTCCCTCAACGAGAAAGGAGTGAGTGGTGTTCAACGGGGAATCTTTGACTGTGTGACAAGTCAAAGACTCTTGGCGTTGTGCTTGATAACAGCCTCACCTTCTCTGACCATGTCACACATGCTTCGCAGTGTGCGTTAGGAAGGCTGAGAGGGCTGTACATGTTCAGAAGTCATCTGCCTCATGCAGTCACTAGTCCTGTCGGTGTTCACATATTGTCTCCCTGCTTATGAAAACATCATCTACGTAGAAAACATGAACCGAATGCAAAAACTTCAAAACTCTGCTATTTGATTCATTTTTTGCCTCAAAAATTTTTTACACATCACTCCATTTAGAGCTGTAGCCGGGATGACAACAGTAGACACTGTTTGCAGGATAATGACGTGCTGCATGGTGCACAAGGCTCTTGTCGTACAGGAGCCACAGTACCTTCTTGAGAGGCTCTCTTTACGGGAGGAGGTCTCTCAGTGCAGTACCCGCCATGGAAGTCTCCAGCATCACTTTCCAAGAGTGAAGCTTGAGTTTGGAAGGAGAATCTTCTCATACTTCGGCCCAAAGTTGTACAACGACCTCCCCTCTGGCCTCAAAAAACATGCCTTGTCATCCTTTAGAGTTAAGATAAAAGAATTGTACGCTGATGGTTGATTATTGTTATTTTATTGTATTGTTTCTGTTTTGTTATTGTTCTATTTATTTATTTGTTAGTTTGATTATTTGATTATTAAAATTGTTGTTAGTATCAGTAAAGTATATTATTAAAGTTTTTATGTTTCTTGAGCCAGAGTAAATTCTTTCCTACTCAGGTAATTCTCCTATAAAAAAAATTCATTCTTATCCAATCCAGATCATTTTGCTCATTGATAAATAAAGGCATTTTTATTTATTTAATCGTGAAATGAAAAACAGTTTGACCTTACCTGTATAACAACAATCTTGAACTCGTCACTAATCTCCGACACAAAGGAGGCTATCTGCTTCATGAGTCTGTCCACGGATGACTCCGCCCCAGTCTTGAGCAGGGTGGTGATGGCCAGGGTGGCGATGGATCGGTTGGAGTCTGTGATCAGATTCTCCAGGTCTAGGTTACAGGCTGTCACTGCGGCTGGATGTGACATTGCCACCTGAAACATGGTGAAAACAATATACAACTGAATAAACAAACATTTAAAACGTTAATTTACTACATAAATACATTACCTTCGTGACTTACACCATGATATGATTTGATATGTGATTGTAATTTAATTATACATCACTTTAAGACTTTAAAGCATCAGGTTTCTATTATTATCATCATTAATTCTTGAGACAGTATCATCAGGTGGGTATTACAAGCCGAATGAACGCAGGATGAATTTAGAATAGAGTGGGATGATCTGTGTGGCTTTGATACTGCCTAATCAGCTGTTTATTTTCCTTTAATAAAGTACAGCTGAGCCCAGTTTCTACAGCTATACCTACAGTTAAAAATAGCTCTCTATGAAGGTTCACCATGATACAGTAGGATTTTTTTTAGCTAGAAGCGGTTTAGGTGTGGTGGAATATCTTTGAAGATTAACCTTTTTTGGCTGTACTGTGATAATGGGTTCATATGTGTCAAATTTTTAGGTTAATTCAAAACAATACAAACAAACTGGCATACATTCTTGTAATTGACAATTAGTTAAATACTATACTTTAAACATAATCTACTTTTATAAACTCACTTGGCCATTAGAGAATAATTACTTTGAAATTAGAGACATAGGCTAATTCCTAATTCCAAATCAACTAACTAATGAATAAGTTGATACTTAATAAATTGTTATCTCCAATGTACAAGTGATGGTTGCATTGAAAATAAATTAACATGAGCAAATATAAAAATATTGAATCTTCATGGAAAATTAATGTCAATCATTAAATTAAATGCTCTCAAGATAACGAGATACATCTTTATAGACTAACCTTTTGACCCATTTAAATTATAATTAACAGCCAATCGGATTGCTAATATCTCACTATTGCCTAGGAAGCAAGAGTCGAGTTTGGTTTATAAAATGCAGTAGCCTTAATACTGAATGTGTTATAATAAATTAGACAATGAAATATACCAAATTGATTTATTTGATCATAAACTAGCAATCTTTCGTAAGTAATACAACACGGTCCCTAATTGACAACATGCCAGTTTTTTTGTAGCTATTTAACCTAAAATTTGACAAGTATGAACAAAAGATCTCAAAACAGCCAAAAACAAAAAGGGTAACCTTCAAAGATATTCCACCAAACCTTAACCGTTTCTAGCTAAAAAAAATCAACTGTAAATTAGGCACATTTACAGTAACCTCCAAATTAAGTCCGGTAATTACAAATTACCGGATTACAAAATATTTTGCACTTAAAGACTTTTTGAAGGAAAACACTTAAAGACTATGCTCTCTGGAATTGCTGTGCTCTATTATAGTACTCTGAATGATTTCATTATATTTTATTACGTACCATTAAGTGGACTGTATTGAACAATTTAAATTCAGATAGAATATGTTACATACTTTAAATTCTGAGGTTAGGCTGTTTTTACTTATTGCTTTGACTAGAACGCAAGTTTTTTCAATATCGGCCAGCTGATCTAAAAATTGTAATCTTCAAATCGTCAATATCACACACCTGGTTGAGAGTGCGTACGGCTGCAAAGCGCAGGGTAGGCTTGGGCGAGCTGCAGAACAGCTGTAACACACTGACAGCTGGAGCCAGCTCTCGCTGCGTCGTCTGCTTCAGATTGACAATGGCATGGGCAGCCTCGTAGATCACAGTCTCCGACTTGTGTCTCAAGCATGACTCGACAAATTCAAACAGCGGAGAGTCAGCAAACTCACCGCCTTCCTCCTCCAACAGTTTGCAGACGATACGGATCTGCAGAAACATAACAGTTATAAAATAACTAGGCCTACTGTATATAAAAGAACAAATATATTTTAAAGTTACCATGTAGTTGAAGTGTTATAACAAGTTGGTGGTTGAACTAACTGTGGTATATAGATAATGAACAAAAAATGGAATACTGACTACTATTCTTGAATGATAAACTTACCAGCATACAGACAGCGAAAGGACTCTTAAGAGACATTCTGGTCAACTTGGCCACCAGTTTTGTGACAGCGAGGCGGTCAGTCTTGCGTATGTGGTAGAGAACACCCAGCCCGTGGTATTGCACCATCATGCTGAAATAAGCATCCATTGTAACACTAAAATACCCTCGCCGCAGCAAACCTGCAGACTGAGCAAATTTCCATTTACCTGGCTGGATTTCTACTAAAATATTCCCTGAAAATTGTCAGATTTATTTCCAATTTAAATAACATTAATTTTAAAGAGTACCTAGGTTTGCTGCTCAAGGGAAGGTATTGAGGTGTGTGTTTTTATTGAAATGTTGATAGCTTAGTATGAAATAAACAAAATTGCCAAATTTTATCAAAATATATCCATAAACAAGTAAACTACAACAGTTCATTAATACTCCATAAGATGGGAATTTTAAATTTACAATTTTTTTAAATTATCTCCGTAACCATTGGGCATAGAATAACGCTTCAATATACAAAATTATTTATTTTTTTAAGCTCTACAAAATGGTTTGGAGAGAAATAATGAAATTTTGTGTTTTTAGGGTAAACAATGGGAAAACCCAATTTTTACCCCATAAAACCGCCCATAAACCCCCGTTCTCATAGTCCAACTATGCTCGTTCGCAAACTCGTTTGAATAAACGTAGGTTTACACGTTTGTACCAAATTTCATCAAAATGGTATCATTTTTGCTCAAGTTATCGCGCAAACGGACACACACATATATATACGGAAAAAGTCAATCGGTCCCAGGTCTAAGTCTTACCACGAGACCTACGGTAATAGCTTATTCTCTATATGGGAAATTCACTTAAACAACAAAGCACTGGCATAGCATTGGCTCAATACAGCAGTACTTCCTCAATTTTCCATGGTAAATTTAGAAATACCTAAGGAGGAATGGTATCCACCTCAGATGTACAATACAATGACCTTGTTCACAAAATAGTCAACTATCTCAGATTTCATACACAAATTTAAAATTTTACAATAACTTAAAGCAACTTTGGACAAGTAAAAATCTTTAGTTTCCTGTTATAATTAAGAAAAAAATATACAGGTAGTTTAAACCGTCCTTGTCATTTTGCCAGTACACTTCTGTTGCTTATAGTGAGGTGTGCCTATAATAATATTCCAAAATGTAAATAAGTAGGCCTAATATTACGTTTTTATATGATGTGAATTTTTAAAGGGGTCAGACTTTTTCCGTGAATTCACTACCACTAGTCTTTAGAGCAATAGATTATTAGCAATAGAAGTGGTAGTGAATTAAAATTTGGTTAGGTTGGGTTAGTATAGAGTTAGAAAAACCTAACCTAACCTAACCACATTCCACTGGTGGTAGTGAATTAACGGAAAAGGTCCAAGAGGTCTTCTAGAGATTTTCATAAATAATAGCCATGTCAATACGATTCCAACATGTCAGCAAGACAACGGATACTGACTTGTCTGAGTTGACAGCCTCCTGAGCCTCGTTGACCCATCGCTTGACCACGTCGTTGGCCACACGTGTGAGATGCAGACTGCTGACCAGCGCCGCACTGCTGACTGCACAGTTACGCTCCACTATAGCCTGCTTCATGTACCTCTCTATCGTCTGCAGCATCGTGGACTGTAAAAGCAGCAACATGTCACATATAAACTGCTTAGAACTAGTGGTATTTTCAAGCATCTTAGGTAACACTTATAACAGTTCTCAGATCAAGTTGAGGCAAGCTACCTGACCTTGAGGGAGGTTAGGGCAATGGCTGGCATCAGCAAGTAAATCTCATTATTTAAACCTCCCTGAAGACATCACTAAAAGGTGTTTCCTTAATTCTTTTGAAGCTAGATTTTTTTGTAATTTTCCAAAAAATGCTAGAGTTATTTACTTACTTTGTCCGAAAAGTGCTAGGCTTGCCACAGGGGCAAAGCTTAGTGTGCGAGTAAAAAATCGGTAAAATGACTGAGTCTGTGTGTTTTATTTATTCTGACGACACATCAAGTGGATCCTTTTGTTTGCCTGAAGATGGCGGAGATGCTTAAATAGCCGCCGAAACATATGTAGCAATTTTGACACTAAATGTTAAGGATTGTCTGACAAGGTATGTTTAATTATAATTTGTCATATTAACGCAATGGTCAATACAATTAAACTATTAGAATCATAATATGTACTCTAGTTTTCTTTAGAGTAGGCTGCGTAAAATGCCTTCTGAGCCGTGACAGACAGACAGAAATTGGGATAAGACAGGTTTCAACTTATTTAATGTATAAAACGTAAAAATAACCAAAAATATGTATAATTCTGAGCAATGTACAAACAAAACTCTTATTTATTTATATAGATTAACTGGGTTTGAATTTTCAAAATCTAAAAAAATCTATTAATCTATAAAAATCTTCTTTTAGTTTTACAAATCATGCTGGGCCGGGGAATAATGTTACACATTTGTCGTGTAGGTACCTCATTTATGCTGGGGGGGGGAGCTGGTGCTCGATTGGGGGGGGGGGGGTGCGTCATGAGTCTAGGGGGGGATGGGCCCCGCTGTCTATAAGACTTTTAAGGAAAAAGACAAGCAAAGATATCGTCCCAGAGCACAGAAAGGGTTAAATTGTTTAAAAATTGAATTAATTTATTATCAGAGTAAAAGTCAGATACTGTCTTTTAATCTAGGACGAAGAATTGTGGGTTTGTCTCTTGTAAAATGAGCAAGTAACCTCTAGAGAATTTTTTACCATTCTTGTCCCTTAGGGATAACTGGACAATATGTTCAACCAATAACCAGTCTAGACAATTTAGAAAAGCTATATGACTAAATAGGTAGGTACCAAATAACTTCTTGATCAGCATTTTACGTGTTATTAAACGTACGAAAAGTAAATAAAAGAAACAACTTACAACACTTAACATTTTCAAGAGTCTTGAAATTTTTAATACGATGATTCTATTTAAACTTTCCTTAAATAGATACTTGGACACATTGGACAATACCGGTAGGTAGTCCTAAAATAAGCACAAAACTGACTATTTTTATTTTTTCATCAAAGTCTTGTATACAGTGACCTAACCTAATTTTACTGATGGTGAACTGACTCATAGTAGTCTAAATTCACAGAATTTAAGACAAATAGTTATTTCAAATCAATCGCTAGGCTTACTTACATCAGTGATGCTACAAAGGGCTCTAATAGCCGCTGCTCTGTAAAGATCTTCTTGTCCCGTCATGTCCTTGGTCAGACTGGAAGTGACGATGATCACATCCTCTGCCAGAGACGACAGTTCCTTGATACCGAGGTAGACCATCCGTCGCAACACAACGTCCCGTGACTGAAACAGCTTTGTCATAGCAAAGAAAACCTCTGTCGCCTCGGTGGAGCCCAGTTGTTCTCCCTGTAGACAAAAGATACAATTATATGGATGATTTTAAATCGTTGTGTTAAGTATTGTAGACATTTCTTGCTTGTAATGTTTATATAGGCCTACATCACATATGAAAATTCAAAAATAATTTTTCTGCCAACTACATTGAAAATGGAGCCCAGGTCATCAGCTGTGCATTACAATTTCAATACAATAAATACATATATATCGACATTCAAGCAAAAAATGTAAAAATATTATAATAATTCTAATTTAGGCTTATATTTAAATTTAGATAGCGGAGTAAGATACCTAATGCACCTAAACAATGGTAACAGACATTCATATAAGAGGAAAACTTGATCATTATAATTTTGGGGAATAATTTACAATGGTAAACGATACCGGTACAAACTTTTTTTGAAAAATAATTAGCTTTAATAATGGTATGTAGTATGACAAAAATATAGTTTATTAAAAGGTCCTAAACGCCTTTACAGCCTCGACTTCATCTTGGTTGTTTCAGCCATCTTGTATCAATGTTATAGCTATCTTGTATAGAAAAGTAGACCTTACTTAGTGATGAAACATACTAATCAAGTGTAGGCCTACATTAGACTAACTTATGCCTATATAAACATGAGGACAATGTTGCCATTATAAATACTGTGTTGTCAGCTTGTGCTAGGGATATACTTTACCTGATTTAGTAGGTACAGAATTTTAGTAAGGATGTGTGTACATTTTCTTGGATTTACAGGAGTGTCATTGAATGTTCTTGCTTCTTGAAGAACGCTAGTTTTATCAAGGTTTTGAAACGGATTTCCCCCACCTGAAAAGGAAACAAATTAAATCAGATACTTTTGGGTTCTTTGTTTGGGTACCGGTACTATTTTTGTTTAGTTTGGCAATTAGGTGGGCCTAAGTTTATTGCAGAAATTATATGTTTTATGCTAGAATAATGTTAATTTCACTGTTATCATATTAAATATTTAACCCCCCTCCAACCTGTTATGTTTCTTAAATCAATGAGAGTACAGTTGTAAGCTCAAGGTTGCCATGTTGCTTTACCTAGGCCTAGTTTATTTTTCTACATCCAGTTATTTTCATTATATTCTTGGGTGTAAAGCTAAAGGCTAGTTGAAGATACTGTAATTGTTGAGTTTATGAAAGAGACAATATCCTGATTTACCCAAGTGTCCCCCTGAGTGCCAGCATGTTCTTGTCCAATTTTCTCATACAAAAGCAGCAACTACAGTTACCTGTTTATATAAGTATCGCTTCATTTCTAAACGTCTAAATCTGAGTAGACTGCATGAGATTTGAACTAGATATGATAACTTGCTAAGTAATCACTAGGCTAGTGGTTACAGCAGTATATCAGACTTTGATTCAAGACGGAAGAGTTCAATTGTCAACATAAAGTATCCATATAGAACAAGATATGAGGGGTTTAGTTGCTATCCTTTAAAAGTAGTTTTAGCTTAGGAGTATATAAATGAATATCCCATTGGGAACAGTTCCGTAGCGAACCTTTGATGTATTATCAGATGTAATCATAATTTCATATGAATATTGATTAATTAAAACATTTAAATATTTAATTTAAAATACTTAAAGGATTGACTCACAAGTTATTAAATTTAAATATTTATTTTTTGTTTGGGTCTTTTCAGGAAGAGGGCTGCCCACAACTCAGTATAGTTTGAGACAGTAAAAAATAAGGTACTATTACTTATCAAAATTTACCTTTTTCTAAACCAACCAAACATAACCTAACCGCCATGGCACTGTAAGTCAGGATCTTGTAAGTTGGAAAGACCATTAAGTTATGTCTTAAAATATTCCTATTTAATTTCCATGTTAAAAACAATAAAGACATTTAATTTTATTTGATACTAATTATTGGTATTATAGGCCTATATCATGATAAGGGTAGACTTCCGTATCTGTTGGCACAAACAACCGAATGAAAATATCGTTCGATATATCGTTTGGTTAGTTAGGTAAGGTTAATCTAACCTAACTAACCAATCGATATATCGAATGAAACAATTGAATAATCGATATTTTCATTCCATTGTTTGTGCCAACAGATACGGAAGTCTACCCCATGAAAACTTATGTACGATACAGTATTTATATTTTATGACATTTTCATCCGATCATAGGTTAAGTTATCTGCAGAACTGTAACTTACCTATCCCATTTGTATAGGCAGTGGCTTAATGACTAGTTTTCAGGGCTGCACTTTACTTTACGCCCTACACTCATTCGAATGAATATATCGATTGATAGGGCCTATATCGATTATATCATTTGATATATCAAGTTTGGTTAGTTGAAACTTAAAACCTCACCTAACTAACCGAATGAAATAATCGATAGGCTATATCAAATAATCTATATATCAATATTTTTCATTCGAACGGGTGTAGGACGTAAAGTGCAGCCGTTTTCAGAATAGTCCTACAATATCTATCCTATCTAGAGGCCCTAGGTGAGACAATTTTAAGCTACAATATTCTGCAAAATATTATCATATAGCCTAAGGCTTAAAATGGGAATTTTTTTTAATTTGTTAATTGTATTTAGAAACTAGGGGCCTACAACAAAAAGTTGAATTTGAAGCCTAAGCTGATAGGTTAACAACTTAACATTAATTAACATTATCCTTTTAACATATCCTACCATCCTCCTCCTCTTTTTTATCACGTTTGAATGCCATTAGTGTTCTATACAGTCACAAATTGCGTTGCTCCCAAATATATTACAAAGGTTTGTGTATACAATTTTAAAAAACACCACAGGTATCTCAGAATTTCTGGTAAACGAAAGATTGACAGGACAGACAGCAGACTATCGGGATCGGGCAAGTAAGCAAGGCAAAACGTCACCCATCACACGTCATCTTCACAAACAGCCGGGTAGTTTTACCTCTAGTTCAATCCAATCCGATTTCCATAGAAGAATTCTTGGTCATGTATAAGATTTTCGAAGTATGTTATCTTATGTTTAATCAACGGTATCATTGATTTTATATCTAAACTATTTTTCTGAACTTAATATTTGTATCCATGCAGTAATTTATAACTAAAAAAAACGTGTTTATATAATGAATAAACGGTATTAGCATTCTAACACATACTTTCTCCCATAAGTTTGTCAACAACCTTTATCATGTATAAGCGGTGAGAGTAAATATACGGAAATTGAATTTGTACAATTTTGTTCAGAATTTAAAGGACTATAACATAGTAAATTTTTATCAAAATAGCTCGGGCCATTTTTTAGAAAATCCATTTTTCCGTTATTTTATGGGAAAATAACATAATTTTCAATAACTTTTGAACCGTAATTTTTACAGAAATGGGATTTGTACCATTTTGTTCAGAATATAAAGAACTATAACATACTAAATTTTTATCAAAATACTTCGGGCCATTTTTGAGAAAATTCGATTTTTCCGGTTTTTATGGGGTTTTATGGGAAAATCCCCATTAAAAATCAAAATTTCTAAAAAATGAAAAAACTACCAAAATGGTAAGAACCATAACATACTATGTTAAATCAAAGCCGAATTTATTTCGATAATCCTATTTTTCGTTATTTCATGGGGTTTTTATGTGAAAATAACATAATTTACAATAACTTTTGAACCGTAATTTTTACAGAAATGGGATTTGTACCATTTTGTTCAGAATTTAAAGGGCTACAACATACTTAATTTTTATCAAAATAGTTCGGGCCATTTTTGAGAAAATTCGATTTTTTCCGGTTTTTTATTGAAAAATCCCCATTAAAATTCAAAATTTCAAAAAAATAAAAAAACACCTGGAGATACAATGGATTAGAACCTACATACCAAATTTCATCGAAATCGTATTTACTTAATATTCTAATCGATTTAAAAAGGTTTTGAAATATAAGCTACACTACATTATAATTGGCATTACTCTACATCTCAGGAAAGAAAACATTCAATTCTCTATCAGCTGTGCTGTCTCGCTGTCTGATTTCGATTTGGATTTGTTTTGTTTGTTCAGTTCAGTTTGTTCAGTAATTAGTAGTTGTCAAAAATAGTCATACCAAACAACGAAACCATAACCATTATGTCTTTTACAGTATTGTATTTTTGAATGTTTGTTTGTGAAATGTATATGGAGACGTTAGGGCTACGTAAAAATGTTGTAATCTTAGTGAACTGAAAATTTTGAATAAACTTGCACAACTGTTGTTCTTAGTCAAGCTGTAATCTATCAACTATGATGCAAGCAAACAGCTACAAGTTGGCTTGTCTTGGTTATGCAAGATGCAATTTCTTGGGGGGAATTAAAAGTGGCATTTCTGCCTACCAGAACAATAACATCAAAAAGTATGATTCTCTTCTTGCAAGTTTCAAGACCATTTCGTTTTGCCAAAGCTGTTTCAAGAATAATATATTTCCTTCATTGTTGCAACATTATTTCAAAAACTCACCTAGATACAAGGTAAAGGTATTTAGTGTAGGTATATCATTTAATGTTTAAAGTATGGTACGGTTTAGAAATGGGAAGTTCGGATCACCTTACTTATCTAGATCAGTCGGTCTCAATCGCTGTCATGACCCTTTTGAAGTGACCGTTCAACTGACCAGGTACACCAAAGCCTGTTGTTTCATTTTGTTCGTTAGATGACCTACCAGGTTAGTTTGGATTATTCTGACAGATTCCGTTATTGAGCTGTTTAATAAATTAACTTAGTTATGAAAATTATAAAAAATACATTTCAAACTACCAAAAATACACAGTTTATTGTTATGTCTACTAACTAAATAAAAACCTTTCTTTAAACCTTGATATACGACTCTACCGGTTAAATCGATTATCGATTAGGCCTACCCACCGTTTATGAATTTTAGCGATATTATATAATTTGGCTGTTGTATTTAATTTAAAATTGCGGAGACTATGAATATGGCTGCAACGTAGGATGCCCGTTATGTTGTGGACTGAGGTTTAAACGTTAACAGAACTAAGTTACGCCATTGGGTCTTTTAAGTCCGTCTGATCCGGGCGACTCGTTTACTTGGATCATTCATTTAGCAGCAATCCTAGGTAATGTACTCATTAAATCTAATAGGGCTTATGTAGTTTTTGGGGAATAAGTAGGCTATATCTTGTTTATGAAAATTACAGATTGATTGAAATTCCCTCAGTCTGCAGAATTGCTGCGGCAGGCGTATTTAAACCTCTACACAATGGCCATGATAAAAATTGGGCATTTCCATGTTTTAAGGGTAAAAGTAAAAAAAAAATGTTTAATTTCAAAACTCCAAAACTCTTGTTCCTATTAGGCCTAGCTGGTTTTACTGCTTCGCAAACTCATTCAAGTTTATTCCACCCCATACCTTCAAGTGAAATTTCATCAAAATCGAACCAAAATCACTCAAGTTATCTTGTTCACGGACAAGTGTACATCTATATACAGTAATTTTTTTAACGGGGATATCTAAATGAAAAAGTAAATCGGTCCGGGGTCTAGGTCTAACCGTGCCACCTACGGTAATAGTTAGGCTACTGCCCCTTATGGAAATTGACTAAAAATGAGAGCTCTTTACCCACTCTTGGTACTACCATCAAACCAGAAGTCGCCTTGAACGTGGCTTTTTTTTCTTCTCATCAAAAATTAAAACTTTACACCAAAAAGCTAACATATGCAGGTATTAAAGGACAAAAGAGGAAACAAGAATTGTTAGTTTAAAGCGGAAACTGAAAAATATATAATAAGTAGACCAGTTTACTTCTTAGAAGATTTATTTTACTTGCTGCCACATGTCAACAACAAAAAGATAATCAGCTCTTGCTCATTTAGAATAGTCTTCTGTTCAAAATTACAAAATAGGCCTAAATCCTAGTTTGTGTTATTTAATACTTTACTGTTCTGTATCATGTTTCTTAGATACTGTCTTAGATGCCTTCATGACACCATTGTATAAAGATTTTACAATTATTGATTGACTTAATATTTCAGTCAGCAGCTGAGAAGAACTTTAAAAAGGAGTATCTAGCAGCTGTTGGAGTACTCCAGCGATCTGGATTGATGAAACAGTTTGATAAGCCTTGCTTTAACTGTCCCCGCGGACTGCACACATCAGCAAGTAGATCACAGAATAAACCACCGAATAGTGATGGAAAAAAACCCGATGACGATGACAATAAAAAGTTATCTTCATTATTTGCAAAGGCATTATTATGGATGCTTAGCGGCTACATGTTCTTAGCACTTTTATCACTTGTATTCCCATCAAGTAATCAACCCGAGGTAAAGATTTACTAATGTTTAAATAGCCTAAGTAAAATATTACAATCTGCAAGATGTGATTTAGAAAGTAAAGTATATTACCGTACTTGCGAGTTACATTCCCATGAGGCTATCCCGATTTTTAGTTGAGTTTATGTTTTTTAATTTCACTCATTCATTTTCACTTGTCAGCCCAAGTGATAATCAACGAATAAAAATTATATATTTCCTTAGCTATTTATTAAATTTAATATATTTGTTATGACCACACACACTTAGATGGACTGAATGTCAACACACACACAAAATAGTCCTAGAATGGAAAGAGATGTTTTGTGGATCTATGTTACTAAGACCAGCTGTTTCTTTTCCAGGATCACTTATTACAACTCGATGACTAAGCTTATTTCAATATTCAGGGTCATCAAATGACACAGATTGACACTATTGTAATTCTTAACGAATTAACAATAAAGAATATTGTATTGTATTGTATGACACCATTTTTCACAATTGAAAAAACAAAATTTGTCAAAGTAAGGTTGACGTTCTTGATAATGCCACATGTTTGTCCTGGATTATCTTATTTAAATTGGTTATTTTCTTTATCTGTTCTTGTAGCAAATAATCAGATATGTATCCTGGAACGAGTTTGTTCATCACATGTTGGGTAAAGGAGAAGTAGAACAAATCATAGTACGGCCTGACATTGACATGGTTACGATTATATTGTGTGATGGAGCCGTCATCAAAGGAAGAAAAGTAAGTAGGCCTAATGATCAGTGAACCATTTATCCTAATATGTAAGTAAACTCAGTAAGAAAACTTCACTATTTTGAAAAAAATATACCTTAGGATTCATATAATTTTGTTCATGAAAATGTGTCAATACATAAAAATTTCCATTCATTCACATAAATTGTAGGTATGCATTTTAGCGAATTTCCCTATAGGGAAGTAGCTATTACCGTAGGTCTCATGGTAAGACTTAGGCCCGGGACCGATTTCCTTTTTCATTTTGGTGTCCCCAGAGGCCAAAAACACAATTCGTTCAAATTGTTATATGTAGGTACCTATTAACATACTCATTATTAACATAATATGGATTAACCATACTCATACCTATTTTGGACCACTTCACCTCCCACAAAAAAAAAACCAATTAGGCCTATTCCAGTGATTCTTTTTTGCAACTATTTTATTTGCAAATGACTATTTTTGTGGGGTTTTAATACTCATACCTAGTTTGGACCACTTCACCTCCCACAAAAAAAAAATCCAATAATTCCAGTGATTCTTTTTTATAAAATCCCACTAAAATAGTCATTTGCAAATAAAATAGTAAATACCCCCAAATAGTAAATATTGTTTAACAAGCTAAGTATGGATTAACCATACTCCCTCAGTAGATTCGTCATCCTTTTGGATCAGCTGAAGACAATTTTATTGTTAGTTCCATCCGCTGCTGCTAGGATTGTGTATTTCTTTGCAATTTGGTGCACAGCTAGGCTGAGAAACTGCGATATATCATCTATCGGTTTAAATTTTGATATAAAAGGCGATTATAATTTGGTTTGATTTATCCCTTCTAAATTTTTAGCTGATGTAGCCATTGAATTGAGTTATGCTCTTTTATGTTTTTATCGGTGTTTAACCCTAGGACTGCCCTGACCTGATTTATTCTAAAATGCTCGGTGCCCTGGCAATTTTGCACAGGTTTTTTTTTAACAGTTCGCAGTGCTTAAGTACTGTTGATAACCTAGTCATATTTATACTTGTTTTGTTCAGAAAAGAAAGGTGATTTAGGCCCGAACTGGATTTTAAAAAAATGATCGAAAAATCCTTAGATCTGGAGGCATCTAAAGTAAATTCAAGAAGTATTTCCATCAAAAACCAGAATGATTGTTCAAATGAAGTCAATTACATTTCCAAATCAAACAAAATTCAAATAGAAGATTCAACAAATTCAAAGATTCAAGATTCAATTCCTTCAAATACATGCAAATTAAAAGGTTTAGGAATAGAAGACTTGTGCCTCCGATGTGGCAGGAACAATCACATAGCTTCAACGTTTCGTACAAATTATAATGACCTCAAATGTTTAAGTCCTGTAACCGTAAAGGTCATGTACAAAAGGTGTGAATAAAGACTCTTCTTAAAAAAAAAAAAAAATACCTAGAAATCAAACCTAGTTAAATGTATCCGTGTTACACATCCAACCTTCTTGATTAATTTTATCAATTAAAAAAGTCGGATTTCTTGACATAAATACATCGGAAAGTCAATCCATTACTCAAAAGTATTTCATTAACATCTTGTTAGAAGGGAAAACTCAAAAATTCAAAGTTGATTCTTGAGCTGGACTAACATTAAGTTACTCCCTGAAAAATATTTTCAAGAACTCCATTTGAAAGTTTTTGTAGGCCTATATACCACTTGAAAATTCCATATTCGGCAAAACATATGTAGTGGGTTATAAAACACTATATTTAAACTGCAAGACGAGGTATGTGATAGTTTAGTTTTACAATATGCATTAAAATCATGCATAAATATTAATGTTAATAAGTACTTATGAACAGTCCTTATTGTTTAATTTGTACATTTTTTATTAGAATAGTAGCCAACATCACAGATACTGACAAGAAGTTATTCTTGCAGATTGACCACAGGACATTTCACATGAACATTGTTGACATGAAGAAGTTTGAAGAGAAGCTGCGAGAGGCAGAAGAGCGACTGGGAGTGGGCCAAGAGGGGAGAGTGCCTGTGATCTACGAGAGAGGAACCGACACGGCTGGCAAACTGCTGGTATCACTCATCCTGGCAGCCATCTTGTTATCAGTCCTCAACAGATCTCGCGCGATGAAAGGCGGTCCTATGTCCTTAGATTATTTTGTAAGTATATTTTGGGCTTTTGATTCTACGTTATGTTTTTATTTACAAAAAAAAAATTATTTTTGATCCTGGTAGACAAGAGACAATTTTCTTAGTTTAACGTTCATAAAGAACAGTACATACAATAAGCGCTAGTCTAGATATAAACTTCCGCCGGTCGTGTCATTGTATCTAGTCATGCTTGTTTTTAATGTTTCGATGTTTTGTGATTATGTGTGAACTGTGACGACCTTCTCAAGAAGCGACAATGTCCTTGAAAAGCCTGATGATGGCTCCAGTGTTGAGCCGAAACTAGTTGCTACCGCAACCATTTGGATAACAAAAAATACAGGTATTAAAACCACTTATATTAAAACAAATCACTTTTGTTTCAGTCGCAGTTGGGAAGAGCCAAATTCACGCTAGTGGATCCTATCGCTGGTCAAGGCAAAGGTGTTCGTTTTGCTGATGTGGCAGGCTTAAGTGAAGCGAAGATTGAGGTGATGGAGTTCGTAGATTACCTAAAAAGACCTGAGTTTTACAGGAATCTAGGAGCAAAGGTAAGCTTTGTGTCCATTCAAATAAAGATATTAATAATTGATAGTCCATAAAAATGATGTATAGGCCTACATCAATCAAGCATTATAATCAAAATAAAATAACTTTATTTGAGAAATCTATATTTATAAAAGAGGAAGTTTGTATATATATATTTGAAAGTTATAAGCTCGGACACCTGTGGACCGATTGCCACGAAACGTGGTACATACGTGTAGAATTTCATGGAATAGGTTTATACACCATCAATTTCGTGATCCGTCCAATTGGCTCCGCCCCAGTGGCTCTGGAGTTTATCCATGTTAACCTTATGAGTACTTATATTTAAATGGAATTAAAGAATCTTAACAGCTTTTTCAACTAAACAATTTGATTCTGTAATGTTCAATAGCATTAAAAAGTTAATAGGTTTACCAACAGGTTATAGCACTATTATTTTTTTTTTATTTATGACAATCCAGCTAATTTGTACCAAGTAGAAAATAAAAGCTGTGATAAGATGGATTTTTTACAGTTATGTTTATGTAGCCAGTTAATACTAATAGTAAATTAATAAAAGTCTACCTACATACAGCAGATCTAGGGAACATAATAATTGTTCTATTTAGCGTTCTCAAGCTGCTTGGAACCAAAATTGTCTCATCCGCATTTTGATCCCGTTGCAAGGCAAGGGTATAGCGGCTAGCATTTTATATAAAAATAAAAACATGAAATTTATAATGAATTATTTTAATTGAATAATTACAAGTCTGTACTCGATTGTTTAGTATTTATTTACTTAACCTCAATGCTATTGATAAACTTCTTATTTCAAAAAAATACATAGGGAAACTATCATAGACAGAAAACAACAACTTCATTTGGTTATGTTGAAATAATTTTCTTGCACATGGTTCTAATTACTTTCTGACAGGTTTTCCAGGTTTAAATGAAATAATTGTTAGCTCACATTTCTTTTAGTTGAAAGTTAAGATTTATTTATTCCTAATTAATTAGAAAAAACTGAATAAAGCTGAATTTTTTTTTAGCCAACAAACTTATAAGGTTTCAGAACACCAATAAAACCTATTAACCAATACATCAATAAATCCTTGTCCAAAAAAATTCAGATAAACAAAAATGTTACTAGCCCAGTTCTTGATAGCTCTAAAAACTGGGTGCTAAGTGTACCAGGTGAGAGGGGGAATACTAATCAAAATAATAAAATACACTGTACGAACAAACCTCTAGAAATGGAGTGTGGAAAGTGAAATTTAATTAGATTATAAATTATCTTTATACCACGCTGACACACCAGGGTGCGTATTTTAAGGTGAAGATGAGTGATGAATGAGTGTTGAATAAATTAAATGACAACTTTGTTACTAAAATCAGCTGGTCAGCCCAACAGCTTCAAATTAAAGGACAGCTGGGTCCAGTTTCTAAGAGTGAGAACTATAAAAAAATCGTCAATGCAAACAAATCGTGCGTTCAGCTCAATGCGGTTGTTGGATTGCTAGGTAAGGTCGGATAATTTTTAAACAGACCTCGTATACAGGGTGTTTCCAAATTGTCTGGACATATTTTGTGGACCTTGGTCTAAGACAGACATAAAACACCGTATAGGTTTGGGTCTAAAATGCCTAGATTTCTGTCTGTTGGTCTGTTTTTGATAAAAAAAAAATTATTTTATATCTTGGGCATCTATCAAGATGGAAATTTCAAAATTGAATAAATGTGTAGTATAGAAGGTAAACAAATCTTAAAAAATGCCGTTCCAATATCTCAAGCCTTTTTTACAAGTTTTTTTTTTACAATCGTGATGGAAAATGTCCGCATTAAGCCTTTGAACAACATTAACTTACCATCACCAACAATGAACTTCAAACAAAGAATCTCAAGCCGTTTCAATATGGAGGTGATTTAAAATCTTTATTTCATGAAAACCGTAAATATTAAGAAAATTATTTTTAGGCTATAATCAAAAAGATAGAGAATTTAAACCTAAATCGGCTCAACCAAGCAACCAGTTTTTCCCCAAATTCTTACATTCTGTATAATAGTAAAATTAGTAAATAATGAACCTAACTTGAGTAAGAGCAGTATGGTAGTCCTATTAAATTGTGTAACCGAATGTAGAAAAAAAAACTCATAACCCAGTTGTTTGTAAGTAGATTTTAACAAGCAAGGTCTCATTTGATTTGGTTTTAAGTTCTCTATCTTTTTGATCCTAAAAAAACTGTCTTAATTTTTACGGTTTTCATGAAATTTGGTATTAAAGGTTTTAAATCGCCGCCATATTGAAATGGCTTGAGATATTAGAATTTCATTTGTGAGGCTCTTTTTACCGTTTAAACTACACATTTATACAAATTTTTAAATTTCTATCTTGAAAAATGCGCAAGATATAAAATAATTTAAAAAAATCACAAACACACTAACAGACAGAAATCTAGGCATTTTAGACACATACTTATAAGGCGTTTTATGTTTATCTTAGCCCAAAGAACAAGTCCACATAATATGTCCAGACAATTTTGAAACACCCTGTATGTTATGAAAAAATTTGACTAAAAAACCCAGAAGGCAGTTAGTAGACCACTACTGTATTGGACTGCTAGAGTAGGAGACACGTGTGAGTGGAACATCTGGAGGCAAAGTGTCTGTTGCAGATTACCATGTAAGGTACCTTGAGTCATATCTGTGTGTGTAATTACAGTGGAACCTTGATAAGAAGACCCTCGATAACTAGCCGCCCTTGATAACAATTGTCATTTTTCAAATCCCCTTAAAATTATTTTACCCTTAATCACATGTTATTACATACCTCAATAAGAAGTCAACCTTGATAACAAGTCTTATTTTACAATCACCATGAGAGTCTTGTTATCAAGGTTCTACTGTAGTATCAATTGCATCGGAGTTTTATGTTTGAACCAAGTAACTAAATTATAGAACATTTGGCATTCCAGGTACCAAGGGGAGCGTTGCTGCTAGGTCCCCCCGGCTGTGGAAAGACGTTGCTCGCAAAGGCTGTGGCTACTGAGTCCAATGTTCCCTTTCTCTCCATGAACGGCTCGGAGTTCATAGAAATGATTGGTGGATTGGGAGCAGCCAGAGTCAGGTGATAGATTGTTCCTGTTGAAATATTCTCCAGTAAGGAATACCTAGGTCTTTCTGCCACAAAGACCACACTTTTTTAATATTTATAATCCTTTTATGAAATAAATACCTTTGTATATCTCCAGATATAACCATAAGCAAGCAATCTATAGTAGAATTAATAATAATTTTGTGTTCCTTGTAGCAGTAATAAACTTAAGTACTTATTTAGTTAGCGCCACTCATCCTACACTCATCTCCATTCATACTTGGCTTTAAATACCTACCTACCTATGGTCACCATTTCAGTTTAAAGTATTATAAAGTATTGCTCAATTTCTTACTGACTGTATTTCTAAGTGTAAATAATTTACTTTGTAAATGTTCTGCAAGAGGGTTGCTTTTTACTGTGAATGTTGGACATATAAAATTGGTAAATGTTTTAAACCCCTAAAATAAACTGAGAGATAAAAAAAAATCTGATCAACCCCTTCCTTTTAAGTATTAACATAACATCTGTATCACTTTGTTGCAGGGATTTGTTCAAAGAGGGACGGAAGCGGTCGCCATGTATCATCTACATAGACGAGATAGATGCTATTGGCCGCAGACGTAGTGGTGGAGGACAGTGGGATGGGGGTACAGGGGAAGGGGAGCAGACCCTCAACCAGCTGTTGGTGGAGATGGATGGAATGGCGTCCAAGGAGGGTGTTATCGTACTGGCCAGCACTAACAGAGCAGATGTGCTGGACAAGGTAATACGATAGAGACTTTTCGTTACCATTGGCGCAATCCATTAAAAAAGCAGATATGAACACATAACTAAAGTAACTAATGAGATTGACTTTTGAACACTAGACTAGACATCCCATCTATAGGGACCAGCTGGAGTACATTTTAAATTGAAAGAGAACGTAGTTGTATAACTCGATCACAGAGTTAGCTACAGTTTCTAATTCTTTTTTCTAGGCTATATTATTTTTGTTATGGGGATTAGAAACATAATTCAATATAATATAATTAAGCTACTACACTATACTAATACTATACTAATGTACCTAATATATTAAGCTAATTAAAATTGATGCAATTGTTTGTAGTGGATTGAATAAATGAAAAGCACTACTGCTCTAAAAAACTTGAGTTTATTGAATTGTTAAAATATGAAAGCTAAACAAACATGAATTAGTGGTATAACTTTGTTGAATTTGTTGAGTGTACTTTGATGAATGTGAATGAATAAATAAAAATTAACCGCCTGGACAATGCATTGCTGTGTGCTGTAGCACAAATACTCGACTGTCCTGGATGGTAGAGAGTTGGGACTAGGCAAAAGAGTGGCTTTTTAGACCCCCCCCTCCCCCCCCCACTTGTCAATCAAAGTGGTGGTAAAGACAAAAATTTGAAACCCTATTGTCGCCGAAACAATAATTATATGTAGTGATAAATTATATAATAATATTATTGCAGGCCTTACTGCGTCCTGGCAGGTTTGATCGTCACATTCTGATTGATCTGCCGACACTGGAAGAACGCAGACAAATATTTGAAACTCATCTGAAAGGAATAACTTTGGAACACAAGCCCAGCAAGTATTCACACAGGATGGCGTATCTTACTCCTGGCTTCAGTGGTAAACTATAAATACTGACAAATAACAATTAAAAGTATACGAGGTGTTAGCCCGTCCTACGTACGGGAGTAGTCAGTTAAAACTGTGTAGGCCTATAATTCAGAACAGCTAGTTTACACGTATAAAGACAAATTTTATTGCAGCCTACAGTAGAAAGAGTAATTATCAATTGAGAAGTGTATAGGCCTAGTCAACGATACCACCTTCCATAGCATACCTGCCTCTTCCATAATTATTATCAGCAAAATACAATTACTATACACAATTTCCAGTAGGTCTGAATAGAAACGACCTAAAATAAAACGATAATATCCAATAAAATTCACAGTACACATAATTTAACTTTGGTGTCCTAACATCAAAACTAATCGTCACACCTATCCTTTATATCAATTTCACTGCATTAATTGCTAAATAAATAAGTGTAAACAAAGAAAAGTAAAAACAACAACAGTTTGTTTTGAAACAGCTGTTTGGTTCAAATAACATTCATTTGAAAAAAAGAACTGGTCACATGTAGCAGGAATATAAAAAGTAAACACGCTAGTAAAGCTAATGACGTAATAGTCAATGTTTATTATCCATACCGTTATCAGTTCTATCCTTGATAATTACCCACCCTCATTGAATAAACGTACATCGTAATTTCCCATATTAGTTAATTTAAACTACAATATATTCATAGTTGAAATAAAAGTGATATTTTCACGTTTGGGGGCGCTGATATAGGCACCCCCAAACGAAACGTAACCACAACTGAACACGATTTCATAAAAGGATGGTTTGTCTAATTGCAGTATCCTAGGTCAATGTTGACGTTGTGTTCAATCTGTCATCCATCTGTTTATCTTTGTATAAAACCATGCTGAGGTTGTGGTGGTAATTTAAAATCGTGATTCCTGATTATTCTTGATCTTCTTTTTATGACATAAATATTTCCGGGCCTAATCCAAACAAAGTTAAAGCAGACAAACACAAACATTAATTGTAAACATAAAGCTACCATTAAGAATTAATACATGCAAACACTGTTATTTTTTCAATCTTTCCTTGAAAATTGGAGCAGTAATATAATTTGCATTTATCCTTTTTTATTAAGACTCGTGTACAGAGCCTCGATTTGTACTGTGGTTTAATTAATTTTGGTTAAAACTGTGGTTTAAACTGTGGTCTAATTATCTCTACTAATCTTACTTATTTCCTATAATCAATGACAAAATAAGAGTAAATAAAATAACCTCATAGTTCCATAGTTTATATTTAACCAGCTGATAGTTAAAACAAATTATATTACTCTAAAACAAATCGAAGATTACAAAGATTGCTTTAAAAAAATAATTTGAACATCATAGTATTTTACTATGTATAATTTAATTAATCTGTCATCCTCTTACAGAAGAATTGAACGTATCAATGATTTGCATTACACATAGTATTATAAATAAGTCAACCCTAAGTATGTCTTTACATTTTTATCCAAATGCTGAATTTGTGACACAAAAGCTGAATGTTTACAGCTGTTATGTTAAGCAAATTATTTTATGCCAAAAGCTAGTTTAGAATCTTAGCGTCGGCTGCTAGACTTTTTAAAAATTAAAACTTAATTTCTTAAAATCTGGAACCATAAACTAAATTTATGGCTTCGACATTCCCTAGTTCTCAAAATTATCTTTCTTTCAACACAAAAATCATGAAAATCCGTCGAGTGGTTGATTCAGAATCGTGAAATAAAAAAACACAGTTTCGTTTTAATATTATAGATTTTAAGGGGAACCATAGACAATAGACAATAGACAAATAATCTTTATTTACACATTCATTAAGAAATAGTAGTAGCGTCAATTTACAATTTTTTCTAAATGTTTGGTTGAGGTGTTGTTTAGTCAAAGACCTGTTGATGGTATTCTTCTAAGGAATAGAAAGGTCGATTAATGAGCCATTGATGCAAAGCTGGTTTGAGGGCATCTTCTGACTTGCTTCTTAGATCTGGAGGTAGCCTGTTGTAGATTTTCATTCCTGCGTATGAAGGTTTCTTTTCAAACTGTGCCGTGCGATGTTGTGGAAGGTTGTACTGCATGGTGTTTCTCAGGTTGTGTTGGTGCATTTCGCCACGCCTTGTAGGGTTATTTCTTACTGCAAATAACACAACTTCCTGGATGTAGAGTGCTACAAGGGTAAGTACTTTGAGTGACCTGAATGCTTCCCTGCAGCTGTCGAGTCTGTGGAGTCCTGCAGTTATTCTGACTGCCTTTTTTTGTTTTCTGAGAACTCTTTGCATGTTAGTGGCAGAGGTTCCACCCCATGCTACAAGTCCATATCTCATATGCGACTCGAAAAGTGCAAAGTATGCTACTTTTGTTGTCATGTCATCTGTTGCATTTTTTATATGTTTAAGAGCATAGATGGTTGAACTTAATTTTTTACATATATTGTCCACATGAGGGGTCCAGGTTAAATTCTTGTCGAGTGTGATGCCCAAAAACTTAGCTTCATCTTCCACTTCTACATCTGGGAGTCGTGGCACTTCTTGAGATTTACGGCCAAAAGCTATTTGAGTTGTTTTAGACGTGTTTACTGCGAGATCATTGTTATAGCAGTATTGGTAGGCCATACTGAGTGACACATAGGATTTTACTTCTAGATTTTCAGCTAGTGGTTCATTAAACACTAAGGTTGTGTCATCAGCATACATAAGAGTAAGGCAGGCGTCTCCTATTTGTTGCGGCAAATCGTTGGTAAAAAGAATAAACAGTACCGGACCCATAACTGAACCTTGGGGAACTCCTCGATTTATTGGTTGAAAATTTGATCTTGTTTTTCTTATTAGGCTGTTATCTCTGTGCCTTAGTTCTACAAACTGACTCCTGTCTGTAAGGTAGCTTTGAAACCATTCTCTTACTATCCCTGATACCCCCAGGGAATCCAGCTTTTTAATGATTAGCTGGTGGTCAAGGCAGTCAAATGCCTTACTGAAATCAAGAAAGATTCCTGTTGTTAGATTTCCTTCATCTAGGCTGTCAATCAGGGACTCAACCATCTGAATTATTGCTGTTGTTGTGGATTTCCCTTTTGTAAATCCATGTTGAAGGTTGTTTAGTAGGTTGTGATTTGTGCAGTGGTCTAAAAGTCTTTTTAAAACAACTTTTTCGTATATTTTGGAGAAGGTGGAAACGAGGGAAATTGGTCTGTAGTTGCTTGCTTCTAATGTGCTACCTTTTTTAAATTTCGGGTATACTTTAGTTATTTTAAGTAGTGAAGGAAAGATGCCTTGTTTTAGGGACTTATTTATCAAATCAGCCAATGGTAGTGCTAGTTCATTGCAGCAATGCTTAAGTATTTTTGACGAGATTTCATCAATTCCAGACGAGTTTTTTGCTTTAAGTTTGTTTATAATCATTTTAACTTCCTTCTCGTCTGTGCTTTGAAAGGAGGAAAACAGTGGACCTGTTTGAGTTACGTCAGGAGTTTGAGCTGTGGTCTTTAGGTGTTTTTGTTTCTCTACTGTTTTTTCTCCTACTTGTGTAAAAAATGTATTCAAATGCTCTGCAACATGGGTCACATTACTTATGAGTTGGCCATCTACTTGAAGGGTTATTTCATTTAGGGATGTTTCCTTTTTGGACCACACTGTGTTTATTGTTTCCCAGATAGCTTTAGATTTATTTTCAGCTTTCATCAACTGGTCAGAGTTAACCTTTTTCCGCATCATTTTCAAGTACAGGTCATAGTTCTTTTTTTTTCAATAGAAACCCTTCTGTCATCTGGATTTCCCGTCACCTCAAACTTTCTTAGAGCTTTAAGAAATTCGGCTTTAAGTCTCACTGCTTCTGGGTCCATGGAGAATTTTAGTTTATGTTTTCTTTGTATTTTTATCTTCTTTTGGGGGCAGGCTGCATCCATAGCTACTCTCACTATGTTACTAAAAGTTTTAAAAGCTTCTTCGGCATTGTTTATTGAGGTAACACTAAGCCAGTTTTCTTGACTGAGAAGATACTTGAGGTCTTGCAGGTTTTTATTTTTTAGACAGCGTCCAATTTGGGCAGGATAACTTGAGTTGATGTGTGAGTTGAAGTTTACAGTACAGAGTTGAGCAGTATGATCCGAAAGTCCTGCATTGATGATTTCTGGAGTGAGTTGGTTTGTGTCCATATTTGTACATATCCAGTCAATGGAGGTTTGTGTTAGATTTGTTATTCTCGTAGGTGGAAGCTGTAGTCTCTGGATGTTGTGCATAGCAAGAGTTTCATTTAAGATAATGTGTTTCCTGTTTGGGTTACACAAATCAACGTTAATATCTCCCATGATGATAAGAGGGGAATTTTCAATTTTTGTTTCCTCAATTAGTTCTGTAAAGGTGTTTAATGATTCCTCAAGGTCTCCGTTTGGGGGTCTGAAGGTTCCCAGTACAAACAGATTTGAGTTCTTGAATTTTATTTTTATAAGAGCTGCTTCAAATAACAGTTCTTTACAGTACTTGGAAACATCTATGGCTACTGTGCTGCTATCAAGGCTTTCTTTTACAAGAATGCAAACACCTCCTTTTCTGTGTTCTATTCTACTATAGTGAGCCTTGAGGCAGAATCCAGTAGCTATGACGGTGCTACTTATTGTCTCAGGTTTCAGTCCATGTTCTGTCAGAATTACTATGTCAGGTTTGGTTTCTTCTAAAAGGTGCTGTAGTCTATTTATTTTATTTGAGACTTCCTGTGTATTTTGGTGCAGCAGGATGAGTTTGGAGTTTACATCCTGACTCGATTGTCTAAAAAACAGTCAGGTTGCGTTTCTCTTGTCTCTGCTGATTTTTGCAGTTTTCTTAAAGTAAAATCAGGCTGCGTTGGAATAATCTGAGAAGGTGAGGAAAAAACAAAGTTATTATCCTGTAGCGATGCAGCCTCCCTTTTTACTAAATATCCATAATGCTTCTTCATATGTTCTGAATAAAATCCTATATTTTTTACAAAGAAATCATTGTAATCCTCGTCTTTGCTCTTTGGCTTAGCATTTAGGGGTGGAAGTTTATTTTTATTTTTAGTCTCTTTCAGGCTTTCTTGAGCTTTTACTGTTTGTGACACTTGTGACAGTTTTTGTGGCGGGGTTTGGCTGGTTCCCCCTGTTGATACTTGTTCCGTTGAGGTCTCAGATGACAGTTTTTTCGTAGGAGTTTGTCTGACTCTCCCTGTTGCAGTTTCTGTTGGCAGTTTTTTAGTAGGAGTTTGTCTGACTCTCCCTGTTGTAGTCTCGGTTGGCAGTTTTTTAGTAGGAGTTTGTCTGACTCTCCCTGTTGTAGTCTCGGTTGGCAGTTTTTAGTAGGAGTTTGTCTCACTCTCCCTGTTGTAGTCTCGGTTGGCAGTTTTTTAGTAGGAGTTTGTCTGACTCTCCCTGTTGTAGTCTCGGTTGGCAGTTTTTTAGTAGGAGTTTGTCTGACTCTCCCGGTTGTTGTTTCAGTTTGCAGTTTTTTCGTTGGAGTTTGTCTGGCTCTCCACGTTGTGTTTTTGAAGGTTTTGCTGGTTATTTCTCGGCAGTCAGTAGCAAGTTTGTGATTTGTTTGTTCTAGGTATTTAGCATTTTGCAGGGATACGCTGAATATGTTAGTTCTGTTATGATTTCTTTGAGCCCTTTTATTTTTTAATGAACTTGGTGTTGGAATGGAAGGATTTGTATGAGTTGTCGGAGAAATGGTGTTAGAAATCTCTTTGTTCATCTGCATTTTCAGGGTGTTAATGACGTGTTCCATTTGATTTTGTTTCATTTTAATTTGAGCAAGTTCAGCTAAGAGGAAAGGACTGTGACCAGCTATACATTGATGGGTCTGGGCTACAGCAGGCTTTGTACTAACCAGATTTTCCTCTTTTTCATCCAGCTTAACTTCATTGTGTTTTTGTGTCAGATCTTTTATGTTCTGTTTAAGTTGTTGAGTTTCTTGTTCATATTTTTTTAATGTGTCTTCTTTTTCCTTGTCCAATTCTTCAAAGGTGTGTTCTAAGTCTCTGCGAAGCATCTTCTCATTGTCGAGCTGTTTTTCAAGATTATTGATGGTTTCCACTAACGAGTTGTTTTTCATTAACAATCTTTCATTTTGGTCTAATAGTGTGTCTATTTTTTCTTCCCAAGCTGCTGCTTCATTTCCATTTTTTATTTTTGTTACTTGAAAAGACAGTTTGGCATTTTCGAGACTCAGCTTGTGTACATCCTCTCTAAGTTTATTGTTTTCTTCAAGGAGAGCATTTCCAACCTCCGCTGCTAGGTTAAGAGAACTTTCCAAATCATTCTCTTCTGTATCAAAATTCTGTACAATGTTTTGAAAATCGTCCATGGTAAGATTTAAATTGTTTAACATAGGTTCGGGCTTGTTAATTGAGGTATGACTTTGAGTGATGCAGCTAAGCAAGGTGTCGTCTGAGGTTTGACTTTCAGAGCAATGCTTATCATCAGTTTTGCTTGATTTCCTTGCAAAAGCGATTTCTGCTTCTTTTAAAGCTGCATTAAAATATTTATTTTTGAAATTGTCTTGTTTAGGTTTACCATATATTGCTTTGTTTTCTGAGTAAAGACATACATCACTTTCCTTTATTTTAGCTGTTTTATTATCTCCAAAAAAAGAAACAGTATACTGTGGTTGTCTATCATTTTTCTTTGGAACAGTCTCCTTTATTTCTGCAGGCCAGAAACAGTAGCCTTTTATCTTTGCAAAAACTAAATCACCTGCTCAATCACCATAACAGCTGATAAAAGAATACAATATTGATCTTGGACATAGTGATTTGATATCCCTTTTAGTCCTCAAGGCACTATCTTTGACTATTAGACATTCCAATCCCATGTTAAAGTTGTCGCCAAGTTTTTAGTCAAATTTGTCTTAGTTGATGTGAGCCACCTACAGATTGCGATGATCTTAATTACTGATTTCTGTCAAATACACTATGGTTTTTACCAAGTAAAACTGATAGAACGACTTATTATGAGCTAAGCAACTGTTATGAACCATCAACTATCTCAGTAACAACAAATAAGGTAGAAAATAGAATTTTAGACCCTAGAGCATTCTGTGACTGGCTCACACAACTATATTCTTTTTTAGTAAAACATTGGCGAAAGCTGATCCATATAGATGGGATTTCTTCGCACTATGTTACTTGTATTTCAGATTTAGAGAATTCAGTAGCTTTTTGGTGGATCATTGGGCTTTTGAAAAATGGTACTAACTTAGTCAGTAACCAAGCTAAAAAGACATCTCACTCAATTCTTTGTGTTCAATGAATTCATTATTCAGCTCAAAATTGTAACACATACCTATCACGTCTTCATAAAGTAAAAGTGGTTAGTCAAAATGGAATTGATAAAAAAATAAACATTCTTTTAAGAGTCATAACGTGATTCTAAAACATATATATATATATTTTTTGTCCTAGGACGCTAGGCACAAGCCCGGAATTGTTTTTCACATTACTTCAGGCTAGACCTAGGGGTTGCGGCATTATCACATGGATAAAATCCATTGGTGATTTGGCAGGATTTGAACCTGGGACCTCTGGGACCGAAGTTGCACGCTCTAACCACTAGACTAGCTCGCTCCCCTAAAACATATATTACAAAGCTCTTATGGAAAATTGTCACTAACTCAAAAGCTACGCAATTTAAAGTATTTTACAGAAGTATTTTCATTATAGGTGCAGACATTGCTAACGTGTGCAATGAAGCAGCACTCCATGCAGCTAGGTCCAAACAGAAGTCTGTTACTGGAGCAGACCTTGAGTACGCAGTGGAGAGAGTGGTGGGGGGCACAGAGAAACGCAGCCATGCAATGACACCAGCTGAGAAAAAGTTTGTTATTCCATATTTTGTTTAAGTAAAGTATAAGATAGGCATACTATTTACTTTTATCATATCATCATATTTTATTATATACTAGGATTGCTTTCGTAGCAGTGAAAGCCAGTTAAGCTGAGCGATTACGTTTCATGGTTTCTAATAAAGCAATAAATTAAAACAATGTTTTTAGAAATAATACAACAACAGTTTTTGAGAAGTTAAATTAATGAAATAGTTGTATTATATCTATAAACATTGTTTTAATTTATTTCATCCAAGGTAGCCTATGCTTTACGTGGCCTATTCTAGGGTTAAGAACCAAAACAGCTTGAAAGTGGTTTTACCGCCAACAAATGCTACTGAAACCCGCAATGAAGTATGATGAGAATTTTTAAACAATCATTCTAATGTACTACTCCAATGCCGTCATTCAACAACCCGATTGTTCGAATAGAAGTTGAAATGTCAAACATTATGTTGATTAAAATGCAGGTATTTAAGAGCTGTGTTAAAATGTTTTTATTTTAGCTAATTAACTTATAAAATAAAATTTTTATTCAATCCGAGCAAAGCTTGGTCTCCTGGTACAGCCACTTGACTGCAAGTGATATTAAAGACAATGAGTTTTATATTTCTGATTTTTCTGGTCACATTAAAACTATTTCCAACATGGTAGTTTCTGATTTGTCTTGGCTTTTTTACTTAGGAATCTCATCTCTGAAGATAAGGCCGGCTAAACTTCTATTCAACGACATTCCGGCTTTGATGCAGAGTGCCATTTTCACAGCAACTTTACTTCAGCACAGTTGATGCAACAAGTGAGCAGTAAGTCCGTCAACTGTGTGGAAGTTAAGTCACCCTGAAGATGGCACTTATTTGAAATTATCTTCACCGAAACACCACGAACCTACAACTAACTAGTTGTCTTTTATATTTAGTGTACATTTTTAAGCTATCAGAATGGGTTGAAATTAGTTTGAGTTTAACATTGTCAATAAATAAATAATGTCAAGTATATAATGTTATTGCTGCAGAGTTGTTGCCTACCATGAGTCGGGTCATGCTGTGGTTGGCTGGATGTTGCCCACTACTGATGCATTGTTGAAAGTCACCATCGTGCCTCGCACCAACATGGCTCTAGGGTTTGCCCAGTACACGCCCAAGGACCAGAAACTCTTCTCTAAGGAAGAGGTAAGGGTATGATTTTGAGCTATGGAATTGTAAGCGAGTCTTATTACCCCAAAACTATACCAAAAACCAATACCTTAAACCAGATATGATTGGTTGGTTGATTTACCATTCTGACCCAGTCAGTCAGTCATTTCGTACAGTAGAACCTCTGGTGTTATCAAAATTAGTCCTAATACAAAACAACATACCTGTATGTTCACATTCAGCTTCAAATACTTACCCAAGTTTGTGTCACTTTTTCATGATAGTTGGTTGTTGATATGGGGAAAGTAGTTTGCATGCCACTGTATCATATTCATAAATCAATATTTTGGTCTTTGTACAAATAAAAAATAAAAACATTAACATAAAATAATTTTACGAAACAATTATAATTTGTTGTTGTTAATGATCTATTTGACGTGACCATAAGTTGTGAAAACAACGATGACTTGTGATGTCAACAGTGTTGTTTGAAGACAAGATGGATTAAATAATCAGAGAAACTCGTATTGAGCGCATTATTAGACCTTGACCTTGACATTAAATTCTCGTAAAAATTCATTAACTAAAAAATGACTGAATATTGTGAACAGGTCTTAAAAATATGAAGCCTAATAAAAGAAAAAAATACATTTTTCAGACGACAGAAAACCCAATTTTTATTCAATTCATTAGGGTTGCTGTGTCAGTCACTAATTTATGTTTTCAACTTTTGTAGATTTTCGAACGAATGTGTATGGCCTTAGGAGGCAGGGTAGCAGAGTCGCTAACCTTCAACAAGATCACAACTGGAGCTCAGAATGATCTTCAAAAAGTTAGCCAGATGGCATACGCCATGGTGAGTTAATCTCTACACTTATGATTGATTATTGTTTGGAACAAGTTTTATAAAGCTTTTTTAAGAATGTTTTAAACAAAGAGATAAATAAGATGGTGATGTTACATAAGCTGAGCTAAGCAAATTTCTGTAATCTATAAGCTTAAATTAGTTTTGAAGCTATATATTTATGAGTATAGTTTTTAAGTCCATTACATAAAGCCAAAACTAACTTTGTTTTGCATTTTTAATGTGACCAATAAAAGTTTTTTTTATTGTGGGTTTAAAGCTACTGGTACTAAGTGTTTTGTGTCAACAGCGAGAACGGTATTTTCTCACATTTTTTGTAATAGTTCAATCTCTGGTCTTGTTACTATCTAACGGTAACCTCTGTCTTGTTGGATTGTCAATCATGAAAAATTATATTTGGATTCTGCTCAGGATTGAACCAGCAATCTTTGTACTTCAGTACGATAACTACTCTCGCATATCCCGAAAATTGAAAAAAGTGTGCTGCAAACATAATTAGACTTTCCTGGTAGAAACTCTATCTAAGAGTGTTAAGAAGATAACTGGTTATTCATACAAGATCTTCATAAAACATCTATAATCACACTCAAGCTCATATATTTGAAGTTAAATTCTTTGAATATGACCAGGCAATCTTCCAATGAAGCTTTTAAATTCCACTTAATTAGCTGACATGAATCAAAAGATGGATTAAGTCACTATTGGTATAATTTTGTTCTATAAACCTTCATACTCATTTTTGATCAATATCTGCCTGAACATGTTTTTAAACCAACTAATGAAACTGTTGTTTTTAGGTGAGACAGTACGGCATGAGCAACACGACAGGACTTGTGTCATTTGATGATGATAAGGGAAGCATTAAACCATACAGCAAAAGGATGGCTGCCATGTTTGATGACGAGGCGAGGAAAATTGTTGCCAAAGCTTACAAACATACAGAAACAGTTCTCAAGGAGAATAAGGACAAACTGGAGTTGGTATGTGGATTTTTTCCTAATTCAAAGTAAATATTGAGGAATCTTTTTAGAAGTTGGTGGTGGTTGTAGGGGGTTATTTTAAGATCATACAATAAGTGTGTTATAACAATTAATAATTGAACTTAGAACACAAATAATTTGTTGGCTTGACGTTAAAAATTTGATCATAGCAATATAATTAGTTAGAATTTGTTTCTATGATCTAATATTAAATCAACTGATTTAAAGTTAAACTAGTGTCCCTGTTGCTCGAATCCGAGCAATTGCTAAGTACTACAGGCGTTATTTTAAAACGAATTTCAACCAAGTCAGCAAATGATTGTAGCAAACTGTTAAATTAGCAAACTTATTGACTGTTTAACATACTCATCTTCTCACTCTTGATTTCTGACAACAGCTGGAGTTTTATAACAATTTTTGTTTCCAATGTTAATCTTATGGAGAAATACGAAACTTTAAAGGGCTCCAGGGCCTCACTCTCTCATTATTTCCCTAAAAAGAAAGTTTCCTGCACAACTTCACGTTACGCTCTTTCCAATGACACCAAAAACATGACAATCGGTTCAGTAGTTTCGAAGGAGTAATTGTCACAAAAAATCTGCTTGCGTATTAAATAAGTACTAGTGTCCCTGTTGCTCGAATTCGAGCAATTGCTAAGTATTACAGGCGTTTATTAAAATGAATTTCAACCAAGTTAGCAAGTTTGTAGCAAACTGTTAAATTAGCAAACTTTATTGACTGTTTACAATTAACACATGCTCTTCTTACTTTTGATTTCTGACAACAGCTGGAGTTTCATAACAATTTTTGTTTCCAATGTTAATCTTATGGAGAAATACGAAACTTTAAAGGGCTCCATGGCCTCACTCTCTCATTATTTCCCTAAAAAGAAAGTTTCCTGCACAACTTCACGTTACGCTCTTTCCAATGACACCAAAAACATGACAATCGGTTCAGTAGTTTCGGAGGAGTAATTGTCACAAAAAATCTGCTTGCCTATTAAATAAGTATAGATATATAATAGCATCTAAGCAACACAAGTAAAAACTAATAGAACACTAAGTGTAAAATGAATAAAGAGCTTACAAGCTCCATTTCAAGGATTAATAGGCTAGTAGTGATGTGTAAAAAAAAAAAAATTCCGCTGTTGCACTAATTTATATTGGAGAGTACTGTATAGGCAATGTTTACATTTACACATTTGTTATCATACCAAAACGGCACACGGAAGATTTCTCAGGTGCCGTTTGACGTCACTAACTGCTGACGTTACTTTGAGGGAACGCCAATACCGCAACGATACAGTTTCGAGCCATCGGCCTCAGTGGTGTAGTGGATAGCATGGCGGGCTGGTAATCCGAATGTACCGGGTTCGATTCCGGCTGCTAGCACTAACTTTTTGTGAACAATTTTTTTCATATCAGCAAGTTTGGTTGGTTTGGTTAGGTTATGACAGTTTAATTTTATAATTAAAAAATTGAATTTTAGGCATTTATAATTTTATTTTATGAACAAAACTATTTTTTAGGTTAGTAAACCTTCATTAGATTTTTCCATTATCAGCACGTTTGGTTAGTTTGGTTAGGTTATGACAGTTTAATTTAATAATAGAAAATAAAATTGTCTGTTTCTTCAGACCCAGCAGTTAGTGACGTCAAACGGCACCTGAGAAATCTTCCGTGTGCCCCACCGGTTATTATACTGTCATTACCATGGCAATAGAAATGCCAATGTACGTTTTGTTTACACACACCAACGCCGCCGCAGACTTGTCAAATCTTGAAACCAAAATCTTTAAATTTTATGTTTTTTGTTACACTAGCCTATTAATCCTTGAAATGGAGCTTGTTAGCTCTTTATGCATCAGAAATGTATACCTAACATTATAGACAAATCATAAGCAATAGGTGTAAAAGACCACTATATGTCTCACACAACTAAGCCCTTAAATGACGTGTTATAGCTGGCAGAGACGCTGTTGAAGAAGGAGACTTTGAACTACCCAGAGGTAGAAGAGCTGATAGGTGCACCGCCGCACGGGGTCAAGAACCTGATGGACCCTGCTGACTACGAGGCCTCCATACAACACGCTGCAGGCAGCAACCCTGCACCTCAGGAGCCACCTCAGACATCTGCACAGTAGCTAGACTAGTGGCTTTGTAAATTAGTGTAATTTCTTGTTAATAAACTAATTGCTATTTTACTTCCGTTTTCATTGAAGGAGCCATAGAATACGTACTTGTATACTGTAGAGCATTGGCTATCACAAAGTGGGGGGGGGGGGATTATAAAATGATGTGCTTGAATGAGCGATTTAAAGCTATTTTAAGACATACAAAATTAAAATGACCGAGCTTAATGTGTACAAGCTTCCCAGTGTAATTCAAGGTTCAATAAATGTTTTAAAAATATACATGCAATCCCACAATGTGAAGCTTTTGGTTTATTGGGACTCGTGGAATTTAATTAACATGTGGCAAAAATACAACACATTTAGTTGACTCTCGCATCAAGGTTTTCCCTATTCCCCAAGCATTATTGATTTGCGAAAATACCCTTTCAACTGGTGCCGATGTGCTTGGCAAACAGAAAATGTATTCCAAAATGAGACCAAAAATTTGAACCACAACTTATTTTATCGAAGAAGTGTTTGAGAACTTGCATCAAACACGACTGCATTATATCTGCCCAGTAAGCAGCATTTAACCTACACAAAATGAAAATACACTACCCAACTAAAGTTGCCCGTCGCCGTCACTCATTGCCACTGATCATGAAGATTTGGCCTCCAGAATTGGTTCTCAGTGTTCTCATGTTGGTTTGTTATATTTTTAAATATGATATCAGGTCCTATGGTTAATAAGAAAATATGAATACTATTTGAATATTGAAAGCTTTCAAATTGGCTACGGTAATAATTGAGTTGCATTACTGTAATTACAAATTCCTACATTTAACTCAGATAAATTATTCAACTACCTTTCAAGCTTTGACTATTGATACAACATCTTTATTCTTGTATTATCATCTTGATACTCTTCTTTATCGAATAGTTGATGCTTTCAAGTTTTCAATCATCTGGGTCTAGGTTAAAATGAATGACAACATTAAATGTGGAAGAATGAAATGAGAAGAAGAATGCGGCTGAACGCCAGCATCGAACACAGCCATATATGCCTGTAAGCGTCTGACGTCTGCCGATCTTCCCTACTTTTCACAATGTACAAAAAAAAAGTCAGACTAAAACGATCCAGAGTTTTATGTTAGGAGTTTGTATTCATTCCTACCATTCGCCACAAGTTTAGCCTAAGATTGCAATGAATTTGGTTAACAATTTGCAATACAAATTATTGAAGTTCCAATTTAATAGATAATAGTTTAAATTATTTGTAAATTAAGGTTTTGGGACCGCTCTTGGCCGTGGGTTCAAATCTTGCAAATCACCAATGAATTTGACCTAAGTAAAAAATCTGCAATCATCTAGGCCTTGAAATAATGTGTAAAATGACTCCAGGCTAGAGCCTAATGTCCTGGGATGTGAAACAAAACAAAAAAGTAATATTTTTATTTTTACAATTTTTTTTATAATTTGTGATAATGGCTTTAAAACAGAAGTTAGTTATTTAAATGGAAGTGTGGGAAGATTTGGCAACAGAGGAACAATATTTATTAGTCATACGATTTTTAACGTGTTGAAAATAGTTTAGTGTTAACCGTTCTTGCTGCTACGATAATCAGGACTAATGTACAACTCAACATTTTTATTTTTGTAGTTCATAACATAACCAAATATAAAAAAAAAATCTTCCATAATAATTTGATAATCACCGTTACCAATTTCATGAAAGATAGAACAATGACGTCATGAAAAAGTTCAGTTAGTGAGCTCCGAATTATTTATCTACAGTAATATAAGGATTTCTTCTTGAAGATATAGATATTTTTCTGAATCTGTTTGTTTCAATAATATAGCAAACTAGTCGTATTATGATTTTCCTATAATATGGGAACTGAATTTCCTGAACTGAATTTTATGTTTTGCTTCTGTATTATTATTTATTTGACCTTTCTGTGGATGGTTGTTTGGGAAATCGAGACTCAGACAGAAATAAATAATTCAAATGTAAAATATACTCTCATCAAGGAAGGTTAAGAACTATACACAAAAAAACTAATAATTCTTATATGGAAATATATTTATAAAATAATTACAACTAGATTACATAACAACACAAAATTAATATCTTAATTAACAACTTCCATAAAAATATTAATTGTTTTACAACTATACAAATGAATCAGATGGCAATCTACCAGCGAGAAATATGTTTTAGTTTCATCAGCAACTAAACTAACATTTTGTGCTTGTTGAAAAAAAAAAAAACTGTTTTTGGTGGAGGGATTAGGTCTTGATAAATAAATGTAAAATACATATTACTGGCAATATTAAGGAAATCATTATGTTACTTTTCAAATAAAATAAATGAGGTCATGCTTTTCTGCAATTATGTCTCATTGCAGACGAGACACAATGGACTAGGTTTTAAGGATTATTGGTTAGATAACATGCTTATCAGAATGGAATACGAGTCCACCCTGGTACTAGAATAACAACAAAATTACCATGTAGCCGACATACAGATTAGATTATGTCAGTGTCACTGGCAGCATTTCCAACCCATGAAAGTATGAGTTCCTGGTTTAAAATTGACAGTATAATATTATATTGTGTATAGTGTAAAGTTTTGGTTTTTCTAGTGCCAGGGTAACTGTTCCCCAATCAAATAAGTCTGATACCAAAAAATTATTGTTTTTTTTTTAAGTTTTGTTAAGTTTTTCCAACGTTAATATGTAATAATGACCACTTAACTTTCATTCAATTTTTATCGTTATAGAAGAGAGAATATTAATACTAGGCCTACTTTAAAATTTTCATCGAGCAATTTCAAATTCAATAATTTTAATTTAGCAATAAAAAAAATTATGCTCTCAATAAAAACTGATTGGTTTAGTTATTGAATGCCAGTTAAGAATGATTCGTCTCTTGCAAGACGAATGGGCGAAAGTACATAGCATGTTTATATACTTGCACCCCTTTGTTTTGCAAGTGTCAAATTATTACCTCATGGCTTAGAGTAAAATTACAATCAAAATTTAAAGACGTATACTCCAATTTTAAAGCGATTATCAACAAGCACAACTATTAAATTTTTAATAAACACAAATCAACAAAACAACACCAAACAATAATAGGAACAAATCAGATTAACGAGTAAGAATTGCTTATTAAATTAATATAGATACATGAATATTAACACAAACCAAATAAAACTAAATACCAAACTATGTTTTTCCTGAAACTTGGCAGTACTGTCTTGTATAAAAGAGGTCAAAAAGGGCCAAAGTGGACACCATGAGGTCAAATCTGAGGTAACAGGTCACTACTGGAATTGTTACAGCACAACATTGCAAAGCTTATGACATTTTCCTGCCTCAAATCAGGAAAACTTGAGATTCAATATTCCTAAATTCTGACACCAATATGTGGATTTAGTTACAATGTAAAGTAGTTTATGATAAGCATTCATGTGAAGGATGGCTTAGTTGTATTTCTACAGAGGGAATAATTACCATTGTAAAGGAAGTTTTCTGCTTTCTATCATAATTTTTATTTTGCAACTTTTTTAGCCTTGAAATTTTTCAGCCCAAATGGGCATCTGCCTGCATTTCAAGCAAGAAAAGCAGTGACGAAACAAGCTGGTACAGTAGGCTACACCGGGACACGGACCAATGACATTGCTGCATTGGTTTCACAGCCCATCGCCACTGACTCAACAACTTGTACAAGTTTTGTAAAAATAAGATCTGAAAGATATTCTATTTGTGTATTACCTTACTGTTAGTAGATTCCCTAAGAAATAACTGGAAAATGTCACAAACTTTATGCAAATGTTTGATGGCTACATAAAAAAGGATGGGAATATGTGCATCTTATTTACAAAAGATTCCAAACTTGTATTACAAGCAAACTAGTATGTACATCTTTAACCTTGGTACTCAATCATTGAGCAAAAGTATATTGGTACAGGCCGAATTCAACTGATTAAACCAAAATATCTGACTACACTACATATATATGCATAAAAGACAAATCATTTATTTGTACATAACTACTCATACAACAGCCAGCTGCATACATCGAAAGCTCATTTTCTGCTGCGCTGAGGATCTCTTAACCTTTTTCTAGACCTCCTACATAAAATAGATATATATCTAAGAGTTTATAATAGTAAAATATAAGATTTAAAAATATAGTAATATTATTACTAAAATAATCACCTTAAGTACAAAATACAACACCAGAGAGGAAAAATCTTACTTAAATAAACCTAAGTTCAACTCAAAAGTTCTTTTTGTTATTGTTAATCTTAAGACAAGGTGATTAAATAACAGTTAAATTGTAAAATAAAATTAAATTACAAATTTAAAACTTACAGGGTCTTCTGTATAACAAGGTACTGGCGATAAAACAAAAAAAATTGTTCCTGAACAAATTTTCTTAGGGCTAACATTAATGAGTATTTTTAGAGTCCACCAAGTTTTCTACCTTATTACTCCTTCTTACTGACTTAATATGATCTGGTAAAGCCTTCATAAGGTGCTAACAACAGAAAGAAAACAAGCTTATCACGAATCTGGATTTTTACAAAACATTCACAGCAATCATTATGAAAAGGCTATAGTATGAATTTTGTGAATACATTTCCATTGGCAAACAGTTAACGTCTAAGGCACAATCTTTGCTTACTTCACTCCAAAAGTAGAAATTTAATCTCGTCTCACTTTATCAATAATCCCCTCTTTTAAAGTTTTTCTAAACTAAACTATGTAATCCCTCTATGTATATAGGCATACCACATTCTAGTCAATATAGAACGATTCCAACTTAAAGTATGATAACAATTTTACTTTTCTTTAACTGTTATATTATTACCAGCAAAGTTCTTGGCTAGTGGTGGATAAATCCAACAATCTCTAATCTTTATTTTGATTTAGCATCTCAAACCACATTTTTTTTTAATCTATGACAATGAATAGAACTATACATTCCCTTACCATGTTAAAGTGGTTGCCTGTTTTAGAATGAAAATGAACTTAGTTAATTGAGCCATCAACAGAGTGCAATGATGTAAACGATAGACTGTAAAAATTAAATATCCCCAATATTTACTTTATTTTTAATCAAAACCTAAAACTAAATTGATTTTCTCTATCGTTAATACCAGAATCAGTCAACCTCACTGAACCAGACTTTGATTGATAAATTATCACGAAACTTACCGTTACTTTTTGTTTTAACACATTTCGCACCTTACTGGAATGAATTGAATTTTAAATATAACAGTATAGTATGGTTTTTAGTAGCTGAGTGTGAAACAGTTTTTAACACTAAATGCCACAATCTGTTCTGTTATCTTTACTCGTATTAGACATTTCAGCTTTGGAATTTAACCTTTTTTCCAAGCAACAACACAAGTATTATCAGACAAATAATATCAGGAAAATATCCTAAAGATAGAAAATGTATTTATACTTTTACCAAGCTGTAAATGGATTTGTAAACGCTTGTCAAAAAATTGCATTAAGTCAATATTTGTTTTGTAAAAGTCAACCCAAATGCGCCACATCAATGCGAGTGAAAAATCAAATTTAATCTTAGTTTATGTATTATGATAATCATAATTTTATGCACCTACACTAACTTTTTCCACAAAACTTAAACTTTTTTAGATTAAAGCCACAGTAACAAGAGGCCGCAACAGCTAGTTTAACATAAAACATACCTAAGCTGCATAACGTTTCATATAAGTTAATATTCCACAACAAATTTAGAGGGGATTTTCACTTCTTTCATAACAAAGCCCAAACTTAAGGCTTACAATTAATCACACTTTGTCATTTTACATAAACACTCAACACAAACATTTCTAAGTTTTTCTACTGTCAAAATAAAATTTTCTTGTAAACCATGAAAGTATTCAACATAAACTCTTTAGACAGAAAAGCTCAAAAGAAAAGTTTTCCCATGTACAGAAACTTTTTAAGTTTACGAATCAAACTCTTAAAAAGACAATTTATATCAATTTTAAAACAAATATTAATAGCTAGTAACATAAAATTAAAGCTATCTGAACGTATTGAAATGTAACAAATAAATACATTGAAAATTATTAATATCTGAATAGTTTAACATATCCATAAGAATTGAACAGATTTCAAAACACTTTCCAAACATAGTTTACCGTCTAATTTTTTCATTAATATCGACGACATTTAAATCAACATTACATAGAGAAAATACATCAGATAAAACTTACCACAATTTTAAGAAAAACAAAGAAAACAAATAACCAGAATTACCAGTTTAGACTTCTGCAAGTTAACCCTTAGAATACTAGGAAACACGTCAGAATATTTCAAAATCGATCTCAACAGTCAATAATGTGATGTATCATAACTTACTGTTAATACTAGAAACTACTATATTATAAAAGTTTAAAAATAATCACATGTATAAATTAAGAAAATCTAACCGTGTCTATTGCTTGTTTCGTTGCACCAAAGTAAATATCGTCTGTAACTAAGAAGTGGCTCTAAACAAAACTAGTCTGTTGACTGTACAGCTGCGGTATTTACATCTTGAGGTCCTCAGAGGCACCGAGGTTCGCCAGAGTTTTCTTTATCCTGAGTGCCGTGAGTCGTGCGGCCGCGTTGTGGTACCAACACTCCTTCATCACTTTGGACATCACCACCAACGCCTGCAATCACCAGTCACCACACACTATTCAGCCAGAGTTAAGTACAATATGTTTATACTAATAAATCACTATTCAGCTAAAATAACAGGCAATATTATTGTATGAATGTAACAGAAGTACGTTTGAATGTAATCTAACACCTTCGCATTCTTGTAAGCATAAATGATGAATTATTGATGGTCACTGTTAAAATAAAGTAAATAACTACTTTATTAGCACTTAACGTGTTGATATTCTTATTATGAATGTAATAAAATAAAATACATCTTCCAAACCCATTTCAATATATCCAAACTTGTACTGTAAACATTTTCGAGATGGTAAATGATGCTACGATGGCGACTGATTGTGGCTAGTCAAACAGGTCATCATCAGGCCCAAACAGAAACTGAGAGAATCTAAATTACAACATTGCTTACATACTATTGATTGCCAAAACAAATTCTGACAATTCCTGACAAGAGTTGATAAGTTAATTAATTTGACTTTTCCTTAAATTTTTCTCTTGAAATATACAATTTGACCCAAGTATTCGTTACATTTTCTTTTTTACATAACTTGAGGATTTCACAGTTTTAGCATTTTTTCAATCTCCAGTGGCCACTATATTATGATTGTATTCTGTTTATTTCTTTTTAACGCGTTTTTATTAGGGCCTAGCTCACTTTTTGGTTTGAACTACATTAGAACCTCAATAGTTCCACACTTTGTGGAGGGGGTCGAACTATCGAAATTTCGAACTATAGGCAGTAAATGGAGTTTAATATACAGGAAAGTAAAAACACAAGTTTTATATAGAAATCACCCAAATGTATTAAATACTAAAAAGCTTGACAATTTCACTGTTCATCAATTAAAAGTCTCAAGTCAACAATAAATTACAAATATCGGCCGACCAACATTTAATTCACTTGTTACTTTGTTCACACTTTCTCCCATATCAATTTGTTTTAGTGCGTCTAATTTCATGTCCATCGAAACAAAACACCTTTTCTGTTTTTTAACAGTGCAATTAAACTAAAAACTACGTCTTTTCAAAGAATTTAAACTAAAAACGTTCACAAAATAATTGAGTGCCCAATCACCGGCTGCAACTCAAGCAAACTGATTTCACAACGTGGGTGGTGGAGAGGAAGGGAGGGGGAGTCCCGCATAAACAATAGAACTGAAAAGAACTGGTCCCGGTCATTGACCGGCGTACGTGTCAAAACAAAATATCGATCGCTTTAAACGGGTAGCCTCAGCCAGAAGCATCTCAGAGGGCTGGTCAGGAACCGATGAGAACCTATTGCTATATGAGAACCTATATAAGGAGTAGGGGGCATGATGTCACTCTCTTCTCTTGAGGGAACACCACTACCGTAACGATGCAAAGTGAAGCCATCGGTGTTTGTGGGTTAGCGTACTCGACTGATATCCATGAGGTATCCAGATCGAATCCCACCGGTGACATTAACTTTTTGTCAAAGATTTTGCTTAGACTGCAATTACTTCTTAACTGTACATTTTTTGTTAGAATTTGAAGCATTTATAATTTTATTTTATGAATAGAACTATTTTTTTACTTACAGGGTGTCTAGTTTATTTCCATTATAAAATTCAAGACTAATTCCACACTTTTCAAGACTAATTCCAGATTTTTCAAGACTAGTTTTTTCCACAATTAGTGGGTGTTGATACCAAAATGTATCGATTCTTGATTCTTGATACCGATACCAATTTTTAAAGCTTTACCAAATTTTCTAAATAATACTACACCAACTCTTTGTCTTTGTCATAAAGTAGTGTTATGATAATGTGGTGTTTTCAAGTAAAGAAATAATGCAGCAATAAAAAATTCTAACTAGCAAATTTGTTTTTTTTATCATGAAATCTTCCGCGTACCGTGCGTTTAGACATCATCATTGACTGCAGAGGTTACAGAAACGTGATCGTCGTCGTCCGCAACCACGGCAAAATCATGAACATTTCGGATTACATGAATCGTTACAGAAACTTCATAGTCATCTCCCACAGTCACGGAAACGTCATCGTCATCTCCCGCAGTCACGGAAACGTCATCGTCATCTCCCGCGGTCACGGAAACGTCATCGTCATCTTCCGCGGTCACGGAAACGTCATCGTCGTCTCCCGCGGTTACGGAAACTTCATAGTCATCTCCCACGGTCACGGAAACGTCATCGTCATCTCCCACGGTCACGGAAACGTCATCGTCATCTCCCGCGGTCACGGAAACGCCATCGTCATCTTTCGCGGTCACGGAAACGTCATCGTCATCTCCCGCGGTCACGGAAACGTTATCGTCGTCGTCCGCGATCACGGCAAAATCATGAACATTTCCCGCGGCCGTGTAGATATCATCGTCATCTCCCGCGGTCACGGAAACGTCATCGTCGTCGTCCGGGATCGCGGCAAAATCATGAACATTTCCCGCGGCTGTTTAGACATCACCGTCATCCCCCGTGGTCACGGAAACGTTATCGTCGACGTCCGCGATCACGGCAAAATCATGAACATTTCCCGCGGCTGTGTAGACATCATTGTCGTCTCCTGCGGTCACGGAAACTTCATCGTCATCTCCCGCGGTCACGGAAACGTCATCGTCGTCGTCCGCGATCGCGACGAAATCATGAACTTTTCCCGCGGCCGAGCAGATATCGTTGTCGTCTCCCGCGGTCACGGAAAGGTCATCGTCGTCTCCCATGGTTTTGGAAACGTCATCGTCGTCTCCCGTGGTTTCGGAAACGTCATCGTCGTCGTCCACTATCGTGGCAAAATCGTGAACATTTCCCGAGGCCGTGAGGACAATCATCATTGGCTTTCGCGGTTACGTAAACGGAAGACGACGATCGCGGCAAAATCGTAAAATTCCCGACTTTGAAATCAAATTTAAGACTAAATCCCGACTTTTCAAGACCATTTTGAAATTCAATACTTATTCCCGACTTTCCCGACTACTAGACACCCTGTATTAGTAAACCTTCATTTGATTTTTATCTTGTAGCCTATCTTTATAATATCATCAGCAAATGTGGTTTGTTGGGCGAGGTTATGACAGTTTCATTTTATAATAAAAAATTATAAAAATAATTTTATAATTATAAAGTTTATTTTATAATTAAAAAAATAGTTTTATAATTAAACTAAATCGAGGTTAGGGGCTCTCCCACAATCCCCCACTTCTTCGCAGAAGAGGTTTTCATCAGTTCCTGACCAGCGCCCTGAGAAGCTAGTACCTCAGCCCGTGTTGAACTACACCAAGTATCGAACTATCAAAGGTTTACTTTATTTACTATGTAGTTTTGTAATTTTATCATTAACATTTTCACAATACATGTGAAAATTGTACATAAATTAATGGAAGTTTTAATTGAACATTGTATAGGTCCCTTTACATTGTTGGATGCAGGAGCAAGTACCTGACCAATCCTAACCTCGTTCCAAGATAACCTCTTTCAGTTACATTAGGCTACTTGTTACTCACCGGACATGCTTGCCAGCGGTTTGGGATGGACGGCCGCTGACGATCCACACAGACGACTCTACGCATCTCGTCAATCGTGGGATCGGATGGAACAGCGTCAAAAAATGGCAACTGGTACTCATCGTAGATTCCTCCCACATTACACCTCCTTGCTACCTCCCACAAGATGAGGCCTAGAGCGTACACGTCCGCCCTTTTGAACGAATCAAAGTGGCTCATGTTCAATGAATCTTCTAGAACCTGAAACAAATTATGACGTTAAGTTTAAAATTGAAATAACACAACTTGAAAGACATCTTATTTGTCAGATATTTCATTCTTCATGATCTGGTAGAACCTGTTAGGGTTTTAACATTTTACCAAAACTTTACCAGTTATACCGAAACTTTAACTTTTGTCAATTCTGCTTTTATAGCCCATAATACCAATCAAAAGGAATACAATAGGGGAAGCCGGGTAGTAAGAGACAAAATGGGTAGTATGAGAACCACTAATGTGTATCTCTAAATTTAATAGGAGTAAAAGAATAAAAAAAATCAGGCAATTAGTGGTCCAAAAGGTGAATCTGATAATTAATTGAGGTGCTCTATGATTTTTGAAATTTGTGCGAAAAAAAAATCTCTTTTTACCTCCTGACTTCTATTACTTCTATTACTCCAAAATGGATAATAAGCTGTAATTTTCTTATTTGAAAGTATTCTGAAGTTTGTGGGGTATCAAGAGAAACCTCAAAAAAATTTAGACAAGGTTAAAAGGGGAAAATATTAAAAAAATACAATTTTTTAAACAAGTTAGTAAAAAAGGGATATAAAGCTACGCGCCCACTAGAGCGGCACGGCACGGACGGACAGGACAACTGCACATCAGCAGTTTAGGACAGTTTGCGAGCTAAAACTGTAAGTCTAACTTCGACTGAAACTGTGAGACTAGTGGAGGACGGCGGAAGTCCCATGCCACCCACCCGGTTGTTGCGCAGCGTCCGGTCGGTACGGCACCTCGGAGTTCTGTCTCTCAGACTTTTTAACAAACAGCGGAAGCTGCCCTACGTCCGTTGCCAGCCGTCCCACTGTAGTGGGCGCCCTCATATTACATTCAATGTTATTTACTTTTTTAAATTGCCGTACCGGCCACCCATTTGTGTCGTGCCGCCATTGTGTGTGTGTAGCTTAAAAATGTCAAACTTACACGCAAAATCACACAAAAAATGAGGATTTCTTGAATGGGAAGTAAGCCAGAGCATCCAAATATCAGTTTATTTCATATTAAGAAGAAACAAAGTAGACTAACAAAAAAATATAGCAGCTTAACTTACTTTTTTTTCAATAGTTTATATTGAAACAAAAACGGACACTTTGTTACTTGAAGTTCAACTCAGGTGTAATTTTTGCTCACATTATAATAGTGTTTTAATGTTTCTTTGTTGCATATCCACTCCACCAACACTGCATCTCTTGATAGTTTATAGAAATATTATTAGTGGTGTGCAATGCTTCGAAAATGCATACAAATTTTAATTCCATTTGATTCGATGCCTCAAATTGCAATTCGATTCAGCATGCATCAATATCCCGATACATCAATTACGTCACGATGCATCGATTACGTCCCGATGCATATATTAAACTAATTTAGGCCTCTAAAATGAGTTTTAGATAAGGATGTGTTGATTATCGATACCACCTTATTAATAATAGTGGGCTGAAAAAATCAATAATTTTTTTTGAGTTGTATTATATTTTAAAAGTTGCTAAATATTAAGACTGAAACAGGGTAAAAAAAAATAAATATATCGGTCGTTGTCTTCCGGCTGCGCATGTGGCCTAGAGTTTGAACAAAAAATGAAAAACTCATATTTTTACAGAAATTTTTTAATTTCTAATATGTAATATGTGACGTAATTTTCCTGAAGACGAACATGGGGAATTACGCCACCTGTAGGATAAACGAAGTCCCAGGAATCGCACGAGTCGGGTTGCAGGGATTTTCACAGGAGTCAATAGTGATTAGGATAGCCTCAAATTTGATAGCCTCGGTTATCGGAGCTCGCGACGAACGTAGCGGGTTACCAGACACCACGGTTATAATCACCACTCTAGTCAGGGGAGTTTGTGGGGAATCGATGATATTGACTTGACTCTGTGGGCAATAACTACTTAACAATCTACTAGCTTCTTAACTAGACAACTAGTAAACTAAGTAGTTACCACGCTTACCTACGGAGTTAAGGTACAAGAGTTAACCCGAAACAGACAAAGGTTAGCTTAAGATAGGCCTAGCTGAGCCTAATTCCCACAGTCTGAATTACAAAAAAAATAAAAACGAAAAAATAAAACTGCTCCCTGAGCTAAAAACAAAAACAAAAACTAAAACTTCAACCTACTCACGTGGGCAAATTAAGCAAACTTCTGCAATATTAATCAAGCAGAAACCTGTCTGCTGGGGCAAACTTCGGGACGTTAAGGGAACTTTAAAATATTTACCTTCTTAAAAGAAAGTCCTCAAATAAATTTCAAGGCGTAATCGAAACAGTAAGTCACCAGCTACAATGCTTTACTAATTGGTTGGTTAAAATGTTGTAGTTTCGGCAAAGTTTTGCTGAAACAAAACTGACGGAGAAGTATTCGAAAACCTAAGTTGTTTAAGTTTATTACACAACTTACCAAACAAAGCAATAATATCCTAAAACGATTTTACGCGCACACGATGCACCCCAAACTTTAGATTTCAACTTCCATACTTTCAGAGTTTGCGAAACGTATTTTTGAAACGACGAAAACGAACTTCAAAAAGAGTTCACTTCGAATTTCAGCCGGGACAAATCACAGTGAACACTTCACCTACGTCACAAATCGAGAAAAGGTTAAATCACTCGCTGATTGGTCAACGAGTAACAGAAACAGAAAAAAACTGGCAGGCGCATGACAGCTTCAAAAAGCTCTATATCCGTGTAACTACTTAGAAGGTGGCTGTCAGCCACCTTTTTTCTCCCGTAGCCTGTCCAAACATCATCAAACAAACAAACAACCAAACAGACACCAACGTCGATTGCGGTCTTGGAATTTGAGGTTAGGTATGATGTCAGTTTAGTGTCGCGACTAGGCTTCTCCAACAGCTTACATCTAGCGGTTTAAGTTTTGTGGTTTAACCGTTAATTTACCCCCCTACACATTTGGCCCGTTACAAATAGTTGAAAATGTCATCTTCAAGACACTAAGGAATTGATATTTCAATAATATTATTGTATGTGAAGATCTTCTGGCTGTAAATATAGCCAAAAATAAAGTAAAACATCATTTTGTACTAGACTTATTTGAAATATAATTAACGATAAAAAAATGTAATACCGAAAATCTGCTTGTACACATTCATATAGTAACCTATCAAAAACAATGAACGATTTCAGAATTGATCTTCCGGTCGCGCATAGTAATACAAAATAACTTGAGCGCGGTACTACCGGGTCAGTGAACCAGGCAACGTCATGTGATTCCGAAGTTGAAGTTTCCAAAATTTAACATCAGGATGGTGATGATAATGTATCCCTGTGCTCAACAACTGAAATTGACAATTGCAGTGACAGCAACTAAGATTTTTTACCTAAACTTAAAAAAAAGTCCTCTGGTATGTAAATGAGGATTAGACAATAGACAATATTCTTTATTCATCTAAGTACATAGTACAATTAAATAGTGTCAACAATAAATTGTTATTCTAATGATACATTAATATTGATTTATTTAAGAGGGAGGTTAAGAAAGTCATCCAGCGACCGCTACATACGGTGGGCGGGGCTTCACACTAAACACTCACAGTTCATTCAACATTCACAGTAGAGTTGAGTTTTTGTGGTAGTGACGTGTGTCTCTTGTCTGCTCTTCAAAGCTCACACTTCAAAGGGTATTTAAACTACAATGCTGACTTTGCCATGCACTCAGCATAGCAACGCTGGTGGCGCTGCCTACGATTGACAGGCAAAGCTCTCTCAAAACACTTAATGCTTTTTACCACGCGGTTGGCATTCTGGGTTATAGTAGTATGTTTTCTGTGCTTTTAATGAGAAAAAATCAGCTGAGTAGAACAAATATTTAAAATAAAATAAAAACATATGACATGAGTTCATCTGCCTATTCTGTTTACCCTACCATTATAAACACTAATGGTGGGGTAATAAGAGAACTGTTAATAATTATTTTTAAACAAATTAACATGGCTGATTCTTTGTAATCACTGAATCAGATGAAAAACATGTGAATTAATTTTCAAAACAACTCTTTACTTGTAAAAATTATGTAGGGATTTGAGAGGCTTGCCAAACTTAAACTACTAAATCAGACGTAAGCTTTTTTACCTTATATGGTGATGACTAAACATCTATATTTAATATCTTTCAAACTACCAAACTATTATACTACTAGTATACTACTATAATATACTACTATTATAGTATTATATTATACTAAACTAAAATATTTTTTATTACTCTTAATTTTTTTATAATCTTGTTGTCTTACTATCCCATTCTCTTATTGCCATTCTCTTACAGCTCCCCCTACTAATTATTTAAATTACCTCTAGATATTGTACTTCTAAACAATGACTTAAACTTGTTAATTGAAAAATACAAACTATACCACACAGTTGTCAGCCATTACACAGATTATCTGTATACTATTATAAAGAAGAGGTGGTGTCTGTGTGTGTGTGTGTGTGTGTGTGTTTGTATGAGCTAATCTCAAAAACTACTGAACCTATTGGGCTCAAATTGCACACACATGAAGCTACAGTTCCGAGGATACATATAGAACTATTCCCGCATCAATATTGTCCTAGGGCTATGCCCCGTTGGCTTTCAAAAATCGGAGGTGAGAGATTTCAAAGTAAATTTTGATTGATGGTATCCATGACAACAAAGAACAAACCTACAAAGTTTAAAAATGTAAACAAACAGTACTGTCAAATTAATTTTGATTTCACAATTCCATACAGCTGGTTCAAACATTCATTTAAATACTGCATGAATATTTGAACAGAGAGGGTAAGGATCATATTTAAAATAATGATGTCACTATCCTGAATGTAAACATTATTTAACATTACTTAAATGGAGCTGTTAAACCATATGTTAATGTCATTTCATTGTAATAGGATTCTTTCAGTAACATAATTTGTTTATTTTTATAATCTATTATCATTGACAGCTATTATACTGAGTCTGTTATAATATTTGTAATATTTTACAGTGAATATTTCATTGAAAAAGAAATAGGCCTAATTCATGGATAAAGGAAATAATTAAGATTCTACAATAATTGCTGTATCAACCTAGGCCCTTATCCTGAGTTGTATGAGAATTATGTTTTAGATTTATTTTTGTTTAAACAGTAATTTAATATCCCTGCTGCAGCCAACCTATAGACTAGCGAATTTCCATTTGCCTGATTGTCATTTCCCTAAAATATGTTAGAAAACTACACTATTGACAGAGGTTTGAAACTATTGTGATAGCTATTCGTTTACAGTCCAAACCATTAAACAGGTTCTTTTATTATACCTTGAAATATATCATTGGTTTTGTGGTAGCTTAATTAAGTATTCACAGTATGAGTTAACAAACAAGTAGGCTACTAGACCTATTACTATTATCAAGTTAAGTAGGCCAATACAGATCAATTTTGTTTCTAAAATAAATGGTAGGGAGTGAAACCATTTGGCATTTTCAAAGACCCAGCATTAACTCTTTTGCATACCACTGACCCCATTGCAAGGCACGGGTATAGCTGCTAGCGAATACGAATAGCGGTGCTGGTTGCAGTAGCGCCAGTCAAATTTTTAAGTGACTGACGCTACTAATTGGGACCGACGGCATTGATTTTTTTAGTTTCTTAACTTAGATCATGTACATCATGTTTAGATCATGTACTACCACAAAGTCTTCTTTCTACATCAATTGCAATTCCATAATACCCCCGCCGCAGCACACCTGCAGCCTATTTTCAACTAAATCTAATTCAATAAAATTAGGTTTAACGAGTATCTAGCTACAGGGAGGGATACGAAGGGTGATTTTAGGAAAATACTATTAGCTTAGTATAGAATAAATAAATTTGCCAAATTTGATAAAAATATATCCAAAAGGAATTAAAGAATTTTGCCAGCTGTTTCAACTGCACAAGTTAGCTCTATGATATTAAATAGCTTTAACAGGATTTAAGGTTTACCTACAGGGTGCAGCACTATTATTTTTTTGCATTTATGACAACAGCTAATTTGAACCAACTAGCCACAAAAATCTGTGGTACACAATGAGACCTTTACTTTTTTCTATGGTTCAAGGGCAGTGGTAGAACAAAAGAACCAAACTCTCTTAAACCATGTCCTCACCCATAACTGCAATAAGCATTTTATACTTATATGCCAACCCCGTACGAAGGACGGGTACTCTGCTAGTCAATCTATAAATAGTAATTATTATGCAACCATTATGCAAAAAAACTATTAAAATACTATACCAATCAACAGAAGAGAGAAACAGCAACAACCAGATATAAACGGGGAACTATTTGCTATTTACCTCAGGAGCCATGTAACGTTTGGTTCCGACTCTGTTGTTCAAAGGAATGTCGACAGTATCGGTCGTCACATCATGACGAACGGCCAACCCAAGATCTCCAATAGCACAAGTGCCATTCAGTTTGACAAGAATATTCTTCGACTTCAAATCTCGATGTGCTATGGCTGGTTTTCCTGCAAAACCATATGTTTTAATATGAAAAATATCACCTGGTTGTAGCAAACCTGCAGATTAAGCGATCTTCCACTTTGATCCAACGTATAAAATGTCCGACAACAATAATTTATAACAAATTTGAAAATTAGGAATCTACCAAACTGACTGTAAAGACTGTCCTAAATTTTATACTGAACAAACAGGGAAATGAACTTCTTGTCACTTTAAAGAACAGATTCAAGCAATAAAATGAAACAATTAAAACAGTCAAAAATCAATTTATGACTGACCAAACATATTCAATTCAATGATTTATTTTCACATCAACGTTTACAATTAAACCAGCATAAATAACTGTTTATGTTAAAACATGGAGCAGAAAAATTATAATTTAAAAAACCACATAAGAAGAGAGTTTATTTCTTCTCACCCTGCGTCCCCACAATATCCATGTGTAGATGAGCCAGGCCAGTGGCTATGGACAGAGCCATACGTATCATGCCTGGCACATCCACGGTGCTTCTGTTCAGGTAGTCAAACAAAGAACCGTTCTCGTGGTAATCCGTTATCAGCCACAGCTGAGTCCATGTCCCATTATCTAAAATGAAATTTTTGCCATTTAAACAATGAATTTTTCCAAATGATTAACTTACAATAAGCATCCTTTTTGAATTTGAAATGATCCAACAAGTCAACCTTTTACTAAAAATGGTGCATAATAAATTAGGTTATTAACACAACATTCTAACATGAAACAAAAATGTATACACATTTTAGTTATTTGATCACTTTTAATGGGCTATATTTGGGCTACATTTACTAGTATTTCAAAAAGTAAGTTTATTTTATACAAAAAAAGATTCTGATACGATGAAATAAGAACTCTAAAACTCTTGTGTGGAATTAATTGTAACCACAAAAATTTATATTCACGAAATAAAGGTTTTCCTGACAATAGTTTAACATTCAGGTACATGTCGAGCAGTTCCCTTACAAAAAACATTAAAAATGACAATGGCGTGAAATGACACAGACACAAAATTAAGCTAGTATAGTATATTTTACCTTTATTGTCAGCAGCAATAAAACCGAGTATGTTGTCATGTCTCAGCATGACTGTCTGGTAGATCTCAGCCTCACGGAACCAAGATCGTTCCTCGCGTGAAGAGAATATTTTCACTGCAACATTCTCTCCTCGCCATCTTCCTCTCCAAACCTCCCCGAACCTGCCCTTCCCAATGGTCTCAACCAGTTGAATCTGACGAGCAATGCTGCGTTGCACCAGCAATGGTAGACCTGAGAGTATTAATCAAATGCTATTCAATTCAAACATACTCCATTCAGGGATATTGGGGGTTATTTGTATGGTTCACCACATCAGACAAACCCCAAACCATTTCATTATCCAACCAAGTAAGCAGGCAAACATACTAATACACAGTCTCGCTAAATTTGAACCAATTCGGACCGAACCCTGTTTGGATGACCAAATTGTTGACTAGCCGGAAGTGCATTAAAATTGTATCAACCAATTCAAACAATGAATATTTTATGTAAAATTTACACACGTTTTGAGGTCATCAAAATTCACCAACCATTCCGATTATCTCGGTTAACTGGTACATTGCTTTGTGTTTTGTCCCAAACAAAAGGATTATAGGCTACCAATAACTGATGGCGACCATACGAATGTAGGTATTTTAAGCCAAGTATGAATGGAGCGATTACAAGTGCAGATACAAAACATAAACTAATATGTATAGTTAATGTTGTTCAAAGGTTTATTGCAGACATTTTCCATCACGATTGTAAAAAACAATACAAAACGTTTCAACCACAACGCTATTGTTTGTTTGTTGTGTTGTTTGTTTGTTGTTGCGGTTATTGATTGTGTCCGCAATAAACCTTTGAACAACATTAACTCACCATCACCAACAGTGAACTTCAAACAAAGATTGTATAGTTAACTGTTAAGCCTATACATTGACAACGCTGTTAATAAATTCCTAGCCACCATCAAACCTGAAGACTATAAGCTTGTATTCCAAACCTACCTTGGTTGAAGATGTGGTCAGTGATGGTAACAAATTTGTGGGTATAGTGTAGTTTTCTGTTTGTGCCAGAGTGAAGTCTTTCCCAGTAAGCTACTATCACAAAAAAATTCCTTAAATAAATAATTTTGTTTAAACCACACCCTATCTTTACACCCAAAACCCAGCCTACCTGAGCCAGAGCCGCTGGTGGTCATCTCTATCATGTCCCGCAGAGACACGGCGCCCAGTATCGGCTGGTCCGGGCCGTCAGCGTCAGGCGGGTATGGGTAGGTGTCACGCTGCTGCCGATGTTGAGACCACAGGCTCAATCCCAGCATCACAATCAGACACAGCATACAAATGGGGCCGGCAATCATCACGGCCAGCTCCCATGTCCCGTACGACCCTCCGGACATGCTCCAGTCTCGCTCTGTGCAACACTCATTGTAAACAACACGGAATAACAGTTGACACGTGAGTAAAACTTTTATACTGAACAAAATTTAAAAAAATAGGCTATTGAAAAAAACTGTTGGTACCATAAATTGTTCTACTTAACTTGCAATACCGGTAGCCTATATCATAGGCTTAATTCTTTTACAGAAAAAATAATGTGTGCAAAGCGTGAAAACCCTAACTAATGATTAATATGAAGTTAGCAACAATAAATCACCAAATGTTGTTTGTGTAATGTTGCTGTTTTTGACTACCATAAAAAACCATTGTATACTTCTTTGTATCTTAATCCCTTTTATTAGGGTAAAAAAAAACATTTTATTAGTACCGGTAATAAAGAGTTTGTTATTCTTAAAACAATAGTAAATTTAATAGGTCTAAATTAAATTTTATGGATTGGCATTTACACATAAGTGTTATTTATTAGAAACAGTATGAGTATATGAAATAAAATATATTGCAGAAATGTGCCTGTTAAAGTAATCACCATGAAATTCAGTTAAGTTCAAGTTTTTTGTAACTTGTAAGACATATTAACATCTACAAAATAAAAAAATGGAAATAGAAGATCCATCAATATATACATCATATACACTGTTATGAACATATGACGTGAATTGTCACCATATCAACCTGTTATGTTTATTATTCAATGATGTTTACTTTCTGTTCTGACTTAATACAATACAGTTTACTTTTATTTCAACACTCTGTCTTTGTACTATTCAAATATTCCTCTCGAGTCATCTCATACACTATACAGGAATATATATTTGTTATGCGCCGAATAGATTTTGAAACATTGGTTAAAGTATTTCATTGTAAGCACATCGTCTTTCTGATAAGCATTTAAAAATTGTTACACATAATTTAATAGTTAACGGGTCACATTTATGACCTTTAATTACCAAATGGCCACAATATCTTTTTTCAAAAATCTATGCAACTTATTTGATTTGTTTTACAACCTCAAATTAAGCACTTACCGTGAGGTATTTTCTGATGTTTGTTAATCTCAAACCAAAAATTGTTAGTATCTACAAGAAGCAGAATAGGAAAAGGTTTCTAGTTTCTAAAATATTGGCAAGTGTATTAGAAAATCAAAATCTATATAGGCTATTATAAACGTACAGGACTACAGTTGGTTCTAATGTAATTCTGTAAACAGATAGGCGAATGATCCACTGAGCTATTTATTTTCCTAGTTGGGATATGTTTTAATTTGTAAAAAAAAAATTACTTCAGCTTTTTATTTAACTTAAATATAACACAACTAAACCATGAATTTGAATTTATAAAATGTTTTAAGTTTTGAAATAGATATTGAGAATATTCCGAAATTACGGTCTTTTAAAAGAAAATTTGTATCACTACAAATTGAGACTATAAAACTGACGTACTAAGCTAAAAAACGTAGGCCTATGTGTATTGAACATGAAATATGTCTAATAAAAAATATGAGAAAATGACCCTAATGACTAATTTATCAAAAATTATTTTAACTAACCAAAACAAGGAAGAGTAAATAGAGCTCAAAGGAAAACAAGCTGAATGTTCCTCTTTGTTTAGCTAAGAACACTTTACAGCTTGGATAGTAAAACAGTTATTAGAGGCCAAGTTAGTGTTTGCAGTAATTAGTAGATATAAAGATACATATTCAATGTGATCTGCTTTAAACGTAGATTATATTGATTTTACTAGCCTGAAGTAATAAACCATTGAACCTCTCTAAGGTTACAAAAGAGTAAACATTAATTAGACAGACTGAGAAGTTGCATTGCAAGCGCAACAATATAAAAGCTTGATTGCGATATTTAATAACCTTAACCACATTTTAGTGACATTTAGTCAGCTACGACTACACCACCTACCTTGGTGTCTCCGAACATGAAGTGCCGGCTTCAGTTCTTTGTTACACATGTCAGTGTCTTTGCAACACTGAATGACAAACGAGTCGTTATTTTCGTTACTGTAATGACAGAAGAAAGGGTTCTCGGGAGGGTAGATTAGCGATCGTTCCAGGCACCTAGGAGAGCACACACACACACTCAAATTAGGTTAGGTTAGACTACTCACACCCGTTACCTGGCCGGGGGCTTAGCGAAGGACGCACCCCAGAGTTGCAATAGTCGTGCAGACAGCAATCTAACATCACCCTGTCCGACGTTTTCCCGCGATAGTTGCAGAGTTTGTGATACTCCGGCGGGAAAAATTGTTTCTTGTCCAGGCAACCTCGCCTTAGGGCATATCTAACATTCATATTCTATCCCACTTACAAACAGCATCAGACAACAGAAAAACAAAAAAGAAACACAAAACTTTATCACTTCCAACTATTGATTTTGTATCACATGCTTATAATGTAAATTTGCTTTTAAAGAAATCTGTGCATTAACTTAAACTATTGATCTGCAATCACAGGAAGCAATACATAAGAATCATTTTGTGTCCTATTAAATCTAACCACCAATAATAAATTAATTACAGTAAAAGATAAATAACTTTTTAATTAAGAATGAATATTAGCTTATTACTTACTCTAACCAAACAACTGTTTGTCATTTCTTGGTGAATGGAATATTTAATATTTTGACTATTCGAGATTGTCTGTTTATTGTATGAGGGCCTAACAATGATGAAATTTAGACAATGTAATATGTATATCCTTTCACAAAAATGAAACTACAGTGCAACTTGGTTATTATTACGGCCTTGGCCAAAACGCCAACACGGATATAACGTCATTCAAGCCTAAGTCCCGCCAAACTTAAAGTGTAAGCATTGGTAAAATCTCGGATTTATCGTCAAAATAATTTAAACCTCGTATATTACGTCAACAAAATTCCGCTCTTAGCAACAAAGTAACCTTGTGTAAATGGCTTAAATGGGCGATATTTGCAATGTAGTGCATCACAGACGTATTCATTAGTCACGCACCAGTCTATTTTTGGATAATGCCTTGAGCACTTCCCTGTGCAGTCGTCATCGCATCTACCCGCCCCTTCCAACACTGCCACTGTCCCGTTCTGCGGCATCATCCCCCCTCACCACACCACAAGGTCATTGCCCGCTGCATCAACCTGTCCCCCACACCCAACACAGCCATTGTCCCGAATCCATCTCGCACGTAGACAGCTTAGCAGGTGGTTACAGTACCGTTGTCTCTAGGTCAGTGTCACTACATGTCTGGTTTTGCGTCAACAAATAAAAATCTTTGTTCGTGCGTATGGACAGTTTTTGTTTTTAGTTTTAAACAGTGCCGACATTCTTAAACTTAAATTAGGTGTCCGGCAATCATGGCGGGTGTTAAACAAAAGGTTTTGCCGATATAAGAAAAAGCGTGTGGTATAAGAGCGTGTGAAGACGGGCGTAAGATAGCAGACGTATTTCAGGAGTTATAGTTGGACAATTCCACTTTTGGATTAATTTTGAAGGATAAGGACAGAATTTTGAAGGCATTTCAAGAAGATGGGGAGAATGTGAAAAGAATCAGAGGATGTGATCGTAGTGATATTGATGCAGCTCTTCTAAAATGGTTCAAACAATGCAGCAGTTCAAACATCCCCGTGAGTGGTCCACTTTTGAAAGAAAAATCATCGGAGTTTGGACAGATGTTTGGAGTAGATTCTGTTTGCTCAAACGGACGGATTGACCGGTTCAAAGCTAGGCACTCAATTTAATTTGCTAAAATTTGTGATGAGGCTAAATCTGTCGATCCAAGAGTCACTAGTGACTGGTTATCTGAAATATGGCCAGTAGTGCGGCAAAACTACAGAGATGAGGACATTTTCAACGGAGATGAGACAGGACTTCTCTACAAATTGATGCCAGACAAAACCCTCCAGTTTAAAAATGAAAAATGTGTCGGTGGAAAATTGTCAAAACAAAGAGTGACCGCTTATGTTTGTGCGAATATGACTGGTTCAGAAAAAAGGAAACTTTTAGTTTTCGGGATAAGTGCACGACCTAGATGTTTCAAAAATGTAAAAAAAGCTGCCTGTAACTTACACAGCAAACAAGAAAGCATGGATGACCTCTGCCATATTCGAAGAAGAATTAAGGAAGTGGGACGGGGAGCTGTCAAGCATTTTACAGCCGATGGACCAAGGCGTAATCCAAAAATTTAAGTCTCAAAAGCAGCTTAAAAAAAAATATATAATCTGCATGGACACTGCACAACCAGCGAATATAAATTTTGCAGACAACGCTTGGAGGGATGCGACGCCAAGGACAATCTCAAAATGCTTCAGGGAAGCAGGGCTTTCAAGCTGCTGATCCTGAGGACGAAGAAGAAGATGAGTTGCCAATCTCAGAATGGATCAAGCAATTCCAGACTAACCAACTTGATTTTGGGCAAGATCTTGATGGTTATGCATCAGTCGACGACAACGTTGAAACATTCCAAATACTTAGTGACGCAGAAATTGTCAATGAGGTACAAAATTTACAAACATAAGAAAACGCAGAAGAAGACAAAGATGAAGGCGAGGAAGAAGATGGCGACTGTCCGACTACGCAAGAGGCTTTCTAAGCAGCTGACACACTTCGTCGTTTCTTCCGCTTCACGGATGCTTCTGCTACTACACTTGAAACTACCCAGCACCTCCACAAAATGACGGAGAAAATCTACTTGTAAAAATCATTTGTAAGCTTGTATTTTAACTAACCATTTCATATTATGCTTCATTATTCATTTTATTTTATGTAGGCTAGGCCTACTGTACTGTAAAGTATTTCTTGATAAAAAAACCATAACGTTAGCTACTTCATTTTGGCAGTGTATAACTTTTGTACGTTAAATCTAAACAGCCCAACACTTTACTGTAATTTATAAATTCAGTTGTATTTACACCAATAATGCCATTAAAGTATGTTTTTATAAAAAAAACAAACAGAGATTATTATTTCTCCCACGTTATTTAATAATAAGCTTTATGACCCTTTTATAGTGTCACTCTGATATAGCGTCAAAAATTGGGTCTCTTAAATGACGTTAACCCAGTTGCACTGTACCTCTGATGGAAATATTTTTTCACTGATGTATTTAGCCTGGACAACCTGCATATAACTATTTCATTGCTCGACAAAATGTCTTAGTGGATATAAGTTAAATACAGTAGAGCGTCAAAAATCCTGACTAATTGGGACCGTATGTAGTTAAGATTGCCAATTTCTTCACATTTTCAAACATAACCTGGAAATGACAAATAATTAGGCCTACAGTTCTAGGATACAGTGAATGAAATAAAAACAATGGTTTTTGTACATAGGTATTTTTGGTACCTACATTACTGTAATTCGTTTCTTTATAAAATAGGTAACTTAGAGTTTATACACTGGAAATGAACAAAACACTGACTGGCTCGGCAAGTTTACTCATTTCCCCGGCGGGCGCCGACTATTTGGCTCGTGAAATTTTAAAACAGCTGTTGTCACTGTTCTAATTCAATATTTTAAAACCCTCAGGAGCAGTTGGGATTTTTGACGTTCGGGTTTTTGACGCTCTACTGTAGCTTTATATGGATATTTTGGATCGCTTTAAAATCAATTAGGCCGTTTATTCACACACAAATATAGACGTACCTGAAGGCATGCTGAATGACTCCAGTTTCCTTGGCGAGTGAGGTCGAAGTGAAGCAGTAACCGTCCGTCTCACATGTGTGATTGGTCTCAGCCCCACAAATATCACAATGACACAAGAGTGCTAAAACCAATATTAGTGTCAGTTAAGAGAAAAAGGGCTGAAAAAGAGCTATGAGCAGTAGGCTAAACAAGGTTTCTACACTGTCTCCGCATTTTCAATTTTTTCAGGTTAAGCCTAAATTAGATTTTGTTTTGGTAGAAACACAAGGGATTTTGGTTTTTTAACACAACACAAGTCAAACTACAAGATATTCTTTAAATTAAGGTTGAAGGAATATCAAACGACTTTTTGGTGGCTATGTTACTAAAGTGAGATGATAACAACAGGTACCTACCATACAAACAGATTACAAAAGTTTTTTTTTTTACTCAATCAAATTGTAACGGTAAAATTTTGATAGGGGTCATCTTTCTCTATTACTAATCCACGAACGGCTCGAGTGCGTCGGTTAGCCTACATTAAGATGACATCAATGGCGGGTGGTGGTATTAGACATGTCACAGTTCTAGTTCGGGACTTGGCCGCTGCTACCATAAGGATTACATTGAAACTTTGAGGGCCCGTGGGGCGGATTCCTAAGAGATTTGTTTGACGCCATATAGATGTTGGCACTCACCGATATGGTCTTTATCACCATGCAAAATTTGAAAACGATTGCTTCAGCCGTCTAGGAGGAGTTTGCGTATTACAAAATGCATAAGAGTCAACGTATAAGAGCTTCGCTCGCTCCGTTTAATAAATAAATTTTAAAAATCATGAGCAACCGCACTCGCACGTAGCCTATACGTCACGCTAATAGATGGATTAAAGATAGCTAAGATAAAGAGATAAAATGGGAAGAATCACTAGTAGCAGCGTAAAAATCTTATTTTGACTGACAGCAATAAAACAATATAAGATACTGTAAAACAATAAACCATCTGCTTATGTAATAGCGTGTGTATGAAAAACATCTATATATATAATACGTTTTTTGTTAACGCAACTCCTTCCTTATTTATGGACCGATTTAAACTTTAAAGGTGTCAAAAGATTCGTTTTAATATGTAGTTTTGCAATAAGGTTTTAAATTTTTTTAATTCCTACTCTTAAGGGCGTGAGACCCTCTCAAAGGTCGGGTTTTCTCCATAAGAAATACGGTTAATTAAAATCAAATTTAAAAACAAAAAACAGCTGTTTATATAAAAGAAACTCGGAGTAAATATTAATGTTTGTAATATTGAGTAGGCTAAGACCAAGTTAAACAGTTAATCAGTTTTGTTGGAAGAACAGAAAATACCTCAAGTTCAAAGAAGAAATATTGAAAACGGGAGGAGGAAACAATTAATAATAAGATATCTTATGGTTATGAGAAGAGTAGAAAAAGAGAGGTCTGGTCTAACAGATACCCATCCAGATACACATTCACTTGGTGGGATGAATAATATTTGCCAGTTCTGCTATGCAACTTACTTTGGACATGAAAAAATATACGAAGCACATTCATAGTGTTGTCACGATGGTAAAGTAAACTTGTGTAATGTCAGATCAAATGAATGCATGCGAGAAATAAAAAAGAGACCAATAAAAACTTACGTCTTATCAAATCTATTCCTAATAAATTAAAAGAAGATAGGGTGAAGTGGGGTAAGTGTAACCACGTTTTGGCATAGTTCAGCTTTGACCTCAAATTGCCATATTGTTATACAGGATACAGTTCTGAAATTTTTTATGCATAAACTTTGACTAATGGGCTTTAAAACAATATGCATTGTTATTAAAAAATAAAATCTTTTTTGGTAAAAAAAATGACTAAAAATTTTGCGTTTTGTGGTTACACTTGCCCCAGGGTTCGGGGCAAGTGTAACCCCTGCCTGTTAAAAACATATAAAGCATTGAAAAATAGACATGGGGCAAGTGGCCAGATTCCAAATCTTTTGCTGATTCCAAGACTTTTTGACTTATTAAAATATCTTAATTTTTACTCAAGTTACGAACTTTTTCGTGAACCTCTTCTCGCGTTTTGTGAAAAACGCAAAACATGCAAAACGGAAAGATTACTGTTAAAACATAAAAAACACAACATTAATTGGTACTTACATGGTTTTTAATGTTGTTTAACATGTACGTAGAATAAATCTCACAGTAATATTGTTTTTTTATTTACAATTGGGCAAGAAAATCCTAAATTACAAAACGGGGTAAGTTTAACGTAAAAGTTATATAATCCCTTAAGCAGTTCACTCACAAACAATTATGTTTTTCTTCAAACCAACTTAACTCAGTAACAATATGTGTAAAATGTTACCATCTTCTAAATTCCTAATTTTATATTTACAACAAAGTTTTTTTTTCTTTATACTGAATATTATATGAGTTACACCCTGGTTACACTTGCCCCGAATCCAAAAAGCCACTTGCCCCGACTGCGAAATTTCAGGGGTAAGTGTAACCACGCTTGTAAAATCTAAACAATAGGAAATAGCACAGATCTGAAATTATATGCAGATTCTACATGCAAAAATTAGTTTGTAAACCAAAAACTGTCAAATTTACATTAAAAATGTGAGTGTGAAAAATTGTCAAAGTTTGAGGTCGGCACTTGCCGATGGAGTGGAAATGTAAGCCTTTTTTGAACATTCTAAAACTATTACTTGCACATATTTTATATGCATTCTTAAGGCTAAATATAACAAAGGAAGGTCCAAATAACAAGATATGATAGTATTTAGGTCCAAAATTATCTTATTAGTTGAGTGATAAGCCGTGGTTACACTAGCCCCCCGGTTACTCTTACCCCACTTCACCCTAGGTAATTCAATGATCACAAAAGCGGATAAAAGTAATGCTGTTGTAATAATAAACATAAATGATTATTATGAAATAAAACATGTTAAGGTTACAAACCCTCAGGCCCCCGTCTTAAGAGGATTACCAAAGATTCATAAACCTAATGTACCAATAAGGCCCCTTGTCAATTTTAGGTCATCCCCTGCATACAAGATCTCGCAAAAACTAGATAAAATAATCAGGATAGAAATAGTTCTTGAAAATGACTATAGCATAAAAAACACTGTAGACGTCCTAGTTAACAAATTAACAAACATTGAATTAAAAGGGTCATACATGCTTGCATCATTCGATGTCGTTAATTTATACACCAACGTGCCTGTTAGAGAAACAATCCACATCCTAGAAACTAACTTAAATAAAAGTTCTTCTTTGTCGACAGTTGCTAAAAGGGAACTAATCAAATTAACAGAATGCATTTTAAATCAAAATTACTTCACATTCAATGGTCAATTTTACAAACAGAACGAAGGACTAACCATGGGCTGCCCTCTGTCGAGTATTTTATCAGAATTGTTTATGAACCACATAGAGAACAAATGTTTATGGTCAGATTTGAACCGACATAGAGGAAAAATCATACATTACAGCCGTTATGTTGACGATACATTAGTGTTGTTCAATGGAAACCAGAGGCAGATCAACTTACTAGCCAACTATTTGAACGCCGTCCACCGTAACATAACCTTCACACTAGAAACTGAGAACACTTTTTTACTTCCTTCACCTAGTGATGTAAAATACCCGGGTATTTAAAACTCAGGGTAAATACCCTGGGTATTTACCCGGGTAAATACCCAAAATCCATAAATACCCGGGTATTTTGGGTATTTATGAAATCGATTGAAATTAATATAAATTCACCCCTAAATATGTTATTGTTATCATTGCATGAAAAATTAGGATGGTCTATAACACCTTTTACAGTAACTTGAAGCTTTGCTAGTACCTATTATTTAATGATTTAGCACTTTTTTTAAAATAAAACATAAAGTTTTTAAATAAGAATGGGGTTTCGTTTTTTATCAAGACAACACCTCATCAGAGAAATAGTGAACCTAAACCTACTTCTACTGTTATAAAATTATGATAGTTAAAACATTTTATCGTATAAATGGCTTGGAAGGCTAGACAGACCTAAGGCAGAATGAAGTAATTAAACTTTTCTGTGTTACCGCTTAGTTGGAAAAAATAATATATTTGGATAAATCTACTAAAAAAATGTATCTCCTGTTTTTTGGTCTAACTTAAGAGTTTTGAAAGATTGTTTGTGCTATAGATTTAAATGTTTTGTATCACAAGTTTATGAAATTAGTTTTTTTTTTTATTTTGATACCATTGATTCCAACAAAAGATCTAGAACAAAAATATTATTAAATCCTGCAATCCTACAGATTGAATTTTAATTATTTTCTTAAGTTGTTTACACGCCTAGGCCACTACTAGGTTAAATTTTCATGTATTTATAAATAATAATTAGGCTATTACTTTGCAAATTATTTTTCTTCACTTTCAATAAAATAAATTCATCTATCCATCATAGAAATTAAAAAATCATAAGTAGTCAGGACCAGTGCAACCATGCGGCCAGGGTATTTAAATGCCGATTATGCTTTATGCTCAGACCTGGGTATTTATGGCGATTGTACCCAGAAGTAAAATGCTAGTAGTGACCATATGAAATTTTGTTTAACACATTTTATCATCATTTTACTATCCTTACAGGGTGATAATTGCAAAAAAACATCTTAATCTTCTCTAACTTTAATAAAAATTATAAATACCCAGTTTTTGGGTATTTACCCGGGCCTGGGGTAAATTCCCGGGTAAATACCCAATTTATATTTACCTACCCACTGGGTATTTACCCGGCCCACATCACTACCTTCACCTCTTCCTACGTTGCACGGACCTTTTTCCCTCCCTTCCCATAACATTTTAAGATTGCAGAGATACCTTAATCTAATTGTCATAAACAGTTCCCACACTCAAGACTGCTCACCTTTACTACTTCCTTTACGGTACCACTTCCTACGCCTCGGACCTGTTTTCTTCCCTTCCTATAGCATTTTAGAATTGCAGATACCTCAATCTAATCGTCATAAACAGTTCCGACACTCAAGACTGCTCACCTTTACTACTTCCTCCACCACTTCCTATGTCGCGGACCTGTTTCCCTCCCTTCCCATATTATTTTAGGATTGCAGATACCTTAATCTAATCGTCATAAACAGTTCCCACACTCCGGTCTACTCGCCTTACTACTTGCTTCACCACTTTCTATGGCGCGGACCTGTTTCCCTTCCTTCCCTTTGCATTTTAAGATTGCAGATACCTTAATCTAATTGTCATTAACAGTTCCCACACTCCGGCCTGCTCGCCTTTACTACTTCATTTATCACTTCCTACGTCACAGACTCGTTTCCCTCCCTTCCCGTAGCATTTTATGATTGCAAATACCTAAATCTAATCGTCATAAACAGATCCCAAACTCTGGATAGCTCGCCTTTAGCACTTCCTTCACCACTTCCTACGTCGCGGACTTGTTTTCTTCCCTTCCCATAGCATTTTAGGATTGCAGATGATTGTCACAAATAAGTACCATGACAAACAAACATTGAACTTGTATTTAGATAAATTAAATTAATTATTTAAACCATCTGTTTCAAATTAAAAGCAAACTGATGAGTCAAGGTTTATCCACAAATCTAGGGAATTAAAACACATTGTTTTACCATTGACTGAAGATAAAAAGTAAACAGAACACAAGCACATTACATATATAGGGTATGTATATATAAATTCAAACATATTAATATTTAAAAACACCACATAAAAAAACAAATAGGAAGGCACGCGGTTGACGATGGCGAATAATTTAACGCCTTCAATCTGAGAGACACAATAGTTCATACTGTTGGGTCAAACAAACTCACACGATTGTATAGTTTTGGATCAAACGACCCAATCGAATGATCCAAAGTGAAACATACAGTCTATTTCATAAGTTTACACCACAATGTAAAATTGTACTTCTGGTTATGACTGTACTTTTGGACCAAGCGGTCAGCTTTATAACTGGTGGATCAAACGATTTTGGATCGAACAAACGGCTTTTAAACTAGCGGATCAAACGATTTTGTCCGGATCGAACGAACGGCTTTTTAACTGGTTGACCAAACGATTTTGGATCAAACGATCGGCAATAAAAATGGTAGATCAAACGATCATTTGAAGATGGTCCACTTTCTCAAATGACTTTTTGGTCGCGGAGACTTACTGTAGACACCACACCTATATTACCATATACCAACCCTGAAAAACTCGCTTAAACATCGTGACAGGACAGTTTACTATACTAGACACCTAACCAAGATTACTAGACACCACCCCCAGATTAGGCCAACGGTTAGGTTAATCTAGGTAATGGTGTCTAGTAATGGTAATGGTGTCGGGTACACTTCCGTATCTGTTGTCAAAAACAACCGAATAAAAAATTATACAATATTGATTCTAGCCTATTTCATTCTATAGCCTATAGGCTATCGTTTGGAACCTAACTAACCAAACGATATATCGAATGAAACAATCGGTACCTATATCGATCGATATTTTCATTCGGTTGTTTTTGACAACAGGTACGGAAGTCTACCCATGGTGTCTAGTAATCTTGGTGAGGTGTAGCCTATAGTATAGGAAACTGCCCTGTCACGTTCAGGCGTGGTGTCTAGTAATGTACAGTAGGCGTGGTGTCTACATAAGCCTCTGCGACTAAACAGTCATTTAGGAAAGTTGTAGTGTTGATGTCTAAGTTAGGAACAGTTTAAACACGTCTTATAGAAAGTTTTAGGCAAGTTGGCGAAAGTGAATATTTACCTAGGCTAAGAAGTGGAGTAGGCCTAAAAATTAATTGATTAAATGTGTAGGTAGGAATAATAGCCTAACTTCTGGGCATATAGGCTAGGCCTAGGCTGGAACCTTAACCCTTTTTTTAAAAGTAACTTAGGTACCCTATAAGTAAAGCAATTTTGGGTTAGACCTTTCTCAATCAAGATTCATTAATTGAGGTGTGGGTAACTTAACCCTCCGAGTGTCCCTAGTTTTGGCCTTAATGTCTGCCTATTTTTTGTGCATTTGCAAGGTTTTATTAAAACGGATCTGAGAAGCTTGAAAACAATGTTAATTATATTGTTCTATATACCATTTTGTTTGGAAAATCATGGGCTTCAATATTATACATAAAACATAAGGAACATTTGTTTCAAAAAAAATTTTTAGGTAAAAAAAATATATTTTGAAAAATTTTCAAAAAAAATTAAGTTCACGCTCAATGAAATTGTATAAATTATAGGCCTATAAATATTTGAAAATAGCCACTTTGTTCTAAATTTTATGAGGATTACAAATATATAATAATATAAGGAAGTAGATTTGCAAATAAATAAGTTATGGGCAAAAAACAGATTTCAGTACATACTTAGCGTTTAGCTAAGAATGCATCTAGCCTAACCATAGCTAGGAATCTGGCTGATAATTTACATCAATATCACTACCTAGCCTACTTCTTCAGGATCATCAACCAGCCCTTCAAAATCACTTGAATCTTCTCATAATGCACCACGTATATCACTACTTTTGATTTTTAACACTAAAACAATGATAAACGTAATAAAACACATCAGTCATCGGTGCGAGGTTAACCAAGCTGTTTACAAATACGCACGTCAGCTGTCTGCTACAATTATGATCGGCTCGAGAAAAAAAACCGCTTAGAGACAGACCTCCGGAGAAAGCTTAGAATCTGACAAATAAAACGATACCTAACTCGATCCAGTTCAATCCGGTTTTGTCAGTCATAGAGCATCAACACAAAACACTACACAATGTGTGTTATGTGTCGACAAATAACACTCGGAGGGTTAAGTTGGATTCGTCCTAAAGAAGCTTACCATTGCAGATGGGTGTAATTAATAGGCCTGCGGGTCAGCAGTTTACCCTCATTCCAACTTCAACGTTGTGTAAGAAAATGAGCTATTCTCATTACTAACAACTTAGGTGTGGGTGCACCAAGTAGGCCTAGGCTAGGCCTACTTGAGTGTTAAGTTACATTTATTTAGGCTACTAAAGGTTAGTGGCATGTTGGTGGTAGAACTGTTGTTAATCTAGTGAGTAGGCCCTACAAGGTGTCATTCTCTTGCAATAAAATCTAAAGTGATTCCAAGTTAACATTATGTAAACTAAGGCCTACCTTCCACTGCTGATTGAGGATAAAATGCTAGACCTAAACACAACTTGAACACAATAAATAGAAGGGAAGACATTATGTTAGTAAACCGGCTACTAAGTAGCTATTAAAACATATCGTAAAAAAAATTTCACACTACATTCTTTGGGTGTTTAACTTAAAATATACACGCCGTTTGTGTAAAATACTTTATGAATGTTTAGTAAATGAGGTACGGCACTGTCTCACTATCTCGTTTTTCGTCTTCGCCATCATCACATCACATCACGGACGATCACACCTATCCTATCATCACATCTCACTCACTTCACTACTCAGTACTCACTCACTCGACGACGACGACTCGACTCAATCTTTCTTTTCTGATGTAAATCAATTTTCATTCTACTCCACAATCATAGTGTGAGATCCACGGCCGCCTTTAACTACAGGCCGCGCCCTGGTAGAATTGGCAACGTCGCAAGTGGTGTTGTTTAGTGACAGAAGTCCCATAAGATAACATGGCAGACAGGTGACATCAGCTCATTAATTCGCACTTTATTGATTTAAATTTATGAACATAAATTTATTAAAATATTTAAAATAAAACATACAGAATTGAAAACCAAAACAATGTATGAATTGAAAATCTATATCTGTAAATTTAACAGTACATTTTAATATCCCTAAAAAAGGCAGGTCTATTATTAAGGAATGGTACTCTCCGGAACTTGCTAATGCGATCCCTTTACGACGCTCCTGCTTCATGATCACTACAAAGCTGCCATAGATATGGATAGGAAAGACAATTTTTCTCCCTATACTGTAGGGCAAAAAGAGATTACAGTGCTAGTGTAAAAGAAGCCAAAAAACTAAGTATTGTCATAGATAAAATATAAATGTTGAACAAATCAGAAAGTCCCATAACACGTGCAAAGCAGCCTGGGAAATAGTAAATGAACGCCGTAAGCCAAGCCCAGGGCCTAAGATACAGGCATCGCCTGATGAACTGAACAACTATTTTGTTCAGATGGCAGAGAGTTTAATTGCCGATGATGTGGTATCGCATGACATTCTGGTTGCTAAGCTAATATAAGCAAGTATGGAATCAGTGGGATATGGTACTGAAAACACTGGTGGGCTACCTTGAAACCCGGAAGCAAATTGTATTACTTATAGTGGGGCCTCCTCTGAGTTGGTGTACTGCTACACGGAGTGCTACAAGGATCGGTCCTTGGCCCATTACTTTTCACAGTGATGATCAATGACTTATCGCTAAACGGTCACACACTACTGTTTGCAGATGATACCACTCTACTATCTCGAGGGCGAGATCTGCCAGAACTCAAAGCGGAGTCCGAACAACTGCTGATAAGGGCCAAGGAATGGTTTATCTCTAACAAATTGAAGATAAATGAGGACAAGACGCAATCGCTGATATGCACACTCAAAACTAGAAAGGAGGAAGATGAACCTGTAAAGCTGCTTAGTTTTTGGATTGGCTCCTAAGTGCAGCTGGAGTTACCATATTGAAAAGTCTGCGTTAAGCTCTCCAGAGTCTTGTACCTATTAAGAAAACTTAGGTCAATCATAACGCAGCCTTACCTAAAGATTGTGTATCATGCTCTCTTCCACAGCCACATAACGTATGGACTGGTATTGTCGGGACACGCTCCTTCAGCCCATACGATGTACTGCTGCTCCAAAAAATGCACTCAGAATTATAACATGCTGAACTCGGATTATACTGATCATTGCCGGCCTATTTTCAAAGATCAGCAGATACTTACCATCTACAGTCAATACGTTTATGACATATACTCATCCTCCTAAAAGAACGTGAAGGAGAATATTTTAAAAGGGAACATCAGCCAGCACAGCTACAACACAAGAAGAGCACAAGACCTGGATGCCACGCTTTGAGTCGTATCCTAAAATGTTTCCCGCTCTGCAATAAAGGTTTTCAATACTCTGCCAGTTCGAGTGCGTAAATTGGAACTACCGAAATTTAAAAAGTTTGTTCATGGAGCCCTAGTGGATAGGCCATTAGGAGAACTCATTGAGGAGCCTAACCTATTTGTCACGTTCCTAAAAAAATATTGTGAATAAGGCCCTAGGTTAGATTGAGCTGTGTGTGAATTTGTTAGATTACAGTTTTGGTAGGTCTAGGTTTGTTTGAGTGAGGTGTGGAGTGGGCCCATCCTTGAGTTAGTTGGGCTTTTCAATTTTTCATTTGAGTTTAGGTCTAAGTTATTGCCTAAATAAGTCAAATAACTTATCCATTTATAATAGTAGGCCTTCGAATTAATTATCAGTAATCAATTAATGATTAAAATAATCTTCAAGAAAACAAACATTTTGGTGTAAAAATACTCTCTAACATCTACATTATTCAGAAATCAATTTTGCTATTTTAATTTTTCCCTTTTCGTAGGTTACAATGTCCAAGTTGAATTTATTATTTAAATCATCCAAATACATACTTCAAATTGGTAAAGCTGCTAACTACTGTAACCATATCTCAATTCAATGAATGAATAATAGTTACAGCGGAAAGCTGGGAGAAGCTAATACCATTCAGAAGTAACAGTCACCTCGAAAAGTACTCGAGGTAACGAAGAGCAAGAGCTTTCTGCGCATGGGCAAAAGAGGTGCCCGTGCGTACAGAACGTCGAGTAACGAAAACAGGTTATTTCACAAATTTATTGCATTGCATCTTTTTTCCAAAACTTAACTCAGAAAATAATTTAGCAATTTTTAACCTAAATATAAAACTCAATATCTATAAAATTTTTGTAATTATAAAGAGTTAATCAAAACTAAATCTTGGAAATAAAAAATATATTAGCTTGTTTCTTTAATAAAAAAAACTGATTTCAAAATAGGGGAAAATGGTTGTATTTAGTTAGTTAGCATGCAAAATCCCTATTATGGTGACGTCAGTCTGTGAGTGAAAATTAAAAAACGTACGTTTTCAAGAAAAGCACTTTGCAAATTTTTTTCCCCCCTTTTCAAAACTTTTATTATTTTTTTATTTCATTAACATTTTAAGTTTCATAAAATGTCCATGGTAACGCAATATCTTTGGTAGTTTCTTTTTAAAAGAGCGTCTTTAGTGGAAAAACACAAAATCCTGTCACGACCATAACGGACGTTTAAATGAATATTAAAAATAGTTAATATTATTTTTGTAACTATGTTTTGCTATAAACTAATTTACTTTTATGACCATTATACAATAAAAAGGTCACTGAGCTTTTGGTATATTTGGTCTTTCTAGAAAAAAATAAAAAACTCAAAAAATTGAAAAAAAGCCAATAACATTTTTTTAAGTTTGTATAACTCCGAAAAAACTTACCTGAGACCAAAAAAATCGTTATCTTTGTATAGAGGTGTGCTTCTTTTGTGTATAAAACATTGAAATATGACGATATTTTAATTTTTGAAATTTTTATGATAGAAATCATAAACGTGATGGTCAGGGACAAGCGGTACGGTCGTGAATTGTCTGGGATAATCTAAATCTTTCTAAACAATCCTTCAATTATCCTGTTAGTTATAATAAAAATACGTGTTTCAATTGAACTAAACTGTTCAATTTACAATTATATTTAAGTTATTGTCACGACCAAACACACTATAATCCATAAGGCTGGATTGGTCGTGGAAAAACCCGCGATGGTCGTGAAACTTTGGTCGTGAAATTACGTGTTATTTGGCTCTGTTCTGGCGGTAGCCCTGCGCCTCATGTTCGAGGATACAAAGTGGACTTATAGGTTAATCTAGCAATTAAAATATCTTATAAACAAAAATTAACACCATGTCTACTTCATCGAATGACTACGTACGGTCATGGACACACCAAAATTACAAAAAACACAACCTTTCCTTTATTAATCTTGTAATTCCTCCTTTCAACTCGAAACAACCGGCACTACAATCCTGACGTACACCCCGAACTAGTCTCTAAAACCAACTAACTCCATCGACGCCAGGCTTGCCACTGTCGTGCTCCAAAGTTGAATTTTTTTCCCAAATGGTCGTGATGCCAAATCGAGGGACAGACTTATTTTGTCATGGTAGTCAGTTTGTAATGACAATAAAATTATAATATGCTCCTTTTTTGTAAGTTTAATAACCATTGATGACATAAAAATATGGCTTTATATATTTCGGCATGAATAATTAGTCTAAAAACAGCGTGAAAGTTGGAAAATGTACCCTAGGGACACGTCATGGTCGTGAATTTCGAGACTTTAAAAATACGAAAAAAATACCTAGAACCTATTTAAAACCAAATAAATGTGTGTAACATGTTGCCCCCGTCCCAAAAAATATTAAAACACAGAATAATAAAGTACAAATCCAGTATATACAAAGTAATAGGCCAGGGACATGAAAACGTACGTTTTTAAAATTTCACTCCTATAAGACCGTATATTATTTAATGTTCCTAAAATTAGTAGTACAGTATATTAATGTCAAACAATGAAAAACAGTTTTCTAAACCGTAATCAATGATAGTAATGTATTACAATGTACACTGTATTTTGACGTTCGGGGGAAATACATTTGCCATAACGCATATGGTGACGTCTGTGTACCAGACCGAAAATTGCAAATATTCAAAACGTTGGTGTACCAGGCCGCTCACACTTTCGGTGACATCGGTGCAGGGGACTGTTGAAAGGTTCTGCGCACTACCACCTCAAAATTCCACCCCAGCAGCTGAAGCTGAAGGCACACTGAAGGGACTGGAGTGTAATACATAACTCGAGCGGCAGCAAACACAATTTTACGGGGAACTGGTAAACTAAGGCTGAACTTTGCATTGGTTAATGTAAAAAAGGTACCTCTTGTCGGGACAGTAAAATTGGTTCTGATATTTTGTTCTCCTTAAACTTAACTTCGTTGTAGTTCTCTAAATTTCCTCCAGAATGCAGAATTCATTTTTTGGATTAAAATCTGTTTACAAAGTGAATGTTAAAAATGTGACCTCTTGTGGTTCGCTCATTATGGTCAACGAACATTGACCGACAAGAGCTTTTCTCAGGCCCTGGAGAGGCTAACAAAATTATTTATTTCGACCTTTTACAACTTCAAATCAACATTTTAATCGATACTGGCCTGTTGCACGTTGAATGAGGTACTGTATAACAATCAATAAAAAACTGAACTTCGATATTTTTGACCATAATCACTTAAATCAGCCAAACTGAAGATGTTGCATCCTGACAAGAGCTCCCTTTTTGCTTTCCACATCAAGCCACTAAGAGGTTAGCCATCAAAATAATGGTGAATTTCATTATAACCTAACTTTTCACTCATATTGATGTCTGGTTTAAAAATTGCTAATATTTTTTTATCATGATCATGCAAGAACATGATGTTTCGATGTTTGCTAGTTTTGTTCTTATTTTGTTTCTTTGCCATTTTGTTCAGATCAATCAGAATCATTCTTGATGCGGGGCAATTTTTCATGCATTAATTATTAACTGTAGTTTCAAGAGTTAAATATGTCTGGAAAATTAAGTAAATGTAATCAGACAAGTTGAAATTCTCTTAGTCTGCAGGTTTGCTGCGGTGGGGGTGTTACCATTATTTTCCTTTATTTTTAATTGGTTAATGGCCTTAAACAATTACCAAAAATTTTACCGTATCACTTCAATAATATAATGGACAATAACATAATATACTTTCTGTTGATTAAATAAATATAGGATGGAGAGGACACAGCTAACTCACCTGATGAAAGGTTGCAGACGAGTCAAAGAACACATAAAATCACACACATAATATACTTAATATTTTGCCTCTTAGGGGCTTCTTCAGAAGTAGGCCTAGATGGTAGTTACAAAACAACCATTTATTTAATCCAAGCTAAATTTTTTTCCCTAAAAACATAACCTTTCTGTTGATTAAAAAATAGATTATTTTAGAGAAGCTTAGCTGTTCTGAGTTATATTCATTTTTAATCCACTACTTGATTCCCGTCCAACACCTAGTATTTACTGATAAAGGGAACAAGGTATGTAAACACAAGGTATGTGATCAACATGTATATATATTTTTTTTTCTAAATAAATATGTCATGTACATTATTTCATCACTGGCAAATAATCATCAACTAGCAAATTTAACGAAAATAAAATATTTATACAAAAATAATCTACAAAACACCTAAAGTACAACACCATCTAAACACCTGTTTACTACATAACAGAAGACCATGTTATTGGGCCAAATGACTTAGTTTGACAGTTTATCTACCATATTAATAGGCTCAGAAATACCTAAAATTTAAATTTACAAACACTAATGTATCAGTATTTTATATAAAAAAAAAACAAAAAAAAAACAGTTGGCCTACAAATAATCAACCAGTGATAAGAATCTCGTTTCAAAGCTGTAATGTACTATGATTTTACAGCATTATTAATTAGGCTACCAACGGTAGTAAACATATTATTTGCATACTCCAGTCATGCATAATTCTTAAGAAAGTTTTCAATGGACTGTAAATAAGCCATTCCCATCTTTCAAGAAATCGTCTTTTGTTTCCAGATTCCCTATAAAACAAAAATCATAAGGCATTTAATTATTGTTAATCCAAAAATAAAATAACTTTAATATTTTACCTGGATAATGTTGCATAACATTACATCGTTACCAATAAAAATTTCAAGTTTTGAACCAACTTCTAGTAAACAGACGAAGATTAGATGAGATTATAGTATTGAATGTATAAAAAATATAAAATTCAAGAAAATCCAATGCCATAATACTAAATATAGAACATTTCAAGAAAAGCTCAGAAGGAATGTATACAATTTCCAGGAACCCACCGAAGTAAAGCACCGTGAAACACCGTTGAAACAATTACAAATTTTGGTTCAAATACCGTTAATCAAACACCAAAGACAAATTTAATAAAACCTATTCTCCACATTTTAAGTTAGAGAGGGCAGTGATATTTTCCATTAGCAGCTCTGTTTTACCAGTTTTGTTTGATGAAGTTGATGAGGCCGTTAGTGGAAGGGTCGTGAGAATTGACAGTATCTTTGTTTTGTAGCTCGGGCTCGATGGCTTTGGCTAACTGTTTTCCCAGCTCCACCCTGGAAGATAAAACAATTAATTGTAGGCAGCACAGGTAAAAACTTGCCATACAAGTATTGTTTAAGATTGTTTACAGTGATGGTAACATTTTCAAACATAGGTACTGGTAGCCACCAAATTATCAATGACAGAACAGTATATGATTCTCAAGCAGACAATATAAAAATATAGTAAAGTTCTACAAACTTAGCACCCAATAACCTGACAGTCCCTTTCCTGGCAAACTTGTAAAGCATTTTTTGTAATTTCAACAAAACAAATATGCTGGTATTGTTTACAATCATGGCGAACTGTTTAATATACACATAATACACATAAACAGAAAAATAGGTTTACACCGAATATTTCTTCTGCTATCTGGACTTAGCGCTACTTGCAGACATTGAGGGCTGGAATTGTAAGTCAGATATAGCCTAGATGATGGCCAAAGCGCTAGCTAGAATCCAAACCGTCAGTCTGCAATATAAGCTTTAATTTATCAACAAAAGCAAGTCATAGTTTTTTTTAACAAGTTTAATGTTATGATGGTAAAAATGTAGTACATACATTATCTAAGAAAATGAGAACATTTTCTAATTAAGAGAACATTTTCTCAAACTGAACAGCACTGTTCACCCTATGTTGACCGAGTTATAGATGAGTGAACCAAGTGAATGAATCAATGTATCGTGTTTAGCGAAGTCAGAGATTAGTTGTCCGTTTGTGAGTGTGTCACTGTGTTAGGAACATAAAAACTCAAGAACCGTTGCACTAATAGTGTTCAAATTTTGCACACAGGAATAATCTAATAACGAATTACTGACCGACTGAACATTATTCAAATTCCTTATCATAAATAATAACATAACCTCAATTATTATTATTTAATGTTTTAAATACTTTATGATGACCTCCTAGGAGCGACAACACTACTTAACACATTCACTGCGGCTAGGTCCCTGGTGACTCATGGCGTGCCGTGGTGAAAGGCGGCTGCGCCATCAGGGACACAGCGCGAAATGTATTTTTTGCCCAGTCAATGTGGCTCAAGCTCTCGTCAAAGACGGTTGGTACGAGTTAGTATTGTGTATCTAATACCAGTCTATAATTGTGGTGTAGGTTGGTAGTAAATTTCCTCGTAAAATCCCCATCTGGCAAGCATGGAAATCAACTTGTGGTTCCGTCTTTCTCCCTCCAATTGGCAATACAATGGGACAGGCTACCAAGCAGTATTGATATCTGTGGGTGTTTAAGGGAACTACGTCGACTCTCTTCTAATCGCATCACATCACCGTACATTATTTGCTATTCGTCAGACCATAATATTTGAAAGCCAATCTCCCGGTAATTGGGTTCGTTCGACACTGCGCCGCACCGGGACTATACCTGCCATTGATGGGCCTTAGCGAATGTGTTAAGGCTTGACAATGACACCTCGAGTGTCAAAACCGCTCTCCATCCAGACGACAGAGGATTACAGTGGTAACAATAAGGTAACCTCTAGAATATATTTTTATTTGTTATAAATAATATAAATTATATTTTAGAATGGCGTTGTTAAAAATAAATAAAAATTGAAAAATACCTTATACATTCCTCACTACAAAACCAATCCACATCAAAACCAATCTCCCTCATGGTCACGGCCACCTTTAACTCTAGGCCGCACCCTTTGAAGTGGCAATTTGGCAAGTAGTGTTGTTACAGCGGTTTTTCCCCATATAGGGAATAGGCGAATAAGCTATTACCGTAGGTCTCATGGTAATACCTAGACCCGGGACCGATTTACTTTTTTGTTTTGAGATCCCCAGAGGCCAAAAACACCCTCCGTTCAAATTTATATTAATATATGTGTCTGTTAGGATGATAACTTTATACCTACTGAAGCGTTGTTGTATGCCTAACGGTTGCGGAGATAATTAAAAAAACTTTAAACTAAAAAGTCACATATTATTCTTATGGAGAATAAATAAACTGTTGTAGTTTGCTTGTTTATCGATATATTTTGATCAATGTTAGCGATTTTGTTTATGTCAAACTAAGCTATCAACATTTCCATAAAAACACATCTCAATACCTTCCCTGTAGCTGTAGCAGCAAACCTAGGTACTCAATAAAATTAATGTTATTTAAATAGGAAATAAATCTGACAATTTTCCGGGAATATTTTAATAGAAATCCAGCCAGGTACAAAGAAATTCGCTTAGTCTGCAGGTTTGCTGCGGCGAGGGTATTTGTGTATGTTTTAAGAATACGAAAGCTTGCATATTATAAAAAAAATTTCAAAAAAAATTAAGATTGAACTACAAAACTTAATATTTACTTACTGGGCATTAAAATCATTTTAACACATTATTCAGTGATAAGCTATCCCCCTCAGGAGAATGGCCTGCTAAGAGTCAGAAGAAAATCTTAAATGTAAGCATAGATACAAATTAAATAATACGTACAAGAAATTAAATGCCATTTATATTCTAGTAGAATACAATGCCACAAATTTGAACTCAAATGGACAACCGAGTCAAAAATGGCACCTGTTCAAAGATTCATTGAATTTACAATGCTATTATGCACTACCTCCTCGAGGCGCCCACTAGAAGTCGGAAGAAAATCATTATGTACGTAAGCATAGGTCGATATTTTACATCAAATTAAAGGTCATTATAAGTAGATTACAATGCTGCAAATTTGAGCTCAAAAGAACAACTGAGTAAAAAAGGCAGCCGTTCAAAGATTCAAAATGGCAGATTCAATAAATCTTTTAACGGACGCCATTTTTGACTTGGTTGACCAATTGAGTTAAAATTGGCAGCATTGCATTCTATTAGAAAAGGCTTTTGATTTAATGTACATATCAACATATGCTTACTTAAGATTTTCTTCTGACTCCTAGCGTGTCACTATATAATGTTTTAAAATGATTGTAATGCCCAGTAACTTTTTACCAAGTTTTGTAGCTCTATCTTGATTATTTTTAAATACGTCCCTCAACTTTTTTCTCACCCTGTATTTAAAATCAAAAATAAACTACACACAAATGTTTTTGTACAAAATTCTAATTAAATATTTTACCAACAGAGGTTGCGGTTTTTAAGTATTTTAAAATGAAACTAAATCACCAATTAATACACACAACAGAGGTAAAACGTCATGTGCTTTTATAAGTTTTATACTACACTTACCCCCATTGGTCAAATGAGTTGATGTCCCAGATCACTCCCTGAGTGAAGATTTTGTGTTCGTAAAGTACTGAAATAAGCATGAAATCAATTGTTAACATCTTGATGTAGATCAAAGCATGTTAATAATTTTATCATTGAACTTGTGTCCTAAAAATGGTGTCCTTTGTTGAAGCTTTTGTTGAGTGATACAAGAAGTACATTTTGGAATTGTTAAATTTAATGAATGGTAATTAGCTATCTCATTTAGCAGACCTTTTAAAAAAGTGTATGAATCAACTTAGAAATACCTTAGATTCATGGCACATCAATGGCTCTTAACAGACCACAATAAAGATGTTCAGAATTCGTCAATTATTTTATTTAACCGTGGATTATTTGAAGAGATTGATCCTTTTGTATACAGATGTAGATTTTTGGATGACAGAAATTAAAACAATATAAACTATTGTTGTAGATCTCTTGGAATGGACATAACCTTTAAATTAGGCTACTGCCATTGATTAACCGAAAAATAAGTTATCCAAAATGGCTTTGCCACTTAATCGGGGTTTTACTGTAATAAAATAAGACAATCTTGCTTCATAATAATTGCAAGATTTATAACACATTACAAAGCTTAATCTCAAATACAGACGTATAGATTTGCCATCAAGCATCAGCATATATTTATCTATAATCATAATCCCACTTGGCTTATACGTAATCGAAATTTGCTCCCCATGTATTTCTTATGGGAGTTAAATTTGATTTAACTTCAAAGATTTCACATCAAGCATCGGCTTAATTAACCTACTGTATTACTCTACCAAAAAACATAATTTTATTCATTTTCAAATTCTTACGTCAATTTAAGATGTATTTCACCAGTTTTAATTATATAATCCAATATATTTTGGTCTATGAACCTTCAGTGAAATACCGGATTTCATCTAAGCTATTAGTTATTTAAATCAGACGAGTTTCAAGCAAACGCAAGGTGAACAACCAACATAAAAATGATTTTTTATAAGGTTTTTCTATGATTAAAAATCAATAGCTCCAGTATTGTTCATGTTTTTAATATTTTTTTACTCAAAATCAGTCAAGATACTGTATTAATCAATCAAAAATCATAAATTTGATTATTTATTGGATATTATATTTATTTTAATGCTGCAGAGCAGCATGGGTCCTCTAGTGAAATGTTTCATAGTTTTTGTGGTAGAGCAAAACTTATTTCATAAAGACATTTTTCAAAGAACAAAAAGAACCGAAGTTACATAGTATATACAAAACCTAATCACTATATTTGGGAGCAGAAAACATAAACTTACCAATGAGTGCACCTAAAGTGAATGGTGTGACTTTCTTTAATACAATTGAATTGCTCGGCCGATTTCCTTCAAACACCTTATGGGGAAGAATCTTTTCAATGTCACTCTCAGGCATACCAGACTTTTCAAGTTCTGCCCTTGCCTCTGCTGAAGACTTTCCCAGGGCTAAAGCTTCAGTCTGGGCTAAAAAGTTTGCAAGAAGGATCTGAAAAAGAAAGAATAAGGAAATTGCGCTATAAGAATGGTTAGGGCCTATTTTACAATCTCTAAGCCTCATAATGTTCAAGACCAGGGCCGGAACAAGGGGGGGCAGAGGGGGCGGTTGCCCCGGGCGGCAGGGTTGAGGGGTGGCAAATTTCTGGTTGCAGAAAATTTGTTTAATACAGTTTGTAAAAGTTTTTAATGAGCCGAACGTCATAAGGAACGTCAATTAAGTAATTTCAAAACTGCATAACGTAATAAACAAACAATAATTTTACAATAGAAATCAATATAAATTGAAACGGAGTAGAAAACACTGAGAGCCCTAATAGCATAGTTTGTTGTAGTTGCCCTAATAGCACAGCAAAGTTTGTTTACAATTTCAGCTGATCGCCATCCCAGTCAAGGCGCCATGCCGCCCTGCCTCACTGCCGTCATAGACTAAGCAACACAAGTAGACTCCTCATCCCATTGTAAATTTTGAAGCTTGCTTTTTGCGTCTAGTTCATGTACGTCCACACTGATCGCTAGTGTAGACAACATTTTGTTTCTATTATTTTAGGGTTATTTTCATGATTTGTGCTTTACTATTTGGTTGTATAACTAGGAGACCAGTTATTGTTTATGATTACATCGTTTTATTTGGTTAAACCAGGTTTTAAATTACTACAATAACAAGAAACAAATTGTAAACAAAACATAACCTCTATAGTTGGACGTACAGAACTAACAATAAAATTGACTTCAGCTGTTCCATTAGGATGACTAATCTACTAAGGGAGTATGTTTTATCTATGCTGCCGTGCCCCCCCCCCCCTCCCACTCTACATGGGAACGCACCGCTCCCCTTCCACACCACTCGCTATCAGCGCACAGGTTCACGCTTCAAAAGTTCACGTTGTGACTTGTACTGTTTATATCAAAACTACTGCGTCTTTTGTTGCGTTGCGTAGTGCAACTACAGTCCAACCTCAGCATAACGAATCTGAAGGGACCGAACTGAATATTCGTTATATCAAGGATTTCGTTAAAACGAGGTTCGTTATATAGAGGTTAGGTTTGCAGGAATTTCGCTAAGTCGAGGTTCAGAACCAGCGTCGATCAATATAGGTCGGGACTTGACCTCATTAAAATACAGTACAATTAAAGTAGCATGGGCTACAATACTTTACAGTACAGTGTTTACATTGTACAGTAGAACCTAAATTATCCGGCATAATAAAGGGGAGGGATCTTGAATATTGCGCAATCATGACAATGGCATTGACCTTGGTACAGGTTAAAAACTGTAAGTTTAAAATCACAGCTTGTTCTAATCCTCCTAAAACCTAGCCAATCACTGTATTGCGTAGTCATAAATTATGTAAAGAACAAAACAAAACAGTAGAAAGTTTTGTAAGCTACTGCTCGCGATAGGCCGGTGTAGGCTACTTACAGTACAGTACTGATTTATCACAACAGAGGAATGTCAATAATAATCATTAACTATAGCATTGGTGTTGCTAATGCTAGTTGAAACAAATCGTATTGAAAACAATAAATTATTAGATAAGTCATTATAAAAGTGTATAATCATAGCCAACTTAAGGATAGTAAAAATATTCGTAAAAGGAATGTTAAAATAGCGATGTTGTTATTCTTTCTCTTTGGTTTTGTTTTTATATTCTGTCTTAGGTTTTTCTTTATCAAAAAATTGTACAATTCACCATAGTTATCCCATATCGCCCAATCACAGCTTACTACACATTACATCGTCATCAGTCCTCAGTGAATGAAATCAGTTCTCAGTTGCAACATAGTGCGCGCAGAGACAGCAGACAAAGATGTAAAACGGAGCAGGAGCAGACGAATGTTAGCGCAAGCGATGACGTGACCTTTCCATTTCATTTGATAAAGAAACAGATTTCCCCAAAACAATAATTGGGTGGGGGATTTTGTAATATATTGGAATCAGCTGATAATTTGGTTTTATGTTTATTATGAAAATGTAAACAAATAATGTTATATTTTGTTCTATGATTAAATGAGTTTAAGTTAGTTCTTGATTTTATTTCACTGGCGACGATGAGTAAAAAACGAACCCAAAGATGTGAAGATATTGGTTGGAACAATAAAGAAGAGGTGCGAAAGAGAATGGAAAAGTTTTCAATAGAACCCTATGATGAAAAATTGAACTGGGAGGATTATGAAGCTCACTTCCAATTGATGTGCAAGGTAAAGGGATTGGGTGATGACAGTGATGAAACTGAGGAGGCCAGAAGGGATCTTCTTCTAGCATATGTTGGACCTGTACCCCTCAAAAAGGTATCTAATTTCGTTTTACCTAGGCAAATTTATGACATACCAATGACTGAACTGCTTGATACATTTCGGTGTGTTTATAAACCTAGTAAAACAATCTTTGCAGCGAGACTAGACTTTGAAAAATGTGTGAGAGGAAATGATGAGAGTTTTTCAAATTTCGTCTTACGTTTAAAAGAGTTAGCCTCCTACTGTAAATACGACAGGTATTTTGAGGAAAGAGTAAGGGATAGATTTGCTGGTGGCGTTAACTTTCCACAGTTTGAAGTTGAAATCAGGCAAAGGTGGCCAGAAGGCATAAATAAAGATGGTTCACGTTTAACTTTAAATGAGTTGGTAGATTTAGCTGAAGCGATGGATAGAGCTAAGCGGGAAATGAATATTTTAGATGAAGCTATGCCTGTAATTAACAAGGTACATAGCTATGATAAGAAAAATAGATATTCGGCAAAAGAAACCTACAGCCATTCTACAGAAGATTGTAATCAGTGTGGACTAGTACACAGTGGAGAATTTTGTCCAGCTCAAAAGTCTAAGTGTTTTTCATGTGGAAGGCAAGGTCATTTCTCACGACAATGTGGAACCAAAAAGACAAAACAATGTCACTTCTGTGGGAAAATGGGTCATTTTCCGCGACATTGTCGTTCAAAAAAGGCCTATTTGAACCAAATCAACGACACAGACATAAAATCTGAGGAAGAAGAGGTACAGTTAGGAATTTCTGAACTTAAACCTAATAGGAAGATCCCAAGAGCACAAATTAATGTTACCCTAAATGAAGTACCAACAACCATGGAGTTTGATTCAGGAGCTAGAGCATCGATGATTGATGCACCCCTGTGGAAACAAATAGGATCACCAAATTTGAGGGCATGTAAAACAAAATTTGTCGCTTATGGAAACAATACCCTGGATGTTTTAGGAGAGTGTGAAGTTAATGTTAAAGTTGATGGACAGATTAGGAAACTTAAGGCTGCTGTGGTAAATGGAAACGAATCTCCTTTGTTTGGATTACCATGGATGCTTGCCTTCAACATGAAATTACCACCTAGTGTTACGATTCGTAAGTTGGATAACACCAATAAAGATGAAAATGCTTCTACAGTAACCGAAGAGGAAATTAACCAAATTATTTCTGAGTTTAGTGATGTATTTAAGAAAGAATTGGGAACCATTAAAGGATATCAGGCGAAGATACATGTTAAGAGTGACTCAGAGCCTAGGTGTTTTCCTGCTCGCAGAGTGCCTTTTCCACTAAGAAGTAGAGTTGAGCAAGAACTAAACAGACTGGTAAGTGACGGTGTTATAGAAAAGGTAGACCCTTCCAAAACTCCTATCGAATGGGCAACACCAACAGTAAATGTTGAGAAGGAAAATGGCACAATTAGAATATGTGGAGATTTTCGGGTAACCTTAAACCCAAACATTGTTACCCATGCAACACTTTTGCCAACTTTTGAGGAACTGACGAATAAAGTATCTCGAGGGAAGCAATATTCAGTTGTTGACTTGAGAGATGCATATCTCCAAATGGAAGTATCAGAGGAAGACAGAAAATATCTGGTAATATCCACGCACGTTGGATACTATAGATACAAGAGACTACCATTTGGTATAACCTCCAGCCCAGGTATCTTTCAGGAATACATGGAGAAGCTCCTTGAAGGCATACCACAAGTGGGGGTACTTCTAGATGATGTAATCATTACGGGCCGAAACAAAGAAGAACACCTCATGAACTTAAAGGAAGTATTAAAACGAATGAGTAACGCAGGGCTAAAAGCGAAGAAAGAAAAATGTAGATTCATGCAGAATTCAGTCACCTATCTTGGACACATTATCGATGAACAGGGTATCCATCCAACAAAAGAGAAGATCGAAGCAATACAAAAGGCACCTAAACCTACAAATGTCAAACAGCTTAGGTCTTTTTTAGGATCCATAAACTATTATGAAAGGTTTATCCCTAGGTTGCATGCGCTGTGCTCAAGGTTACATCGACTTACTAGCAACAGATCAAAATGGATCTGGACAGAGAAAGAAGATGAAGTATTTACAAAGGTCAAAATGATTCTTTCGGAAGAAGACACAGTTGTTCCATATGATGAATCTAAACCTCTAGTGTTGGTGTGTGATGCGTCCGAAGACGGTCTTGGGAGTGTCTTAATGCACAAGTGTGAAGATGGTCTGGAAAAACCAATCGCGTATGCTAGCAGAACTCTTTCAGATGCTGAGAAAAGATACTCGAATATTGATCGAGAAGCACTTGCAATTTTATTTGCTGTAAGAAAGTTTCACCAATATGTATATGGACGAAGCTTCACACTTGTCACCGATCATAAACCCCTTCAAAGAATATTTGGAGAAAACCGGAATCTTCCAAAGGTAATGAACAATAGGTTAGTGAGATGGGCCCTAGAACTGAATCAGTACAATTTTCAAATCAAGTACAGGAAAGGAGATGAAAACGTTTGTGCTGATGCACTATCCCGTCTTCCCATGAGAATCAGAGAAGAATCTACCGATGTAAGAGACATAAAGTTTTTAAACATGGATAAAGTTGAGACATTGGTGTCCTATAAGGAACTCAAACATAACAGCAGTTTGGACAAGGAGATAAAATTAGTACAAAGTTATGTGCTAAATTCATGGCCAGAGAAGGTACCAGATAACATTAAAACATTTAAACAAAGGAAAGAAGAATTATCAGTTGAAGATGGTGTTTTGATGTGGTTTGGTAGAGTTGTTGTGCCAACAAATATGAGAAAAAAAATCTTGAGAATTTTGCACTGTGGCCATCCTGGAATTTCAGCTATGAGATCAATTACCAGATACTATGTATGGTGGCCTAACATTGACAAAGACGTTGAAATGCATGTTAAGACTTGTGAAGCATGTCAAGAAAACAGAGGAAACATTGAAGAAGTCCCGGTCTATCCATGGAACATTCCTGAAAAAGTGTGGGAAAGAGTTCATTTGGATTTAGCTGGACCAGTTGATGGAGTAATGTGGTTAGTAGGGATTGACGCGCTATCTAAGTGGGCAGAAGTTGAATGTTTAAGAACAACGACTTCAACTGCCATAATTCAAAGATTAAGATCGTGGATGAGCAGGTATGGGATACCATCACAAGTAGTAACTGACAACGGGCCACAGTTTGTCTCTACTGAAATGGAAGCATTTTTCAAGAGACATTCAATTCGACATATAAGAACTACTCCTTATCATCCTAGAAGTAATGGCTTAGTCGAACGTCTAATAGGGACTTTGAAAAGGCGTTACAGAACAACAAAACAAGAAATTAATGATTCTTCATTGGCATTGCAAAATGTGTTGTTCAGTTACAGAAATGCCCCACAAAAAACAACAGGACGAGCCCCTGCAGAGTTGTTTCTAGGTCGAAGAATGCCAACTATGTTGGACAACATGAAACCAAACCTTAGACAACAATTAGATCTGAAAATTTGGAAGGAACAACAAAACCCAACTCAAAAGAAAACCTTAAGAGCATTCAGTGAAGGGGAAGAAGTATGGATGAAAAAAGAGAATAACCCTGGTTGGATAGCAGGAACAATAGTCAAACGCAATGGCTTATACTCTTATGAAGTCATGTGTGGTGGAGTGATAAAAAGAAAACATTCGGATCAACTGCGAAGAAGAGAAGGTGCGGTAGACGATGAGGAGGGAAAAGTGTAATATATTGGAATCAGCTGATAATTTGGTTTTATGTTTATTATGAAAATGTAAACAAATAATGTTATATTTTGTTCTATGATTAAATGAGTTTAAGTTAGTTCTTGATTTTATTTCAGATTTGTTATATCGAGGGAAAGACGTAGACAATTCGTTATGCAGAGGTTAAATTCGCAATGTAGAGGTTCTGACAATGATAAATTTGTTATATTGAGGTGTCTTATTTTAGCCGAAATCACGAAAAATTCATTAAATCAAGGTTGTTGTTATGGTTTGTTCGTTATGTAGAGGTAAAATATACATTGTGTCTTATGGAGAGTTCTAGGGGATTAAACAAAATTCGTTATATCAAGGAATTCGTTATATCTACCTATTCCACTTTATCTATTCCATTTTTGTTTAATTTGTGAGGGATTTTTGTTGTGGGTGAAGGGGGGGGGGAGGGGCGGCAAATTTTAGTTTGCCCCCACTCAAAATTTATCTAGATCCGGCCCTGTTCAAGACCATCGAGGTAAATTGTTAAATATGGCTAAAAATGAATTAAGAAGTCTTTAATGACCATGTATTATAATGCCCAATAAGCAATAAATTGAATAAGACGCAAGTGAATCAAATAGTCTTAAAATGGCTAATTAAACATTTTAGGAAAGTCCAAAGACAATTTAGAGTGTCGAGTGTCACATGATGTACAAAGAACAGTCGTGGCGGACATCGCACAGTATAGAGACAACAGTATTGTGTTTGAAGGGATGTGATTACGATGTTATAGTAGTGGTATTCACCTTGTGATGTATCCCTCCGTCAGTGGGGTTGAGAGAGTTGGCGGGAGCTATGAAGTCACAGGGGATGAGTCGGGTGCCTTGATGAATCAGCTGATAGAATGCATGCTGTCCGTTTGTGCCTGGCTCTCCCCATACAATGGGACCTGTCGAGTACTTCACCTTCTCTCCACTCCTTGTTACATATCTTGGAAAAGACAAATATTATACAAATTACTTTCTTGTAAAAATTATTATTAAATAAGTATTATGTGTACCATTCAACTTACTATAGTCATCAAGTATTTACTAATGTATTATATTACTATAAAAAATGCATGTTTTCAACCGTGTTTCTTAAAACATCTTTTTTTTTACACACTTACTACCGAGCGACTCGAGACTCTACATATAGAGCAGTGTGACGGCTGTTACTGAACTTGTTAACACACTCACTACCGAAAAACTCAAGATTCTACATACAGAGGAGTGTGACAGCCGGTACTGAACCTGTTAACAAATATCATCCCTAAAATATCCAAGATTTCCTTTCTGTACACAAGAAGAACACGGCTGTCTCAAAAATGGAATTGTAAACTGCCTTTTTACGTTTTTTTTTTTTAATTTGTCTTTTATGATACTGATTATCGGTACTCACTTTCCATTTGACTCCATATCACCCTGCTGGAAGTAAGCAGCAAACCTGTGTAGATACTGATCATAGGGCAGCAGTGCATGAGTTTCAGCACCATAGAAGTTGTGGTACCAAATTCCCAGGAGAGCAAGTATTACAGGGGCCTGAAAATATGAATAGCAGTTGCTACTTGTACCATTAGAGTAATAAAGAACATGCAACACATTTAAAAATATAATCAGTAAACATAAATCATAACATTGTAAAAATATGTTCCTGCACCAATTGTTTGAAAGGTTTTTTTTACTTACTAAGTCAAGCTTTTGAATTGTCTTTCATAGCCAATTAATGACTGCATAACCACAGATTGTAAATTAAGATGACAAAACATTAAAATTAAATCTATAATATTAAATTTTAACCTTGCATTTTGCTGTTATTTTTTTAACTTGCTTGTTCAGTAAGGCCTACGTAGGCAACTTGAAATAACTTAACTTAGAAACTAATGCTGTTTATACAAAACAATATGCTTTTAATGCACTGCTATGAAAAGCACAATTACAATAATCACTAATATAAATTCTATGAGTGTTTTTTTTTTTTCATGATTGATACATATGTTTTGACTTACATTCTTATTCAAGGGGGCAGTGAGGAAATGCTGATCCATGTGGTGTGCTCCATCCAACAGTTTCTCAAAGTTTTCAAAGCCTATATTGAGAGAGATGGAGAGGCCGATGGCTGACCACAGAGAGTAGCGGCCGCCCACCCAGTCCCAGAACCCGAACATGTTATTCTCATCGATACCAAACTCAGTCACCTTAGCCTTGTTGGTGGACAAAGCTACAAAGTGTTTGGCTACTGCTTTTTTCTGTAAAACAATGTCATGTCAATAATTGTGTATGGAAAAGCAAAGAGAGATTCATAAGTTGAGTTTAAGAAACGGACCATATGTATTTATTGATTCAATTATTATTAGGCCTACCTTTCAACTAATAAAATACAAGTAACAAAAAAAAATGTTTTTTGTTCTTTGACTCGTCTGCAACCTTTCATCAGGTGAGTTAGCTGTGTCCTCTCCATCCTATATATTTATTTAAGTAACAAAAAAAAAATAACTTTGAAAAATAACAAAGAAATAATTTCAAGTTTCTCGAATAGTTTTCTACCGATAGAAAAAATAAAAATAAAAATGTAACATTCTATTAGTTACATGAGTTTAACACAAATTTTTTTTTAAGTGTTAGTTAATTTCTAACAGATTACTAACGTCGTTAGCGGCCTTTAAGAACCAGCTCTTGGCAGTGTTGGCATTAGTGATGGTCTCCTGGGTGGTGAAAGTCTTGCTGGCGATAATGAAGAGAGTAGTCTCGGGCTTCAGTTTCTTGAGCGTCTCGACAATATGGGTTCCGTCAATGTTGGAGACAAAGTGAACCCTTGGTCCATCTGCATAGTGCTTCAATGCCTCAGTCACCATCAGAGGCCCCTGTCAGTGACAGAAAATTAGGCTAAAAGAAACGTCAGTACAATGAACTACACTTTTTGGTCATATACTGCAGCATTTTAATATTAACTACTCAACTAAAACAAAAAACAAATATACATACTATAATACACTATCTGGGCAATATGAAATCCCAAGTTCATACTGAAATATTATTACATTTAAACACGTCTAAATACCAATAAATATCGGGATACTTATTTCAGTACAATAAACAGGGATGAATTTAAATAAAATAATTATACATTTTTAAATGAACTTTTACTTTTTTTTAACCTTTCGTTTAAGTTTTAAGAGTGAAATATATACAGTTCTCCAGCATGAAGTTTTTGCTCTAGCAATAAAAAAAACTATTTTAGCTCTTTAACTTATAAATATAAGAAAACTGTAATTTTTCTGCAGTGACAAAATTTTCTACCTCCACAATCATCTGTTTGTAAACTTACTATCTATGTTAACACCTTAATTTTAAGTCCCACTGCTTGAGAGTCACTTTATGTTATTGTTAATGTTGAGTAAACATTACTCTGTCGTAGGGTTAAGTGCTTAGAAAGTGCTATTTCTTTGTTTTTCTTCAACTTTAGCCTGAGATCCTAATTGTTATAATTATCTGTTTAAATAATTGAAATGTTCATAATGTATTCATCTAACAATTGTTGGCTGAGTAAAGTAAAATAAACTCAAACCAAAACTTTTATATATTTAAAATTTTTAACTGATACCGCCACTAAGAAATGAAATGAAATGAATAAGTGCTTTATTCAACGATAAGGTAATATGTAGGCCTACATCCAAAAACATAACACTTTGAAACTATGGTTGACACAACTTATACCTTTTAAAATGAATATGAGTCTTCACACAAAAAGAAATTAACATTTTTCTATACAATAAATAAAATAATAATAAAACACAATAGACAACAAAACATAATACAGAATTAGGAAATCAGGTAAAAGTATAACGCCACTAAGAATAGCAACAAGTTGTGTAATTCAATGTATCATTGAATAAAAGTTTCAAAGAAAATGCAACATTATTCGAGTATTAAATTTATTTGTAATTAATTGGGATTGAGACGGTTTGAAAAAAAAATAAGTTTACAGAGGGCCATTCTAAAAAATACAACACAGTTATGGTTTACTTTAGTACTAAATTAGTCATTAAAACTGTAATATACTGAAGTCATGATTACCAAGTCAGAACCACCAATTCCAATGTTGACCACATCTTCAATGGACCTTCCACTGTATCCTTTCCATTTTCCTGATCTCACCTAAAATTGAAATGTTAATAAATAAGGTAAGAATATTTAACATTATAACTGCATTATATCATTTAATAATGTGTATTTCAATGCCATTGTAATTTTTTATGTTCTTGGGATCGGTATAAACCCTGGGCTTGTTACCATGTCAAATACTTTACTTTACATTACACTACTATCTGATATTAATTTTTGTCTATAGCACGATTCATAACTTAGAAATGGTACCAGGATTTGTAATAGCTTGAGATCAACCAAGCTACAAGATTTCTAGCTAAACACTAGAACTAGCTTGTCTTCACAAAAGTGAATTTGTAATGCCATGGAAAGTATCCAATTTAAATAAAAAATAGTAAAACCTCTCTACCCCAGGATACACCAATCTGTCATGGGGAATTCACTCTCTTAAGTTTATAAAAAAAAATGTATTTAGCATTCGGATTGCTGTTTCATAGGTAAAATGTTTCAAAGACCTGCTCAAGGACAGCTAAAACAATCACAATAGGAACGGAAAATTGTCACAATTAGGACTGATACCTATAATTGTCCTTTAGACTCCATTTTAGCAGCCACTTATACCTTCCGCAAAGATTCGTGGCGGCTGAAGGATTAGGACGGTCGGGTGGTGTCCCAGCCCCTAAATTAGCCCTCACTCGGCTGCTCTGGGGTTTGACAATGAGTCACCCACTGGGCTCAATGCATAGTTGGTAAAATGTTTGTATATCACCATAATGTGTATTAAATAACATCATTCTTGTAACCTGCATCAAATAACAAGAATATAGAGCCCAAACACGAAATAATTGTGATGATATGAAGCATACCAAGACACGAAAACTGTCTATTATTTTAAAACCAAAAGTATACTTAATATCGTCGCAATTATTTCTTGTTTGGGCTCAATGTTCTTGCTATTTGACGCAGGTTACAAAACTGGCGTTATTTAATACACTTTATGGTGATATACAAAAATTCTTCCAACTATGCATTGAGCCTAGTGGGTGACTCATGGTCAAAACCCAGAGTAGTCAAGCGAGGGCTAATTTAGGGGCTGGGACACCACCCGATCGTCCTAATCCCTCAGCCGCCACGAATCTTTGCGGAAGGTATAGGGAATAAGCTATTACCATAGTACTCATGGTAAGACCTGGACCCGAGTCCGATTTATTTTTTCGTTTTGAGGTCCCTAGAGGCCAAAAACACCAACCAAATATATATATAATATTTCAAATATGTCTATTAGCACGATAACTCAAGCAAAAATGATTTAATTTTGATGAAATTTTGTATAAACAAGTAAACCTAAATTTATTCAAACAAGTTCGCGAACCAGTATGATCGGACCATAGGAACGGGGTTTTATGGGGTAAAAATTGGTTTTTCTCATTTACAACCCTAAAAAACATCAAATTTATCAATTTCTATCCAAACCATTTTGTAGAGCTTAAAAAAAACAAATAATTTAGTATATTGAACCGTTATCATGCGCCTAATGGTTACGGAGAAAATTCCAAAAAAAATTTAATTTAAAATTCCCATGTTTTTCTTATGGAGAATAAGTAAACTGTTCTTGTTTGCTTGTTTATGAGTATATTTTTTATCACATTTGGAAAATGCTTTTATTTCATAGACGGAAAGTAAATATACGTCTTATAACACTTAAAACTAGGGATGAACGAGATTGGATTTTTAGTTCGAGACGAGACGAGATTTTTTATTTCTCATAAAATTTCGAGACGAGATCGAGACGGGATTTCCCTTCTCATTCACAATGGGAAATGCACGTTCGACATTTTTTTACCTGATTTTGTAACATTGTTAGATGACTGTTTAAATACAAAAATGCAAAACTATGTTACATAATAATAATAGTCAAGAATATTTAATTTTTTTTATTAAAAAACATCAGCATAAAAAAATTTATATTAACTACGCCTAACTTATTAAAAATGCTTGCGATTAGGAAATATGGTGATATGAGTTAGGATAGAGTTAAACTTATCCTAAAATAAAATAAATCATAAAATAAAAACAATATTAATTTGTATTTTGTATTTGTATTTTGTAATTTGTACACTGCTTACACTTTTTTTTTTTTTTAATTCTCGTCTTGAAAAAAATCTTGATCAAAAAGAAATCTCGTCTCGTATAACGAGATTCAAAATTTCCCGAAATTTCGAGACTTGACAATCCCTACTTAAAACATATATTTACGCTTATACTGTTACTCACAAGACGGTAAATATACAAAAGATGGTAAGTGGTTACCACTTACCATCTTTTGTATATTTATATATTTTGTGAGTAACAGTATAAGCGTAAATATATGTTTTAAATGTTATAAGACGTATCTTTATTTACTTTCTGTAAATTTAATAACACGTACAATGCTGATCAAGAAGTTATTTATTTCATACTAAACTATTAACATTGTACAAAAAAACTTGTACCCTCCCTGTTGCAGCAAACCTAGAGTACTCGTCAAACTAATGCTATTTAAATAGGGAATAAATGTGATATTTTTAAGGAGACATCTTATTGTAAATCCAATTAGGCAAATGGAAATTCGCTTAGTCTGCAGGTTTTCTGCGGCGGGGGTGAAATGAAATGAAATGAAATACATTTATTTATCCCAATATATACAGAAAAATACAGATAAATAAAAACAGAGAGCAAGATAACTATAGTAGTACAACTATAATTGTTAATGAATCTGCCATACTTATGGGATAGGCCTACATGGGCAGGTGCCTGTGCGTAGGCCTGGTTGTTATCAGTCTGCGAAATTTTAAGGGCAAAAACTGAATATGAGAGATTTTTTTTTCTTAATTATTTTAAATAAAACTGAAATGCGGTTGAGAATGTCAGCGACGACAACCAATAAAAAAAAAAAACAGTTCAATAAAAAAAGACATTTGGAGGGTGGGGGGGGGGAGGTCGAAGGGTCAAGGATTTTTAGTCAGAGTCAAGTATGGTTTGGTCTAATCAAAGTCTCGGCCTCTTCTTTGGTAATGGAGTGCAGTAAAACAAGAATATGACTCTTGAATTTCTGTAATGAGGGTAAACTAAAAACATGTTGAATATCATATTTTTGAATTAAATTTCGACAGAGGATCTGAGAAACATAAAAGCAGTTGGTAGTTAGAACTGATTTATGTAGCTGAGGAACAGATATTCTAACATTGTGGGAGTATCTTGTGAAGTGCTGATGTGTGACTGCTGTAAGAATCGTGTATTCTATTTGTTAAAGTCCTGACGAGAAAGTGGCTACAACACTAACCTCTTGACTGAATTGCTTCATATGCTGCAACACTGCATTCACATCAGGCATCACATCTTTGCCATCCACCAGGATACTCTTGTTCTTGTCCCGGTTCCTCAGAGCTATGTGAAGCACTGCTCGCTTTTCTGTGAAGTTGATTTTGTCCCCACGGAACATCGCATCTCGTGCTTCTTTCACCTTGCGAGCGTTTGCCTGTAATGTTTGGTACATATTAAACTTTTAGATCATGCATAAACATTTTTAATATAAAATAATCTTTGTCAAAATATGTATCAGTCTAAAAAAAATCAAAGTACCCCGGCTGCAGCAAACCTTCAGTATAAAGAATTTAGATATTGATTGGATTTTAAATCAAATGCTTCCGTAAAAAGGACAGACTTATTCCCTATTTAAATAGCATTAAGTTTACTGCTACTGGAAAGTGTGTTTTTTGGTAAATGTTATAGCTTCCAACCTGCAGCCTTGTATGAAATGGACTACATAAATTTGACAAATTTGAGCAACATACTGTATATCCATATACAAGCAAACCACAACAGTTTACTTTTTCTGCATAAGAATGACAAGGAAATTTGTATTTAATACTTTAAGCCCTAGGCTATTTATTTATCTCTCTGTTAATATATTTTTTGTTGGTTATGTTCTTTTATGTCTATTATCTTACGTATTTCAACACGATATGTCCATATTTAACTTAAATAATACCCGGCAGCAGCAAACTGGCAGACTAAGCGAATTTCCATTTACCTGATTTTCAATCAAATTTATTTAAATAACAGGTTTAACAAGTAACCTAGGTTTGCTGCCACAGGAAGGGTAATAAAGTGTGTTGTTTATTTTAGTAAAATGTTAATAGCTTAGTATAAAATAAAATAAATATGCCAAGTTTGATCAGAATTTATATATATAATACGTGGAGCAGTTTTTTGTTAACGCAACTCCTCCCTTATTTGTGGACCAATTTCAACGTTTAAGGTGTCAAAAGATTCGTCTCAAATTGTAGTTTTGCAATAAGGTTTTAAAATTTAAAAATCCCTAAATACTAAAAATATACTGTTGGAATTTTTACAAATTAGGCCTATTGAAAGGTATCTAAATTCAAATACTGTACTAGTAATCTTGACGCTGTTTGAAGCTGTTTAAATATTTTAATAATTAATTACTTGATAGCTAGGTCCTAATACCTTACTATTAGTTATCCAATACTACTTAACTAACGCTAACATAATCCTGCATTAGTTGTTAGACCGTTCCTCTATATCCATTATTACTTTACTAACGCTAACGTATCCCCGTTAGTTCTAAGCCTGTTCCTATACATCCGTGGCTAGTTATTGTGTAGGCCTAATCTAACATCCTAAGTTCAGGTAGACGAGTCTTTCATCCATTAATAGCGTTACTATTAGTATTACCTAAGTAGAAGCCAAACGCATATTTGACAGGGTTTCTGGTTCCTATTAACCCTTCTGCTAACACCAGCCATGTTGTTGGTTGTTATATATTGCCTATCCTTATTTTGTGATTTATACTATGCTTATTAATGCTTGCTGAGTCGTCTATGCCTAGTTAGTAGTTATATGTAGGTATTAAATTCGTTATAAAGCATGTCCTATTTGATATTTCAGTTGTGTTTAACTATTCAGAAAGCTATTCTAAAATATAATCGAGTTGAATAATATTTCAGTCTTACACGGGTTTGATTTGAATTAAACTTTTTACAAATCAATCAAATAAACTCATTTAACATTCCTTAGCTCCTTGATGCCAACACCTTTTTGTTGGATTGTCAACTCTGTCCTATCTCTCCATTTATTCAGGCCCTTAGCCTAAGAAACTAAATTGAACCTAAATTTAAACTTTTGGCCTACAATTAATAACTTTGAGATCACACTCAGAATAGTCGATAAGGATGAGTGTTTTAAGAACCTAAGAATATTAAAGTGTCTCCTGTGAGAACCTTATCTCTTAGACTCTGAATCAACTATTCTATTATTTTGTTTTCTTATTAAAAGGCATTGGAGCAAAATTTAACTTTAAAGTCTAAAGTAAAGGATTTGTAAAGCTTAAAGAAAACTTGACAGTTATCCTTGTTTACTTAACATAACTAGTTTTCTCCCTCTAAAGAATTTGATCTCGAACTTCAAAATTAGACTTGACCCCTGGAAATCTTACTTAAAGATAAAACCCACGCAACCAGATTGACTATCCTGGTCCTCAACCTAAATATCCTAACCTACTACCCGACAATAGGTTACAAAATCCATTTATAAATAAGCAAACTACAACAGTTTACTTCTCCATAAGAATAACAAAGGAATTTTAAATGTTTGGAATTTTCTCTGTAATCAATAACCGTTAAAAACACTTCAATAGGCCCATATTAAATTATCTGTTTTTTTAAGCTCTTAAAATGGTTTGAAGAGAAATGGGGTAATTTTTAGGTTTTGGGGTAAAAAATGAGACAAGCTAATTATTTTGACCCCATAAAACCCCGTGTCCATGGTTCAATCATGTTGTTTCGCAAACTCATCAAAGTTTTTTTTATCTTGACCTACATCTTCAAGCCAAATTTCATCAAAATTGGACAAAAATTACTCAAGTTATTGCGTTTAATGACATCAAAAAAATCTTTGGCCTCTAGGGACAACAAAATGAAAAGGTACATCAATCCCGGGTCTAGGTCTTACCGTGCCACCTACGGTACTAGCTACTTCGCTATAGGAAAATTCGCTAAAAGTAAAAAAACGAAAATATGTGTTCTCCTATTTTAAAACGTTTTTATTAGCTCACTTTCTTGTCCGGTACAAATTTTGCAATCAATTTTATACTAAGTTCCCGATGAGCTAGAGACTTGAAACTTGAAACAGAGCACTCAAATGGATGACAATGTAATATTATATCATTTAATTTTCATACTTCCCTTGGGCTACGCCCCATGGCCTTGTTTTTATTAGCTCGCTAGTCGCTTTCCTACAAATTTTGATATCAATTTCAAACGAAGTTCCCAATTAGCTAGAGACTTGAAATTTGAAACATAGCTCACAAATGGATGAAAATGCAATATTATATCATTTAATTTTCATATTTCCCTTGGGCTACGCCCCATGGGCTTCCAGATTTTCTATGTTTACATTTGAAAGAATGTAAATATAACAATTAATTTAAGTCAGCTGTAAATACTTAAATTTGACAGTTCGAAGAGCAGAGGTTAAGAGGTACAGATTATGCGGTGGGACACACGGGAGGGACGATGACTAACATAATGTCAGCGTTCGCCGCTAGAACCGCTAAGTTGAAAAATTTAAATTAAGTTAATTTTATAATTTTTAGTTATAAATTTAACTTTTTAATTATAAAATTAAACTGTCATAACCTAACCTAACCAACCAAACTTGCTGATGATATAAAAATATATAAGATAAAAATGAAATGAATGTTTAATTATAATTTTTAATTATAAAATCAATTTTAAAATTTTGTATTATAAAATTAAACTGTCATAACCTAACCTAACCAACCAAACTTGCTGATAATATAAAAAACAGATATAAGATAAAAATCAAATAAAGCAAAATCTTTGACAAAAAGTTAATGTCCTCGACGGATTTCGAACTCGAAACCTCCTGAACACTAGTCCGATGCGCTACCAACTACGCCACGAACGCCGCTGGAATCACATCGTCTCGTTACGGTAATCGTGTTGCCTCAAGAGAAGACATTAGCCACTAGAGATATGACGTCACCACACCTTTAGTCATCGTCCCTCCCGTATGCCCATTCCCAGATTATGCCCCCAAGAGATTCTTTATAAAAACAAACATTTCAAAATAAAGATAAACAATCTGATTGCTGATATAAAGGTGTTTGTTAATATTGTCATTTGTTATTTATTTAGTATTCTATAAAGTAAACAATTATAGTTAGTAGGTTATTATAGTTAGTAGGTAGGCCATAAATTCAATCTAATACATAATTATATGAAAAGAAACTAAAAAAAAACCTTAGATTTCCCACATGCCTCTGTCTTAACCTGATATAGATGCTTGAAATAGATTTAACACCCACACACATTAAAAACTAAAAAGTAGAAAATAATTTATAAATAAAAAACTTTTTTAAAACAAAAGGTTTTTTAAAGCACAAAAAAGTAGAAAATAATTTATAAATATGTAGAGTATAAATACTTGAAGGATTTAAAACGAAAAATGTTGGGTGCATGCAATTGATAATAATACATTAGTTCAATAGATGAAGGTAATTGTAAATTATCTATTGCATGCACCCACGTTTTTAGTTTTAAATCCTACAAGTATTTATACTCTACATATTTATAAATTATTTTCTACTTTTTAGTGTGTTAAAAAACGTTTTGTTTTAAAAACGTTTTTTATTTATAAATTATTTTTTAGTATATTAGTCCTATTAGTATGTTCATCTATACTTATGTAAAAAAAAACAAAGCAAGTGTTGTGTAAAATCCCTATTAAACTCGATTTTAGAGATATTTTTTTTTTTATCCAATCGAGCAGACGAAAATTAGCTTAGTATGCAGGTTTGCTGCAGCAGAGGGAATACTATATTTGTATGAAATGTTTAAGTAGGCAACTGCAGCATGGTAGAACATTTTCTTCACATTTATCTTTTTAAACATTAAATTACTCACTAAATAACCTTTATTTTTATTTTATGGATACAAGGGTTTAACAAAATCCCCCACATTCAAATACATCCAAGACCACAAAATATGATATAAAAATAGTTCAATGGTTATTAAATATAAAGAGTTGATAAAATTATTGTAAAAAAATAGTGTATGGCATTATGAAAAATATCTATGCAAGATACTTTATTTATTTAGATAAATTGAAATAGGCCTATTTGTTGTCTGTAGTTAAAAAATTCAAATTATCTTTTAAAGAAAAACCTCATATATTATAAGTTAAAATTTAACAATGAGTTTTAGTTACTAAGATGTTTGGAGTAAGAATCATTAATACTTATCAGTAATAGCCTTTCCGAGGACAGATTATGCAATTAACAGATAAGTTAGTTTCTTCATTCTAATTGCCTGACCTCAACTGAAAGTGTTTCTTGGCTTGCCTGTTAGCAAATATAAAAACATAATTAGCTTGTTTATAATAAAAATAAATTACTTATGACCATATCTGAAAATTGAGGAATTTTTGTCATAGGTCATATTTATGAAACTGTTATTGAAGAGGTTTTCTTCTAATTGATTTACTATTCATATCAATGGATAGGGCCTACACCATTTAAAGAATATTGCAAAAAAATATGTTTAGAGACACAAGAACAGAGTGAAATCAATATATTAATTTGAAACTGTTTTTCTTTGTCACAGCTAATTTGAGAGAACGGCTGGGCGTAGAAACCCGTAAGAGGTGTCTAAAGAAAGGTTTTGGTCTGTAGATGAGCCATCAAAAGAGAATTTAAATAAATTCCCTTCGGACTCTGCTCCAGTGGCATTTAAAATTCCGTTCCCATGTAATTCTTATAGAGGAAAAACTGAGTTTTTGTTACAGCTAATTTGAGAGAACAGCTGGTTATAGAAACTTGGGGTATCTAAAGAAAGGTCTTGGTCTATAGATGAGCCATCAATTGATGTACACATCTAGCTAGGTTGAACAACACATCTAAACCTCACTACATACTAAACATCTGGAAAACAGTGCCATCTCATCTCATCTCATTTGCATAATTTGTTGCCAACAAAGCCAGACTTGGTTATGGATATTGTTCCGCAAATGTTCAAGATTTGTGGCCAAATTCGTTTGACAGCAACCTCACGGCACAATTTCACAAAAATACGCCAGAAGTTAATCAATTAGCAAATAAGTACATGATGATTAAATACATTGGTTGATGTGGCAAAAAGAAAGAAACAAAATTGTTTAGACCCCATCGAAGTAAGAATGTTACTGCTTTCTGGAGAATCAGATATTTTTTTAAATAAAAAAAAAACAGATTTACTATGCCTCCCGTTTAAAGTTTGGTATTTTTATTACCAAAGATGGTGATTCACTTATACAACCAAAATACAATCTGAATGATTTTCCTAAAGCAGATGGAACCAGTTATTTTAGTACAGTCCAACCTCAGTATAACAAATCTGAAGGGACCGAACTGAATATTCGTTATATCAAGGATTTTGTTAAAACGAGGTTCGTTATATAGAGGTTAGGTTTGCAGGAATTTCGCTAAGTCGAGGTTCAGAACCAGCGTCGGTCAATATAGGTCGGGATATGACCTCATTAAAATACAATTAAAGTAGCATAGGCTACGCTACAATACTTTACAGTACAGTGTTTACATTGTACAGTAGAACTTAAATTATCCGGCAAAATAAAGGGGAGGGATCTTGATTATTGCGCAATCATGACAATGGCATTGACCTTGGTACAAGTTAAAAACTGTAAGTTTAAAATCACAACTTGTTCTAACCCTCCTAAAACCTAGCCAAACACTGTATTGCGTAGTCATAAACCATGTAAAGAACAAAACAAAACGGTAGAAAGTTTTCTAAGCTACTGCTCGTGATAGGCCGGTAGGCTACTCACAGTACAGTACTGATTTATCACAACGGAGAAATGGCAATAATAATCATTAACTATAGCATTGGTGTTGCTAATTGAAACAAATCGAATTGAAAACAATAAATTATTAGATAAGTCATTATAAAAGTGTATAATCATAGCCAACTTAAGGATAATAAAAACACTCGTAAAAGGAATGTTAAGATAACGATGTTGCTATTCTTTCTCTTTGGTTTTGTTTTTATATTCTTTCTTAGTTTTCTCTTTATCCAAAAATTGTAAAATTCACCATAGTTATCCCATATCGCCCAATCACAGCTTACTAAACATTACGTCGTCATCAGTCCTCATTGAATGAAATCAGTTCTCAGTTGCAACATAGCGTGCGCAGCGACAGCAGACAAAGATGTAAAACGGAGCAGACGAATGTTAGCGCAAGCGATGACGTGACCTTTCCATTTCATTTGATAAAGAAACAGATTTTCCCAAAACAATAATTGGGTGGGGGATTTGTTATATCGAGGGAAAGACGTAGACAATTCGTTATGCAGAGGTTAAATTCGCAATGTAGAGGTTCTGACAATGATAAATTCGTTATATTGAGGTGTATTATTTTAGCCGAAATCACAAAAAATTCGTTAAATCAAGGTCGTTGTTATGGTTTGTTCGTTATGTAGAGGTAAAATATACATTGTGTCTTATGGAGAGTTCTGGGGGATTTAAAAAAAATCGTTATATCAAGGAATTCGTTATATCGAGGTTCGTTATATCAAGGTTAGACTGTAATATTGACTCTTTCCGTCAGATGACAGACCAATTATATGAACTCCTTTCTCCATAGTGAAAGGGGCTTTAACATGAACAAAAGTCATGAACAAGAAGCAATTGTAAGACTCCTGAAGAGCCTTTTGGGCAACCTAAAGCCGATGAAAGGACAGAAAATATTGAATTCAACGAATTCATTAACAATGTTTTTTAAGGTACCAATTATCAATTATCAATCATTGAGATGGGGACGCCACCTAGGTGCGTATTTTAACCCAAATATGAGTGAAGGATGAGTGTAGAATGGTGTGTGATGACCTGTGTAGCTTTGTTACTAGGACTAAGATCAGTGGTTATTAGTCAGGATCATTTATTTAAAGCCCAATGATCAGGAACAACTGGGTCCAGTTTTGAACCATCATAAAGCTACTGACTTTTCTCAGGATCGAACCGGCAACCTTTTGATTACTAGGCGAGCACTATAACCACTCAGCTACACAGCCAGTTGACACAATCGTCTTACTCATAATTATGTTTATCCTCCCTTCATTTAACTAAGATTTTAATAACTTCACTCTATCCATCGCAGTTAGCTGAATTTATGTAAAACCTCAGGATTAACCGTCGATTTTGACGGGATTCATCTGGTAGTAATTAAAATAAATAATGTCAATTGCATTGCAAATAACAACAGCAGTACACAAGCATAGATCAAAAACAATATTGCAAAAAAATAATAACAAGACATCAACTTAACCCATTGGCGCCAACTTACGAGCGTTAGGCGGACTTACGAGTGCCGCTTGTGTCACCGCTACGTAGCGCCACTAGTTATTTTATTATTATATTTTCCCCACTTTTGGTTTATTCTTCTTTTTATAATGTTTATAAATATCTTGCTTCTTGTTTTGCGTATTAACTGATTTATTTTGCGAATAGGGAACACGGTTGTGTAGCCATGGAAACCAGATATCTCCCAAAATCAGCTGCGGTAAGGTAAAACAAACATTTTTTAATGTTATTATAACAACTTGTCATTTTTCTTTGTAGGGAATCAATTGAACTTACAATAATCAAGTTTACTTTAAAAAAAAGTGTTAACTTTTTCATTTTTTATTATTTTATTTTTTTTTATTTTAGGCCATACACTTTGATTACCGTTATCCAATTATCACTTTTTTAGTAGATAATTTCAGTGTGCACAAAGTGGTGAAACAATTATTAATTTATTACCTAAGGGTTTCTTTCTCTGTAACAATTAGAGTAAAAGTCTACAAATTGGGTAAAATTAATTGCCGTCAGAGGGTGCTGCAAGCAGCGCATTAATTCCTTCCCCAATGGGTTAATATAGGCCCCACAACAAATTCCTTAGCACACAGTATGTAGTAGGTAGGGAAATGATACTCATCAAAATACAAACTAAAAGTTTAACCATGATGCTTTACACTGTGGATAAAAAAAACATTGCAAGTGAAAATCCAGTTTGCTTAGCCGTATACTAACATTGCTTACATTTTATTTGGATATTTATCAGAAGAAGATCAAGCCAAAAGTATACATAGGTAAGTAACAATATCTTACAATGATTAACAAAGTAAAATTGTATTGATTTTTATTTATTTTAATATAAGACTTTAAAGTTGGTTTAATTATTTAAATTAAATCAGGCCAAAAATGTTCATTTTGTAATTTTGGTAGGCATACATATTTTAAGTTATTTTTCAGGTTGTGGTAGAAGGCCTAATATCCCACAAGAGATCATTAAAATAGTGATAAAGTTATCAAAACCTTAGTCCAGGTATATCAGACCTTGCTAAAAAAGGTCTCCCCCGAGAAAATTAAGGGGGCATGCAACATGATAAATTTATTTATTTGACTATTGGTTACTAGCTATTAGCATACAAACAATGAATAAAAAATGTCTCACCAATTCCAAAAGTTGATTGAAGACTTCATCATTGATTCGGTTCTTAGAATAATCAATCAAAATATCCCCGTCCCCTGTATTAAGTTTCAAACTGAAATGTAAAAAATAACGAAACAGTTAATCTATGAATAGTTATGAAGTTGACATAAAATGTATATATGCCCTAACGTAAAGTTTGTACAATTTTGCTAGAACATCCTCAGAGGAAAAATTGTTTAGCACATTTTGGTTGTTAAAACATAACCAGGAACAATAGTTTGTAAGGAACTATACTATAATTAAAATCGTTCCAAATGTCACTGACAAACAAATAAATGTATAATAAATCAGTGAGGGGTTAGTCCATAAAGTATACATTTACTGCATATACAACAACAGAGGCCTCTTGTAATGTCTCCTTCCAAATTGGTTTCGGGATTTTGTTCCAGATGGAACAGCAGTTTTGTTTTTGGGTTTAGCAGTTTATGAACAAGGAGATCATGGAGATTTAGGTCTGTTTGAAGAGTGGTTCAGAGCCACAGGCACGTCCCGACACTGCAGACCCAGGCAAACTCCAACCAATCTCAAAAACTTCCTTTGAGTGGTCTAGAAAGTTGACTTGTCAGCCAATGTGTTAATGATACAGTGGCGGTTTCAAAGGGGGAGAAGCTGAAGGAGCTCAAAAAAATCCCCCTCTTGGACACTTGAAAAAAAGTCACCAAACGGCTTTAAACATACCAAATTTTGTGGGGGAGGACCCCTAAACTCCCCTTTTTTTCTTAAGGTAGCCCCCCCTGGCATGGGCCTAAAACATGGACACTGGATGAGATCAAACTGGGCAACCATATTCTAGTAGGTGAACAAGAGAGCAGTAGTATACAATGTCCTAAGTGCCAAAGTGCTGCTCAGTCCCCAGGCTGATCGTAAAGGAAGTCCAAAAGCTTGTTGATGTAATTTTTAGTTGTCTAATTACTTACTTACTTTCCGTGTCCGGAAATCAGACTTCGCTTTTCCAAAAATTAGCTACCGAACTGACGTAAATTGACGCAAATCACCTTAAGCCGAACCCTGCTAAGACCCAAGTTTGTGCCTCTCACCTAAACAATAGAGAAGCAGGCCGTGAGTTGAATGAGAGGTGGCGGGGAGACCGTCTTCAGCATTGTTCTACACCCAAATATCTTGGTGTCATACTGGACCTCACACTGACATTTAAGGCGCATTGTATTGCGACAAGGGGTTAAGTCTCAGCGAGGAATAATATCATCAGGAAGCTCACCAGCAGATGCTGGGGTGCTAACCCTAATGTCCTCAGAACCTCAGCTTTAGCGCTCAGTGTGCCGGCTGCGGAGTACGCTGCACCAGTATGGAATGCATCGTCACATGCAAAAAAGGTTGACATTGCAGTCAATGACATGGCTCGGATTGTAACTGGGTGATTGAAACCAACCCCAGTACTTACACAAACTCTATCCTATCATAGGGATCGCCCCTCCATCAATCCGACGTGATGTCGCTGCCGACACAGAAAGGACTAAGCAAGAGACAGACCCTTGTCACCTATTACACGGCCACCAAACTGCAGAGTGACGGCTTCGGTTCAGAAAGAGCTTTTTATCACGGACACAAGTCTTGGATGGATCACTCTCAAGCAATCGGGTGGCAAGGTGGGAGGCCACGTTGACTAAACTAACCCTCTCATACCAGCCAGGGAGGAACTGACTCCTGGTGGAGGCCTGCATTACACGGTGTGGAAGACCCTAAATCGAATCAGGGTCGAGGTACCAAAAGGTACGACAAACATGCAGAAATGAGGTCTCTTACCAGACGAAGAAAGCATCTTGTGTGCGTGTGGTGCTGTTCAAGATCCTGGCCATCTGCTGATCTGTCCACGCCTAGACCAGTCTTGCACATTAGATGATCTTTTACAAGCGAATGACAAAGCCATTTCGGTACAGAAGCTAATTTTTGGAAAAGCAAAGTCTGATTTCCGGACACGGAAAGTAAGTAAGTGGACAACTAAAAATTACATCATATCCTATTGTAGATACAGTAAAGGTATTTAGGACCCAGACCCCAGCTTAAACGTCCTAAAATCACTTTTAAACTATTCTACGACATCAACTACAACTTTATTAAAGAATTTTTTGGCGCCGAAACCTCCGTTTATTATTAATTACAGTAGAACCTTGATAACAAGACTCTCATGGGGATTATAAAATAAGACTTGTTATCAAGGTTGTCTTCTTATTGAGGTTTGCAATAACATGTGATTAGGGGTAAAATAAATTCTGGGGGGTTTAAAAATGACACTTGTTATCAAGGGTGACTTGTTATCGAGGGTCTTCTTATCGAGGTTCCACTGTAAATATATAAACAATAATCCCAACTCACTAGGGGGCCGGTGGGAATTCGGGGTTTTTGGTGGGGGAGATAAAACGTGGTTAATTATGGGGAGAAAAGGGTAATTTGACGGGTAAAAGGGTAATTTATAGGTAATTACTCAGCAAGAATGGGAAATTAGTCTGTATAAATGGGTATCCTTTGCTGCCGACGCCGACGAGCAGAGGCGGCAGAGACAGGAAGACCATCAAAATTGTATTGTACCATAAATAAAAACAATAACAAAGTAAAAATAAAGTTGTTTGTTTATTTTATCCTCAAATCAAATCAAATCAAAATTTCTTTTATTCCGTATAAAATAATTGTTTTTACAAATAATGTATTACAATAGAAGTAAAACTAAATACCTTAAGTTATAGTATACGAAATTAAACCCACATGGGAAAACCCGTCCGTGGGAGTGAGTCGTTTTATATTGCAGCCTAATAAGAAAGAAAAAGAAACTTTGATAGTTATTAAAAAACAAAACAAAAAACTTCTAATTACTGGCATGATTACAAAGCGCTAGCGGAATTTTGGCTAATCGCATAGGAACATAGATAATGATGTCAGATTGACTCGTTGACTTCCCCCTACCATTAACCACCCAAAACGTCCCCCTCCCCCCACACACACACACTCACTAAGACACACTCACGCGCGCACACACAATCACACGCTGTACCAGCTGTCAGCTATTATCTGTATATGGAAACTAATAATCTATTAGCTCCATCCCTACCAATGAGATTGAGCCAGTGAACAATGTTTTTTTTGTACGTTGTAATTGAGTGTCTGTCGAAGTCTCGTAAGTCTAGTGGAAGGATAGAGTAAATGATGTGTGCAACGTAGTGGCAATTAGTTGTAGAAAATGTCTTTGTAAGTCTGGGTAAGCGTATGCCTTGGCCCAGTGCATGTCGAGTATTATGGTCATGTTGTGGACGAACAAAGAGTGACTCGTGGTGTTTGAAAGTAAACATCGAAACTGTTCTGATGAATAGTTGCATTAAATCAAGTACATTCATTTCAGTGAACAGAGCATCCGACGAGTATTGCCTAACCTTGCCAAGTGCCGCTTTTATAATTGCCTTTTGTGTTACAACGAGAGGTTGCAGAATGTTGCTGTAAGCACCACCCCAGGCAATTATCCCCCCCTCAAGCAGCGACTTTACATAAGCAAAATATGCATTTTTAATTTCACCCATTTCAAGAAAATGGTGCAGTTGGCGAAAAGCAAAAATTAGTTTTCTTAACTTTTTGTTTAAATATGACACGTGATCTGCCCATGACAATTTAGAATCAAACACAACTCCAAGATATTTATAATTTTGAACTCGATTTATTACCGGGCAGGTACAACTATTTCTGATTTCATGACCACAAGAATGAATTTTTATTTCGTTGTGAAGTGTGTCACCTCGAGCTCTTAAGGAGATTGGAATAAATTTTGTTTTAGTTACATTGAGCGTTAACACATTCTGATCAAACCATTTTTTAATTTTTGACACGCATCTTTCGGCATTGGCAAAAGCTGAGTCCCAAGTTTCGCCTTGGAATAATAATAAGGTGTCGTCAGCAAAAAGGTAAAACTCACCTTTAATATTTAATTTCACAAGATTGTTAATGTAAATTAAGAATTGGAAAGGCCCTAACGTGCTACCTTGGACCACCCCAAAATCTACATTACCAAGATTTCCATTGATTCCATTAATATTAACAAACTGCTTTCTATAATCAAAATAAGATCGGAACCATTGCAGAGCTACATCTTTAACACCTATCAGTTCTAATTTTTTTTAAAGGAGCGATCTATCTACTGAGTCGAAAGCTTTGGCCAAGTCAAAAAATACCAGAATAACACGCCTGCCTCTACTGATGGCCAAATTTATATCTTTATTAACCTCGAACAATACATCTGTGATATGTTTTTTGATTTTCTAAAACCAAACTGGTGGTGTGTTAAAATATCGTGCTGGTTAAGGTAATGAAAAACTTGATCTTTGATAATTTTTTCTAAAATCTTAGTGAACACACTTAGCAAAGAAATTGGCCTAAAATTTGAGATATTGGTGACGTCCCCAGAATTGAAGAGGGGAATAACCTTGGCAATTTTGTAGGCGTTTGGAGAAAATGCCACTTTGGATACTCTTGTTAGTTATATGTAGCAGTGGTTGTCTAAGTGTCTCCCAGTTGTCTTTGAGTAGTTCAGCTGATACACAATCATACCCTGGAGCTGAGCCTATATATTTCATACAAAAATGGCTTTAAAAATATTTAAACAGGTCAATAAAAAGTAGTGTAACATCTATCACCTGTGTGAATAGATCCTTAAGTTACCTCTAAAAACGTGAAGTTAAGTTTTCAGTCTTCTTTTGTTTGAATATTGATAGGCCTAGTTTTATTTATTCAAGTTCATTAAAAGCGTACACCGATCTTAAGTGAATTTTCACATTCAAAACATCAATAAAACATATAAACAGATCATAACCTATTTCCATGTTTGTTTACATTGAAAATAAAAATATTTTAGAAACGATATATTGAACCGAATCATCGACATTTCTGCAGACATATGTTACGAATACATAGAGAAAACATACTCCTCAAGGAGTATGGAATTAATAAGTTAATTAAATAAACATAGCATATCTATGGAATTAACCAATAATACAAAGTTGTACTCGTATATCGTGTTTACAGTAGTTCATGTTGGTGACACTGGGTGCGCTGGTGTCTACAAAATCTGATTTATTACTAGGGATATTTATTTGTTAGGTAGGCTATTTAGTTTCATGGTTTGTAGTTTACTATTTGGTTGTATATCTGGGTACCGGTAACGAGTTCTCTTATAAAACTGATTTAAGAAATCATACAGCAAGTTTGATTGGTTTGGTTAGCTTAGAACAGTTTCATTTCATAATGAACTATTATTTTTTCCTCTGGAAATCAAGTTTGGTTGGTTAAGAACAGTTTAATTTCATAATCAATAATTATTTTTTCCTCGTGAAATCAAACAGCAAGTTTGGTTGGTTTAGAACAATTTCATTTCATAATGAACCATTATTTTTTCCTCGTGAAATCATACAGCAAGTTTGGTTGGTTTGGTTAGTTTAGAGCAATTTAATTTCATAATCAACAATTATTTTTTTTCTCAACAAGTTAGTGTTCATAAGATCTACATGTTGAAATCTTAACTGCAGTACTTTGCTATTGAAAAAGGGATTTTACGAGAAATACAGAGGGAATTCAGGTTAAATTGAGGGAATTCTAGGGGTAATTGTGGTACGGTGACCTGTCACTGCAACTGCATTTCTATTGTTTGTGGTTTGTGGTGAAACAAATCAATACCTAGATGATGTAATTGTGCAATTTCTGATTGGCAGATGATTTCTTTCGTGTAGTAATCTGATTGGCTGGTGGTTTCGTTGTTAGTTGTTTGTTTAGAACTGTCTCCATGACTCCATGTTGTTAGTTCAAAGTGATGTAGGTAGTGACAAAGGAGGACGTAGGTAGCTCAAATTTGTGATTAATTTTAATTCTGATTGTGTCAGAAAATCGCGAAGAAATATCGAATACAGAATGTTCGGACATTATGTATGTAGAAAACGGGGTTATTCCTGGTGAAATATGTGGATACCTATCAATAGCCTGTGTATTTGTTGGACAAAGTGATTTTAATTTTCATTGTAGGCTAGTTGCTGTTAGGCCTACTGGTTGGCTATCGGCCAACCAAAGACATGGTGCTCTCTGTGCGTGCCGGTTTTGGTTAGCTTTGGGTGAGACAGCAGTAAATTATATGTCAAGTGCATATTCCTTGTACATTTTTCACATCGATGTAGTGAATCCAACATTCTTGAAGTGTGGAATTGTGTAAAATTGGTGTATATTGAGGTTTTGGAGGAACTGTGTTGTTAGGGTCGGTTTGAATAAATTCCAGTCAATAAGTTATTTGAGACTGGAATTGCTTTCCCCCCCCAACTCCAAAACTTCATTTTATACACTTTTTACACAACTTCACACTTCAGAAAGTGTTTTTAGGCTGTGGGTCCTAAATTTTTACCACAGTAAATAATTACCGAATCTTTGACTATTAATACATAGAATCTTAAGTTAGCATACTAGGCCAACCTAAATAAATTCCAATCAGATTCTGAGATGGTTGGGGGAAAAAAGTCCTGAAGAGGTTAAGTTTACTTATAACAAATAATGTGACAAGGTCGGACATAAAACATATGGACATGGTCTTCAAAAATTGGGTTATGTATGTAGACCAGGCCCTAGGCCTTAGTATTCCTACAAAGTCAAGTAAAGGTCACTAATGTTTACATCATCTGAAACATTACTCACCTGAAGGTTTCAAATCTTTTAGGATCGTCTTTTAGCAATTTTTGAATGTTGAGTTTATCTCCACTTCTGTTATAAGTTTCTTGCAACTTCTTCCAGGACGGTTCATCGGTCAACTTAGGCCTCCCTTCCATTTCTCTAACAAATTCTTGCTCTTGCTGCTTTGAATTGACAGCACCAACAGCCTCCTCCTCAAGCTCAAGCTGATTGTTGGAATTGGAGGGGTTTGATTGTGGTAGGGGTACGCTTTCTCTACCAGTACCAGTATCACCGTTCTCACCATTACCAACAGCATTTGTACCCAGGCAGACAACGGCAATATAGAAAATTACCAACGCTAATGACATTTTAATACATATAACAAGAAGTGACTAAAGATGATGTACTGGCGTTTACAAGTAAATGAACTAGAGAAAATGAATATCGGTAACCAAAAGCCTGATGCAGAACAGAACATTGCAATTATCTTAATTATATAATATAATTAAGATAATTGCAAACATATGCACAATCGATCAAAATCACCTGCTATGACACTAGCACGTAAAATGATATTTAGTGATAAAACTTGATATTTGATCGCTGTACATTTGCTATTGATACGCATCTATCAATATTGGTTATTCACTTCGGCCGAAAAATTTAGCGAGTTTCTTGTAGGAAAGATGATTGTGTCACTCTACGCATTTCACCACCTTGTGTGGCATTTGCAGGGGGCCTTCCTTGTTTGTTTTATATGTTAACCCTATACTGCATAATTTTTTCAAATGAGTTAAAAAAATTATTTTTGTAATCCCCATAGGGCAGTTATAACAGGAAAAATAGTCAAAAAAATGTATCTTCAATATTATTCATTATTTTTACATTTTTTTTAATTGGCTCATTTAAGGCGCTTTATGCACTGGCGGTAAAAATGTCTAATTTATTGTTGGTCCAAATATGGCACATGATGCATTTAAATTATCAATGACTAAAAAATCTAGATACAAGGAAATCTGGAAAAATAACACAGATTTGAATTTTTCTTTTATTGAAAACCAAGTAATAACCTAACCTATGGTAAACTTTGCATTATAAATGGCAAAAAGCAAAAAAAATCATGTTTACTCTAATTTGACAACAATACAGTTTTGTAAAAAAGCGCATTGATACTTCTCTAAAACAATGAGTTTCGTCCCTTGTCACATTTACTGGTTATGGAACTTGTAGAAGCAGTTTTTGTCTTTATTGAGGCACAAGGTAAGGTTACACTTGGAACAATTCACATAACTTCTGCTCTCACAGTCAGGTAACTTGCATCTTAGTCTGTTGTTGTTCCAGATTGGCCAATGCCCTGTTTGGTCTTTTCTCACTTCTTTGGGTGGAAGAGCAGAAACATGAGGCTTCTTAGACTTGGTTAGGAGAGCGACATCTAGCTCTGTGCTTGGTCTTCCTCGCTTTGGAGTAATATTTGACCCTAATCTGCACATTGTAATAGCGACAGATTCTCTAAATTCTGCAAGAGGCATTATATTGATATCACCCCTGTCCCTACAGACTCTTTGATATAACAACCAGCTATTGCACATTGTTACATCCAACAAATGGTAGAAAAGTCTAAGGTACCATTTTCTAGTTTTCATTCTAATTTTGTACCTTCCAATAATAGAGTTAATTTTGTCCACTCCTCCCATGTGTTGGTTGTAGGATTTTACAACTTGAGGGCAGTTTACCTTCTGGATGACTTTTTTCTTCTTGCAAAACCTGTCAACTTGCTCTTGTTTACCAATACCTACAAAGGAGGACAGTCAAGTTACAGACTTGTTGTCTTTCCAGACAACACAAGACACTTCAACCTCATCTACTTGAACACAATTTTCAGCTGAGAAACCCCGTTCTTTTTCTTTTAGTTCCGTTTCCGATGGGAGTTTGTTTCCTGGTATTCTGTCCCTTCTGACTGTTCCCAATGCATGTATATTCTTCTTCGCTAGATGCACAATAAGTGGCAGAGAGGTATAAAAATTGTCAAAATATATTTGATGATTTTGTGGTGAAACACATCGAGTTAGACGTACTACCACATTGGCACATGACCCAAGATCAGGCTCACCTGGAAGTCTAAGGGTTTCGTTGTTTTCTTGACCAGTATATATTTCAAAATCATAAGCAAAGCCACTAACTCCACTCAAAACGTAAATCTTGTACCCCCATTTGTGGGTTTTTTTCGGTAGGTACTGCCTAAGATAGTTCTTTGCCTTGGTTGCACACATTTGCTCATCAACACATAGCTTTTGTTCCAGTGCAACCGATTTGAATTTCGATCTCAACTCCTCCACAACAGGTCTCAATTTATAAAGACGATCGTGTCCTGGCTGACCTCTTGGAATAGCTTTGTGATTATCACTGAAGTGAAGTATACTCCTTATGAACTCGAATTTGTTGACTCCCATTGTTTCTATTATAGTTTGGTTTCCAATACTATCTTTCCAGTAGTTACGAACATTCGGTAACCTAACAATTGACATCATTATTAATATTCCTAAAATCTTTTGAAGTTCTAGCAAAGTCACACTCTTATTGGTGTTTGGATCTTGTTGTACTAAATATAAGTTTGATTCTTGCGTAATATTTCTCATAAGAGTATCATTGAAGAAGTATTTAAAAAAAGCATAAGGGGTATCTAGTGTCATGATGTCTTCCGACAACTTTTCATTTTCCTTGTCAAAAGGAATTTTCTTACTTAAGATGCTAGCATGCACCCAAGGTATCTTAGGCTTGTCCTTTTTATTCTTAGTCTTTTGTTTTCCTTTTTTCTTGCTCTTGGTTTTTCCTGTTTTTTTCGCTCTTACTTGTTTTGTCTTTTTTCCAACTGTTTTATATTTTTTTCCTCCAGTTTTACATTTAGATTGTTTTTTTGAAACACCAGAAGTACTAGGCTGAGGGCTTCTTTCAGGTGGCTGAGGGCTTTCAGGTAGTTGTAAGTGTTCAGTTGGCAATGTGCTACTAGACGGTAATACTTCTTCAGGTTCTTCATCACTTGATGATTCTAAAGCCGATGGGTCGGGTCTTGAAAAAAACAGGAAGACAAGGTCCCTTTTTACGACATTCACCATCCTCGTCACTGCTGAGAATGAAATCTGGGTCAGCGTCCACATCATCCAGGTCTATACTGCAATCGGAGAGGGGAATCAATGCCTCTATCTGAGAGTCGGTCAAAATTTCATCCATAATCTGAAAAGAAACATATAAATTAGCTTATGTGTAATAAAACATCTTTAGTAGGCCTATTACTATTTATGAAAAGTTGTCTTTAAAAATTAGCACCGGTAGCCTTAAATTCATAGTGGAACATATATGGCTCAATAAAAAAAAAAATGAAATGAAAAACTTAAATGCACAGTGGTACATATATGGTCCAATCAAAAAAATTATAAGTTACACACTAACTGCATGGTGTTCCATATGTGGACCATTTAAAAATTGGTAATTATCTCCTAGGTAACTAATAAATTTGTAGGTTTAAACATAGTAAAATGTAACTACATACCTTAGGGAACATGAATCAAACATTGGTTTCCATCAGGAATCGATAATCACTCTATTATCAATCTTCAAAACAAGGAAAATTGTGAAACAGTTGTTGGTTATGCCGCCATTTGCAATTTGGGATGAAGAAATACTGTGCTGCAGTCTAGTGGGCATTTTTGAAGGTTATACCAGCTGTTGGATGTACCAGATCAGGGGCCCTATTTTTGAAATGGTTGACTGTTGAGTTGAGTGTCGAGTCATTCTATTTCCAATCGTTTCGTATTTTTGAAACGATTGACGGTGGACTTATACAACCAAAACTACTCAACACCTACCGAGCTGTTGAGTGGCCGGTTGACTGCACTTTCTTCTTCCTCTTTCGGCAAAAATTGCTCTGATTTGAGTCGACGCCATGTTGAAAATGTATTTGTTTACCAATTGTGATTAGAGGTTACGTATTTGTTGACATAGCGCCCTATACTTTAATTTGCTTGTTTTTATGTAGAATCATTTTATTTATAAATTTCCTTCAATAAACTAGGCTATATTTATATTTTTACATTATATTTACATTTGTTTAGGTAACTTAAGCTTATTATTAGTTGTCTACAAAACAACGACTAGGCCCTAGTGCTATGGATTTCTTTCCTCACATTGGATTGAACTACGTATTAGGAGGGGACATTGGCGATGTTGAAATTGAAAATAGAGTGCCAGTTGTTTTTAACAACAGAATTTCGCCATGGGAAGTTCAAGACCGTAAATTTGTCAAAATATTTCGACTATCAAAACCTCTAGCCCGGGAACTGATAACAACCCTCGAACCTCACTTGCTATACCAACTGATATAAGGGTAAGTGAATTCAGTTAGACTATTATTAAACTTAACACTTATGAGTTCTTTAATCAGCCTGATGTTCATGTTGGGCTTTCCCATTTTTTATCTCCTTAGGGCCTAGGTTGTGGTGTTCGGTCACACCCGAAATATTTTCCAGTTGTCATCGAAATGTAAAATTGAAAGTAAATGGTCATTGTGAACTCGTAGGTTTGTAAAGCTGGGTTTTCCTAGGCGCGGAGAAAGGAACCCAGAGAGCGGAAAAGAGATTAACATGGTGTTCTGCTCCGCTTCTAGGAAAACAGGGCTGCACTTAACTTTAGGTCCTACATTCATTCGAATGAAAATATCGAAATATATATAGGTAACCTTACCTAACCAACCAAACAATATATCGAATGAAACACTCAAATAATTGATATTTTCATTCAAATTAGGCCTAGTGTAGGACCTAAAGTAAAGTGCAGCCGAAAACAGTAACATTAAATTACCTAAAGACAAGTGGAGTCAGCTCTTCGGATTCGTCTCTCCGCTCTCCACTTCCGCGCCTAAGAAAACCCCGCTTAACATGCTTTCCAATCATGAACATTATTCAGTCCTTCAGTTAAGTTAGATTGGAGATTCACAAATGCAGAAACTGGCACCAGTGTCCAGTAAAGTCCCCTTACTGGTAATACAATATGGTTGTGCACCTAAATAGGCCCTAGGCCTATTGTGTGGCGTTGAATTCATTATCCACTGGCAGGCTATGTGTTAACTTATACATTTTAGGTTGTGGTATGAGCTTCATAACTGATCCTCCTAGCTAATGTGTTTTGTTTATACGGAACTATTAACTTAGATTCTAACCATCACATCAAAAACAATTACGATGTCTAAATTGTCATTGTAGGTTAAGAACAGAGGAGAAAAGGAGCAAACTTAACATAACCTAGATGATCAGTTTTGAAACTCATAGGCCTACCAAGTAACAAAGAATAAAAGTTTTCGTCTTTAACATTTATAAACAACTTAATATGTTAGCTATAGCCCAAGCTTGTATGGTTGAAGTCTTAACTATAAGAAACTAGAATTAAACAGAACAACTTTAACTTAAGTTTGTTTATTAGTAACTTATGCCTATTATTAAATTAAACAAAATCCAATAAGATAAAAGGTATTACGATTGAATCAAAATAAGGCACTTTGGTATTATACGGCGGCCACCTTTAAACAGTGCGCTGCAGCGGTTATGTTAGGTTGGATTAGGCTATCATAAATATTTATGTAAACTCCTCGTTTTGTTATGAATCGAACGATACCAGATGAGTCATACTTTCTGTTTATGATAACCACCAAACCTAACATACCCGTCACAGCATGCTGTCTTAGGGTGGCCTTCTTACCAAAAGTACCCTAAATATCAAGAAGAGGCTGCACTTTATTATCTGTCCTACACTCATTTGAACGAATATATCAAATAATCTATAGGATATCAATATTTTTCATTCAAATGAGTGTAGTACAACTAAAATGCAGCACAAGAAGAATAAATCATTTCTTGATCTAGATTCAATATTACCTACCGGATATACTGTAGTCCTATTGTGTTACTACCAATAAACCCATATGCTTCCTCAGGTCTTAACGGCACTACAGTTCATGGCATCTGGGAGCTACCAGGAGAGTGTTGGCGCCAACAGGTACCTTGGCCTGTCTCAATCAAGTGTAAGCAAATGTCTCCACTCGGTTTGTGATGCCATTGAGCCTATCTTGGGAAATTACATAAAATTCCCCACTAATGCTCAAGATGTTGAAGCTGTCAAGCTAGGGTTTGTAATGGTTTTATTAATTTTTCCAATTTATACTTGAAGGGTGGGTGTATTTTAATCAATTAGTAATAGCCTACTTTCCATGATCCCTCATTAAAATGTAATGGTACTTTTGTATTATACGGAGGCCACTTATTTTATAGCCCGCTGCGACAGTTAGGTTAGTATGGGTTATCATAAATATGTTTGTAGGACTTTCTTTGTTTTAAGACTTGAACGATACCAGAAGATTCATAAGAAGTTTTTGATAACCCAACCCAACCTAACCGCCGCAGTGGACTGTAAAATAAGTGGCCTCCGTATAATATAGAAGTGGCCTACCAATTTAATTTCTTTTTCATAATGAAGGAAATAATGCGCTGATTAAAAAATATTAACTAATTCATTTTACGCAGAAAGTTTCAAAAACCCCCGAAAAATAAAAAATTAATGATTTTGTAGGCCTATTGCAATATTAATGTTGTATTTACACCAAACCAAAATATGGAAATCTATTTGTTGTGGTATATGACTTGATGTATGACCTAGTTATGTCCAAAATAGTGTAGGAAAGCTGCAATATATTTTTTTAAAGTGGTAATGTGGGTAAACAAATTAAAGTAACTGGTAAGTAATACCTGAATATAAAACACTTCGGGGTTAAAATGTCACATTGTGTACAAGTAAATGAGTAGCCTATAGCAAACTTTTGTGATCAACAATCTTATATTCTTAAGTACCGGTATAGAATAGGGTATAAATCTAATCTTAGAAAACTGACAGTTTTATACAGTCTCACTAATAATTATCTCACAAAATCCTTATATATAATACGTGAAGGCGATTTCTAAGAAACACTACCTACTCCTCCGTTAATAATGGACGGATTTTCACAAATGATGTGTCAAAATGAAGTATTTTTTGTGTAGACACCCCCTTTCATCAATTTCTGCGATAAAGGTCTTCGGGCTTTGCCCCACAGGCCATCAAAATCCCAATGTATTTCTTATGAAGAAAAGATTATGTTTACTTAAACAGACGAATAATGTGTATTAATTACAGCTGTTCATAGTACACATGATACACACAAGGGCTTTCATTTTCAGTTAAGATAACTGGAGTGGAGTGATTGATTAGGCTACATTATCTTTGAGTTGACTCTTTTAAGTAATCAAAAATTATTATGACTGTTAATCGTTTTTGAAATAACACTTGTAATAATTTGCAATTGCTCGAATTCGAGCAACGTTTGCACTAGTATTATCAGTTTATGGAAATCAATATGATTAATTGGAAAATTTATGTAATTTAACGTCACTATCTTAACTGTTTTCAGATTCTGGGAAAAATTTGGGTTTCCAGGCACCGTTGGAGCAATAGATTGCACTCATGTTGCCATTGTTTCTCCCCCAAAACAGGACGCCAACTATCCTGAACATATATTTGTTAACAGGAAAAATTACCACTCGATAAATACCCAGATTGTAAGTAAAAACATTTTAATGAATTTTCCTATAGGGAAGTAGCTATTACCGTATATGGCCCGGTAAGACTTAGGCCCGGGACCGATTTACTTTTTCATGTTGATGTTCCCAGAGGCTAAAAACACCATTCGCTCAAATTTTTATATATGTACACATTTATTTTTAACTTGATTCTCAGTTTAAAATTGTTCACGTTTATAATACACAGTGGAATATTAAATATATTTTATCCTCACTTGTTGTGTTAGGCTTTATCATTTAACTAACTGTGGTTAAGGAAATTCTGCAAAACTAGACCTAATTTCTTCACTATTTTAATACCTGATGTACTTTTTGTAAATGCACTCTTTTTAAAGATACCCTCTCTTTGTTGGTTTAAGTGGGTGAAAGGTGAGGGTAGTGAACTTTAGGAAAATTCCGCACTGTTAATGTAATAGACCATTCAATACATAAAATAAGCCTATTATCCCAAATACCAATTATAGCTTGGTCCAGTTTCCTTCATCTTGCAAATCTCATGATTATGTTGTACTAGGAACCATCGGGTTTTAAAAGAGCCAGCACTCTACTACGGCTCTATTCACTATTCAGACAGTTGTTACAACAAAGTAATTGTGTTTCACTTTTGTTTAGTTAGGAACTTGAATAGGCCTAAATAAGTTTATATTTAAAATTTCTTAAATTTTATCACATTCTAATTCTAAAAAATCTCAATAATAGCACATTTACAATTATTATCAATTAAACAAACTAAGTTATCAAATACCTTACGGCAACGCAAAATTAAATAGAACAAAAAGGTTACCCAGAATGTAACTGTAAATGTTATAAATATACTGTACAGCAGCCTAAACCACAGATTTAATTAAAATATTACCCAAATTTAGTTATTGAAAATTAGGGCTGTACCATACTGAGGCAGAAAACAGCGTAACAAATTTGTGTACAACCTTAGGGGGTGAGGGTATTGAAATTTACATTACAAAATTTGAAAAAAAAAACAATATAATTTTACTGA